GTGTATTCTTCCTTTCAGATATTGTATTTTTCACTTCTGACTGTTATTTTTAATGGTTTTGAGTCCTTTATCATGCTTTTGATGCCCTGATTTCCTTAAGCATCCTTATAACCATTTCTTTTTGAACTCCATATCTGGTAAATTGCTTGCCTCCATTTCATTTATCTCTTTTTTTCTGGAAATTTCTCCTGTTACTTTATTGGGGGAAATGGTATTTTTCTCCCCATTTTGGCTGCCTCTTTGTGTTTGTCTTTTTGCTTTAGGTAGCTCTGACATGACTCTTAATCTTGGTAGGGTGGCCTATTGTAGTAGGTGTCCTGTGGGACCCAGTGGCGCATTCTCCTTGATCACCTGAACTGGGTGCTCCAGGAGTGTCCCCTGTGTGGGTTTGTGAGCCCTCCCGTGGTAATTGAGTCTTGATGGCCACTGGCCCATTTGTACGTGGGGCCAACCCTCAGGTTGGCTGAGTGTGAGGATTGTCCACGACTACAGTGTGTGAGTTGCTGTGCAGGTTGTGACCACACGAGGTGGAGTTCACCTCCACAGGGCTTGGTGCCTGCGAGGTCTCTCTTTGGACATGCTGCTGGAAGGTAATTAAATCCTCCTCTGTTGTTTTGGGAATCTCGCCACTGAGTGTGTTGGTTCAGGGGTCTATTGGGAAGTGCTCTGGTGCAGACCAATGTCAGAGGCTGCCTATGACGGTCCTGGGCAACCTGTTTGTAGCTACAAAGTGACCCTCCTTGTATGCCTGCCATTGCTGTTCCAGGGTGTGTGTGGGAAGGACCAAGCTGCACACAAGGCCAGCTTTCACCAGCACTGAGCCTGGGGACAGGTCAGCAAGAGGCCCACGGCACCGGAGATCTGCTTTCGCCTGCTTTTGGCTGTCAGATCTGTTAGGCTCAGTCACTGAAAGAGGTTCAGGTGATACTTGAATTGCATGAGATAGGTTCTCAGGGAGTCACAAAGTAGGGGTGAATAGTGATCACCAGATTGATACAGGTTCAGACTTGGTGCCAGGATGGCTCTGAGGCCGCTCAGCAGAAGTCCCGGGTGTTCCAAGCCTAGCTGCAATGGCCAGGTGCCCACAGATGTTTATGGCAGGGCCGAGTCTCAGGGATTTGTCGGGTGAGGACAGCAGAGTTTATTAGGTCCAAAGAGACCAAATTTTGACTGTGTGAATGGAGGGGTCTGCAATAGTCGAGCGTGTGATTGGAAAGGGGCTTCCATCTTAGAGCCATACAGTTCCATTTGTCCCAGATTCTGCTGGGAGCTCCAGCTCGATAAGGCGGGCTCACCAAGAGTCAGGAGCATGGGGCTAGTGGGTATCCCTTTAGGGGGAGGCACTGGCCAGGCTAGGGCGAAGGTGGGAGTACAGGACTGAGCCCTATAGTTACACAGCTCAGATGGACCAGGAATACTCCTCAACTCCTCGGTGGCCGGCGTTCTGCAGTGCAGGGCACCACGGCGCAAGTGGGTGGGATGATGGAGAATCCAGAGGGAGGGTCTAGTGGATCTTCTGTGAGGGTGAAGGGCGGCCAGGCTCCCGGGAAGCTGGGGCAGTGGCCCCCGCCCCTGTGCCACACGACTCAGTCACGGACACCCCTGCGTCTGCCCAGACCTCTGCGCCCCAGGCCCAGGCAGCTGACTCCTCTGCACGCGTTAGGGCTGCAGGGTGGGGCGCCAGGGAGTCCAGACGCGGGGCTGTTGCCTCCCCAGGCTGCAGGGCAGTTCTCCACCCAAGCAAGATGGCCTCTGTGGTGTGGGAAAGGCGCTCAGCACAGGGGACCCTGCGTCTCTCCCTTCAGCCTGTCCCCAGAGCCACACATCCCAGTCAGCCTTTCCTCACACAACTCTTGTCACTCTGCCCTTCCTTCCCGGGAGCCCAGGACGAGTGGCTGTGAATGAGGCCCTGTGCACTGGCCTTTTGAGAGTGCGCCTGTGTCTCCATCAGGCTCCTGTTTCTCCCTGGCAGACAGAATTTCTGTGATTTTCACAGCCAGACGCTATGCGGGTGCCTCTTCCCGGCCGTTGGTGCTTTGGGTTGGGGAGCCCAGTGCGGGGTTGAGACGGCACACTCCTCAGTGGAAATCTTTGAAGCTGACATATCCCTCCAGATTTCAGCCACTGCCTATGGAAGTGGGGCCAACCCTTTCCGTGCCTCTGCCCTTCCCATCAGTCTTGAAGTGGACTCTTCTTTAAATCCTTGGTTATTAGACTTCTGTTCAGCTAGTCTTCAGCTGTTTCTTCTGGTTATTTTTCTGATTTTGGTGGTTTTTCTAGTTTTTTTCCTGGGAGTCGGTGAATGTAACTTCCACTTTGCCGCCATCTTGGATCTCTGCGTTTTCTTTTGACACATCATCTTTAGGTTTCTTATATTCCGTCGAGAGTTACGGCTTTTGTTTTGTCCTATTGCTTTTAAGATTTACTTTTGGTTTTGATTTAAGCAGTTTTGCTTTCACCAGGTGTAGTTTTCTTTGTACGCATACAGGGGTGGTAGAGCATCGTGAGCCTGTGGGTTTATGTCTTTCATCAGACGTATACTATGAGTTATCACCTACCTGATATGCATCTCACCTTCTCTTTTCCTCTTAATTTTTTATTCCCTCTGCTTTATCACAGATAGCGTCTTTTAGCCTGTCTTCCGATGTTCTGCCTTCTGTTCTGCTCTATCTGATCAGCTGTCAAACCCAACTTCATTGTGTTTCACTTATTTTATTTTCCAGTTCTATGATTTTCACTTCATAAATGTCTTATGTATTTTACACTCCGTAGTAAAATTCTCACATTTGATCCATTTTTCTTTCATTAAAAAAAAATATTACAGCTGTGTCATGTCTGATAACCATCAAAACCAACATCTGATATTGCATTCTCCTCTTGTATTTCTTTTTACGCCTCTCCTTGCCATGCCGGTGGGTTTTCGACTGACTGCCAGACACTGAGCGAGAAAATGTGTTAAATTGGACGCTGTTATCTCATTGCATACGGAGGACCTCTCTCCCCTTTGCTGGGCAGGGAGAGGATGAGTAAGCACTTCAGTCCCTTCGCTATCGTGCTGACTCAAGGCTGCAGTGCAGTTTTGTCCAGGGTCATCTGTGTTAGGTTTCCCCCCTGTCCTGGTCATCTTCCTCGGAGGATTTCCGCAGAGACTGGGGGGTGCGTCTGGGGGTCCCTTTGCCCCAGACACTCAACTCTAATGTTTGTCTCCCCGGTTATGCAAGATGCTAAAATTCTACACCCGCCGACAGAGATTTTCTGCTTGGCTCTTTAGTCTGCCACCCCCGGCAGCCTTGGAACGCATCTGATCGCTTGAGGTGAGCGCGGCCGAATGTGGGGAGCAGTGCTGCGTGGTCTCCTCTGTCTGGGACTTGGCTCCTCCATCTCTAATTTCATCGCGCTGTCTACACAAGATGGCCACAGCTTGGCTGGTTTTCCTGTGCCTTAGTAGCAACTGCGTGGCTGGGTTTCCATCGCCACTCCACTCCTCGAGGCAGAAGCGCCATAAGGGGAAAGCAGGTGGCCATGTGGCCCCATCTCTGAGCAGCTGCCTTTTGCCCTCCTCGCTCGCTTCACCCCTGCCCGGGCAGGAGAACTCTGGCCCTACTCTCACCGCCATTAGACTGTCTCCTCCAAGGTCTAATCGGGACAGCAGCCCTTTGATCGCTTAGCAGTGCCCCTAGATGTCCCTCCTAACTGAGGTCCGCTCTGACCGTCACATGCAAGTCACCAGTCCGACCCTTTTCTTGAGCCCGCCGCCTGTTTTCTTTCATCACGGCACTCAGCACAGCACTATGCCAGTGCTGTCATGGGTTATGTGTGTTTGTCTCTGTCGTCGCATTAGAAGGCAGGCCTGTGGACCGGAGGCTGTGCGGGTCACCATAGCACCCCCCCGCCACAGCGCCTGCACCCTATGGGCCATCCACTGGTTCGATCTGGGTCAGTGATCAAACGGGTGGACGAACGAATGCATGAACCTAGAGCATGAACCCCTGAGATCCTACATGTATTCCATTGAGTTTAATGGAACATATACACCTGAAAATTGACGATGTCCAGCGTGGCAAGGATGTAGAATTGGAGCTCTCAAACACGGTGGTGGGAGTGTGGATTAGTACAACGATTCTAGAAACTCCTTAGAAAAATGTGCTAAAGCCCAAATGCAGGCCTTCCTATGTCCCCGCCCAAGTGAGCCCAGAGATGAATACCATAGTATTCATAGCAGCTTAACTCCTTGTATCCCCGAATTGGAATCAACCCCAATGAACCAGAGGAGGGAGAGGAAAAATAAACGGTGGTGGGATGCAGCAGAAGCCTGACCACGCCGGCAAGGGCGCAGAGCATCGCTCCGTGGAGCGGCACGATAGAGCTCCCAGGCAGTATGCTGAGTGGAAGGAAGCCGGTCCACGGGACACATAATGTGACCCATCCATGCGAGGGCCAGGAACAGGCCACAGCGGCTGTTGGTGACAGAGGGCAGGACGGCGCTTCCTTTTGGGGGTGGGGGAGGTCGCCAGCAGACGAGGAGCTGGAAACGCTGTACGGGGTGCACGGGGAGAAGTAGGCTTGCACTTCAGTAGGCTGTACAAACGAATTCATGCTCTTTACATGCAAGGCGTACCTAGAGAAATGTAGGGAGGTGACTTTGTGGATGACATGCCACGTGGCAGGCTCTGTGCATACAAGGGTGACGGAGCCCCCGCCCGCAAGAGCCAACTGTCCTGTGGGGAAGCCAGCACCTGGCAGTGCAGGCGCTGGAACAGCCTGGGTCCTTCCTCCAGTCTTAGGGTCGCTCCTGGCCAGGAGCCTCTGAAAAGTGCACTTGAGGTTCTGTGACAGCAGACATACGTGTGTAAACACAGCTCTAACACCACGAGGCCCTATCGCCCCACCTGGCGCGTGGCTCCCAGGAGAAAATTGACTGAACGATGAGGCATTGGTGCCTGAGTCAGAATCTGGTCTCAGCATTGTGTCTCTACCTGTGCGTCCCTCCCTGTCCCCAGAGCCCGCGGCGGTGTTCGCCAAGGAGCAGCCGGCACGCAGTCCCGTGCAGGCCGTGGCGGGGGCCATGGCGACGCTGAGCTGCGAGGTGGCCCAGGCCGAGACGCAGGTGACGTGGTACAAGGACGGCAAGAAGCTGAGCGGGAGCTCGAAGGTGCGCGTGGAGGCCGCGGGCTGCACCCGGCGGCTGGTGCTGCCGCAGGCGGGGAAGGCGGACGGCGGGGAGTACAGCTGCGAGGCCGGGGGCCAGAGGGTCACCTTCAGCCTGGGCGTCACAGGTCAGTTCTTCGGTGGCACTCTCGCAGCCTTGTGTGTGGGTAATGACAGCAGCCCGATGCACTCCAGTGCTCTTGGCCCTGGTCCTCTCTCTCTGAGGCTCCGCCCTCCACCTTCCACTCCACACCCGTGGCCGGGCCAGAGGAGGCTGGACGGGCAGAGCGTGAGCAGAGGGACAGGCGTTCCTGTACAACCTGGCTTGGGCCCCACCCAGTGCTGCTCAGCCATAGTTCCCAGTCCCTGACGCGAGCCTGCCCGGGGAAGCTCGGTGTCTGGGCCCCTGGCTCTACCGTTGACTCGGAGTTGGAGGTGGACCAGGCGTCTCTCAGCTGTGCTGTGTGAATGCCCACCTCTCCATGTCTGGGGATGCCCACAGCCAGCAACGTGTGCTGTTCGCTCTAGGATAAGGGGTGGCTCCTGCCACCCAATCGTACTTGGATGTACCTCAAGACTGGACAGTGGGTTCGCAGATTTTAGTAGTTTGGGAGACTTCTTGCACGTGGATGTAGAAGTGACTGTACACTCGCATGTTGCAAAATTCTAGATGCATGAACTCTTGCCGCGTCTCGGCAAAGCAAACAAAGATGAGAGGATTGGTGCGTGTGTGTGAGGGCCGTACACCTAGGGGTCTGGAATTCTCTTTCTGAAGTGCACCTTGGTCTCGTCTTGCCTCCTGTTTCCCTTCATCTCCTGGGCTGGAATCCCCAGGAGATGACGTGTACGGTTGGACGTGGACTGGACTAAGGCAGCTGGCCCGCACTGCACGCTCTGTTGAAGACCAGTCCCTGTAGTGAGAGCCCCGACTGTAGAGACAGGGTTTATTTCACAGCGTTTCCCAGCGACTCGCGCGTGTCCGTCCCAAACTGTGTTTTCCTTTTCAGAGGGGCGTTTAACCTCGGATAAGGGTTGGCCGTGGTCGCACATCGACTCCCACGTGCCAGCGCGTGACCGCTGTGATTGGGCATGATTTGTAGGGCGTAGGCACGCCGCGCCCCTGCACGGGGCAGCGGCCGACATGCAGATGAACGTGCTCCCCGGGCTGAGAAGGCGCTGGGGCTTCGCAGGCCCCGCAGCGGGTGCAGAGCCCCGAGGGGTGTCCAGCCTCCCCGCCCCCTGCTCAGTGCCCCTTTCCCCGTGCCGTGCTCCTGACCTGGAGGAAGGCTCTGACCCCGTGCGTCCCTCCCTGTCCCCAGAGCCCGCGGCGGTGTTCGCCAAGGAGCAGCCGGCACGCAGTCCCGTGCAGGCTGTGGCGGGGGCCATGGCGACGCTGAGCTGCGAGGTGGCCCAGGCCGAGACGCAGGTGACGTGGTACAAGGACGGCAAGAAGCTGAGCGGGAGCTCGAAGGTGCGCGTGGAGGCCGCGGGCTGCACCCGGCGGCTGGTGCTGCCGCAGGCGGGGAAGGCGGACGGCGGGGAGTACAGCTGCGAGGCCGGGGGCCAGAGGGTCACCTTCAGCCTGGACGTCGCAGGTAAGTCTTTGCGGTGCTCGCTCTGTCTTGTTCGGAGATGGGGAGTTGGGTATGTTCTCGGACATAGACCCTGGGGCTCTCTCATTAGAGCTGGTACCCACTTTGGCCAAGTGAGGGCAGAGGACGTTGGGCGCATGGAAGGGGGAGGGCTTTCCTGTAGACACCTGTCGTGTGTCCTTGTGCTAGAGCAGAGCAGTGCGTTCTGACGGCCTCCTTGGGACCCTTGTCATTTCCGGGTCCAGGACTGTGGCTGTGTCGGGTGCTTGTTCTGTGAGGTGGACTAGGCATCTCCGACATGGGTTATGTAGCTGTGCTTCTGCTTAAGTTACTCATCATTGTAGTTACACACAATGTCATATTAATCAGGTTTGCAGCATAGTGATAGAACACTGATACACCTCGCATAGCGACGGAAGTGCCATAGTTAAGTCGCACTTTGCATATTGATTAAGATACTCGTGACTACGTTGCGTAGGCCGTGCAGTAACCCAGAGGCTTATATTCTAACAGGAAGTTAGCTCTTCCTCGCCCCTTCCCCTTCGCATTCATGCTTTCAGCCCCTCCTGTCTGGCGTCATCGGGTTATTCTCTGTATGTGTGAGTTTGTATCTGCTTGGTTTTTTTTTTTTGATTACTTGTGTTGTTTCTTAGATTCCACATGTGAGTGATTCCAGATGCCTTTTGTCTCTCTCTGACTTACTTCACTCAGCTTGTAGTCTCTAGGACCGTCCATGTGTTTGTAAATGGCAAGGTTTAAATTTTAATGGCCCAGTAATATTCCACTGTATAGTTTTATACATTGGAAGTATAATTTACAATTTATTACATTATATATTTAATTTTTTAATTACTCTTTATCCATTGTACCACGTCTTCTTTATCTACTCATCTCTTGATTTGCACTTAGGTTGCTTCCATATCTCAGCTATTGTTAATAATTCCGTCATAAACGTCGGGATGCATATATCCTACTGAATGTTTATTTCATATAAGCACTTATAAATTGGATTGCTGGGCCATATTTCAGTTCTATTTGTAATTCTTTGGGGGTCATCCACAGTGCTTTCCACAGTGGCTGCCCCAGTCTGCGTTGCAACCAGCAGTGCACGATGGGTCCCTTTTCTCCACAGCCTCGCCAGCACTTGTTTGTTGATTCATCAACGCTGGCCATTCTGACAGGTGTGAGGTGAGAGCTCATTGTGGTTATTACCTGCATTTTCTAATGATTAGTGATTCTGAGCATCTCTTTGTTTGCCTGCTTGCCATCTGTATGAAATGTATGTCGTTTTTGGAGAAGCATCTATTTAGATCCGCTGCCCATTTGTAAATTGGATTCTTTCGGTGTTTTTGGCTTTAAGTTGTACACGTTTTATATACTTTGTGTATTAATCTGTTATTGGATGTGTTACTTGGAAATATCTTCCCCCATTTACTAGGTTGGCTTTTCATTTTTTTTAATGGTTTCTCTCACTGTGGAAAAATACTTTTCAGTTGTTTTAGTCCCATTTGTTATATTTTCTTTTGTTGCTCTTTACCCAGGACATATATGAGAAAAATATTACTAAGAACCATGTGACAGTGTTTTCTGCCTGTGTTTTCTCTCAGAGTTTTATGGTTTCAGGTTATATGCAAGTCTGTATCTACTTTGAATCTATTCTTGTGTGTTGTATAAGATAATGGTGTAGTTTCATTTTTTGGCATACATCTGTCACATTTTCCCAACACCATTCATCAAATAGATTGTCCGGACCCCATTGTATCTTCTTCCTTCCTTTATCATAGCTTAATTGACTGTAGAGGTGAGGGTTTATTTCTGGGCTCTCTATTCTATTCCACTGATCTGTGAGTCTGTTTTATGCCAGTACCATGCTGTTTTGACTTACATAGGCTTGTAGTATAGTTTGATATCAGGTAGCATAATACCTCAAACTTTGGTTTTCCTTGTCATTATTACTGAGGCTATTTGGTGTCTTTTGTGGTTCTATATAAATTTTAGAATTATTTCTTCTAGTTTAAAAAAAAAAGTCATTGGTTTTCTGATACAGAGTGTATTTAATGTACATATTTCTTTGGGTTATGGACATTTGAACAATGTTAATGCTTTCTAGCCATGGACATGGTGTGTCCTTCATTTATTTGTATCCTTCATTTTTTCTTTAATGCCTTATAGTTTTGTAGGCACAGGTCTTCTACGTTTTTTATTACATTTATTCCTAGGTATTTTGTTGATTAAATTATAATGGTATAGTTTCTTAATTTCTCATCCTAATTGTTTATTATTAGTGTATAGAAAGGGTACATATTTCTATATATCAATTTTGTATCCTGTTACTTTGCTGAATTCATTTACTCGTTGCAATCGATTTTAGTGAATTTTTTAGGGTTCTGTATATAAAGTATTATGTTATCTCAAAATGAGGCAATTTTAATTCTCTCTTTCCAATTTGGATGCCTTTTATTTCTTTTTCTTTCCTAATTGCTCTGGCTTGGGCTTCCAGTACAATGTTGTATAAGCATGGTGAGAGTGTCCATCCTTTTATTTTTCTGATTTTAGAGGAAAAACTTTCAGCTTTTTCCCATTGAGTATGATGCTGGCAGTGGGTTTGTCATATATGGCCTTTATTATGTTGTGGTATGTACCCTGTCTTCCCACTTTGCTGAGAGTTTTTGTCATAAATGGGTGAGGGATTTTATCAAATGCTTTTTCTTCATCTGTTGACTTGACCATATGATTATATCTTTCATTTTGTTTATGTGGTGTATAATGTTAATTGATTTGCAGATATTGAACCATCACCCTTCATCTCTGGAATAAATGCCACTGATTGTGGTGTGTCATCTTTTTTAACGTATTATTTCATTCAGTTTGATAATAATTTGTTGAGCATTGTTTTCATCTATGTTGATCAGAGATGTTGGTCTGTCATTTTCTTTTCTGGCATATTGGGACAAGCGCTCTAACCAACTGAGCTCCCTGGCCAGGGCTAATTTTTTTTCTCTGTAGTTTGTTGTTTGGTTTGCTATAGTGGTGATGGTGACCTCATAGAATAAGTTTGGAAGCTTTACCTCGGCTTCAATTTTTGGGAATAGTTTGAGATGTGTACGTATTAATTCTCTATTAAATGTTTGAAAGAATTCATCTGTGAAGCCATCTGGCCCTGTTTGCGTGGAGTTTTTTGATTATTGATCAGTTTTGTCACTACTAATGAGTTTGTTCAGATTTTTTGCTGCTTCTTCATTCAGTCTAGGAATTCGTCATTATATTCTAGATTTTCAATTCGTTGGCATATAATTTTTTATAGTAGCGTCTCATAATCCTTTTTATCTCTATGGTGTCGGTTGTCACTCATCTGTCATTTCTGATTTTATTTATTTGGGCCTTCTTTGTTTTTTTTTGATGTGTGTGCCTAAAGGTTAATTTATTTTGTTTTTCTTTTAAAAGAACCCGGTCTTAGAGTCATTGTTGATTTCTATTTTTTCAGTCTCTATTTCATTTATTTCTGCTGTGGCTGTGCTCCCCAATGCCCTTTCTTAGCACCACATGGGGTTCTTGCCAGGGCTAGACATTCAAATTTCTCATATAGAGTATGTAGGGAAATTTCAGCCATATGATATACTTGGAAGTATCCCAACTAAACTTTGGATTATCAATGGTCTAGGTGTTCTGGGACACTTTTTCGCCCTTGAACGTTGATGTGGAAGTTATCTGTGCACCAAATGTAGCAAAATCTAGAAGTTTCCTTGCAGTATCTGTGCCAAGTAAATAAAAACCAGCGGATTTGTAGATATGTGTCAGGGGTGCGCACACATGATGTTGGGAGTTTTCTTTTTGAAGCGAATCTTATTTTCTTTTTGTCCCCCGTAAAACCGTTCTGTGTCACAATTCCCTTTGGAGTTTGATTTATAAATTTAGACAAGGAACAGGGGGATAAGGAGCTTAAGCTACACAGTTGTTAAAGATTAGTCCCCACTGTGACAGCTGCTGCCTGTGATAGCTTCATTTGTGTCACATCATCCGCTAGTGATCAAGGCATGTCTGTGCCCCGCTGCTGGTTCAGGAGACACCTGAGGGCTAAATTTATTTCCTTTCGTTATGGAGGTCTCAACATGAGAGGGCTTGGGTGTCGTACCAGAGTGACTCCTGAGTGCCAGTGCAGAACTGCGTGGTTGTGTATCAGTATATAATGAAGTGCGAGTGTGTGCAAATACCAAAATTATGTATCTTTCTAAAATGTTTTTAAAGAGAACATGACAAGTTATTTTATGGCAATAATTTTGAAAATTTTTGACAAATTGTTGAACTGTTAGAAAAGTGTATGAAAAAGTGACAAAAGAATGAGAAAACTCAAATAGTCCTATGACTTTTATTTTTTACTTTTTTTAGATTTTATTTATTTATTTTTAGAGAAAGGATGGGAGAAAAAAAGGGACAGAGACATCCATGTGTGGTTGCCTCTCGTGCACTGCACCCTCTACTGGGGACCCGGCCCACAACCCAGGCCTGTGTCCTGACTGGGAATCGAACCAGCGACGCTTTGGTTTGCAGGCCGGCGCACAACCCACTGAACAACTCCAGCCAGGGCAAATAGTCCTCTGACTTTTAAATAAATGACACTAGTAGTGAAAAATCTTTCCATAGAGGAAGATTTTACTCCAGTGGCTCTACTGATTTATTATATCAAATATTCTGGAAAAAAATTATTATATTTTCATGAAGATTCTTCTAGAGCAGCAATTGTCAACCGTTGTCATCTCATGGCACACATAAACTAGTTACTAACATTATGTGGCACACCAAAATATATATATATGTTTGCTGATCTGACCAAAAATAGGTGTAATTTTGATTTATCCATACCAGCTGGCTACTATTGTGTTGGCTGTTGTCATTTTTTTAATTTGACAATCTAAGTGAAAAGAGGTCAGTGCCCCTGACTAAATAGTCAGGTATTGCATGTTTTAAAAAGTCTTGTGGCACACTGGTTGAAAATTGCTGTTCTAGGGAATAAAACAAGGAGATACAGTCTGTCATTTGATTCATGTCGGTAGCATAACATTGATACAAAAAATCTCACCAGGCAAGTAGGGATAAGTAAAAGTATAGGCCAAAATCTTATGGATATCAAAACGAGCATATTCAACAAAATTGGCAAAGTCATCTGAATACTCTGTCAAAATGAAGATATAAGGCCTGTCCAGAAGATATCCAGCCATGTAATATGAAAAATAGAGATATTTTTTGATGAAGATAGAAGAAACATTGTACATAAGACAATGATGCCTTAGTCTCCTTCGAAGTAGGCACCTTGGGACCTCACCCAGTTCTCCCAGTCGCCGTCAGCTGCCCCATCGTATTTTTCTGAACCTGATCAACAATCTGAAATCTCTTCCCTTTCAAAGGTGATTTTAATTTTGGGAAAAGACAGAAGTCACAGGGTGCCAAATCTGGGTTGTAGGGTGGCTGAGCCACCTGGGTGGTTTGATGTGTGACGGAAAGACTGCACGAGACATGATGTGTGAGTGGGCGTGTGGTCACGATGAAGCTGCCGATCACCAGTTGCCCAGAGCTGCTGCCTTCTGAGTCATCCAGATAGTTTCCAAGGAGGAATGTTCAAGCTTAACGCAAAATTTGATGCAGACTTGTTGCTGTACTCACTCATTTTTTTTTAATTTTTAATATGTGTTAACTGTATTACAGTTGTCTCAGTTTTTCCCCCTTTGCCCTCCTCCACCCATCCCACCCCGCCCGCCTCTCCCACAGTCAGTTCCCACTCTGTTGTCCGTGTCCATGGGTCATTCATACATGTTCTTTATTTATTCCCTTCTCCTTCTTTCCACCATTGTCCTCCTCCCCCGTCCTCTCTGGTCACTTTCAGTCTGCTCCATGTTTCCACATCTGTGGTTTATTTTGTACATTAGTTTATTTTATTGAATAGATTCCACTTATAGGTGAGATCATATGGTATTTGTCTTTCACCGAGTCATTTTGAATGTGACGGCCACACAGTGCACATGCTCACTCAATGGAGTCCACCGCCCCCACTGACTAGTACAGTGGAGTCGTCACTGTTCACACATGCGCCTTCCAGTCCACTCTCCTTGGCCGCCAGGTCACATCGATGTTGTGTAAACTCTTCTCATTATATCAACAATGGCTGGACTTTTTCCAGCTAGACCTCATACACTCCAACAGAAGTCACAGTCCAGGAATGCAATGTTGGTTTAATATTCAAAATTTTAGACTATCAATATAATCCATGACCCGCTGATTGAAAGAGAAAAATATTGTGATTATTCTCAATAAATGCAGAATAAAAGTTTGATAGTGTCAACATCATAAATTCAGAATAAATGTCTGATAAAATTTGGCATCAGTTTGTCCATAAATTTTGAACCAACTATTAATAAATGAATTCTTTGTTACAGATATAAATGGTACTACAGAAAACACCTATGAGATGGGGAACAAGAGAAGGAGGCCCCTATCTCACTGCTGTTTAACACTGCCTAGCACAGGAGGGAGGAAACGTATATAAAATCATAAAACTTGGGAAAACAAAGTAGAGTTCACAGATGTCATGATTATCAATTTTAAAATTCCAAGAATAAATGATTAGACTTGGAGCATTCAGAAAGATGACTCTACAAATATCAATATACAGAAAATACTCCTATGTTTATATGCAGGCAACGAACAGTTGGAAATGAAATTTTAAAAGATTCCCAATAGTACCAGAGGTATCATGTTTCTAATTCCAAATCTAATACAAGATGCTTAGTGACCCTAGGGGGGGGGACATTATTGAGCACTTTTGAGAGAGAGAGAGACAGAGAGAGGGAGGACCCAATCCCAACCACTAGACCACCAGGGAGCGGCTTAATGAGCACTTCTGAGAGATGATTAAGAAGGTCTAAATAAATGGATAGAATCCATGGAAGAATCTCAGATATTTATTAACAACTCAAATACAAACAGATGTTCTTTGGGAAGGTGTGAGGTGTTGACAGTCAATGAGCAGATTCAGCGTGAACATTTGTTTTTACCAATGTCGAGAATTGCTGTAAGTTACAGTGATGTAGGCAGCTGGGCCTCAATGCCAGGACACGCACCAAGGCACAGAACAGGGAGCTCAGAAACTGACCTGTCTCTGAATGGACCTCTGTCACATTCCCACTTGTTTGGGGTTTTTTTTTTTGTTGTTTTTTTTTTGTACATAGCACCTGTGCAAAGATTGGGAAAGGAGGGTTTCTTCATAAAATTAAACAAATTGGTAACTTACACTGTACACAAACCCAACTCAGGTGGGTTAGAGACCTCAGGGTAAGAGGTAACAACAGAAAACTCTTAGATGATGACATTGATTCCTTAAAGACTCCAGGGTAAGAAGGGCTTTCTGACAGAATGCAAGTGCACTAACCACTGTGGAACAAGGATGACATAAATGATACCGGTATAAGGAAAAACTTTCATTCCTTAGAAGACACTGTAAGAGAGTGCAAAGGCACGTCACAGGTGTGGAAGAGAAAGGCTGTAGCATGCAAATGAGCTCCTAAAAATGAATATGAAAAACGCAGACGACGTTACTGACAATCAGGCAAAACCCTTGAACAGGGACACCCCAGAAGAGCAAACAGAAATGGCCAAAAGATTGAAGCTGCTCTACTTTGTGAGCCATTAAGACCGTGCAGGGGACTGCCACAGGAGTTACAGTTCACTCCTCCAGCTGGCCAGCCGCGACACAGGGAGAGCCAGAGAGCAAACAGGAGGAGGCGCCCTAGGCACTGTCCTGCATGGAAAGAGAACACTTCCTACACGATCTGGAAAGACCACACTCGCTGACCGGGTGCACACTGCAGGGTGTGGGGTTCCTTGCCTAGAGGGGGTGCACACGGGAGAAGTCCTCCACAATGTCTCCCCTGGAACTGCCACACAAACAGCGGCCGACGTGCAGATGAACGTGCTCCCCGGGCTGAGAAGGCGCTGGGGCTTCGCAGGCCCCGCAGCGGGTGCAGAGCCCCGAGGGGTGTCCAGCCTCCCCGCCCCCTGCTCAGTGCCCCTTTCCCCGTGCCGTGCTCCTGACCTGGAGGAAGGCTCTGACCCCGTGCGTCCCTCCCTGTCCCCAGAGCCCGCGGCGGTGTTCGCCAAGGAGCAGCCGGCACGCAGTCCCGTGCAGGCCGTGGCGGGGGCCATGGCGACGCTGAGCTGCGAGGTGGCCCAGGCCGAGACGCAGGTGACGTGGTACAAGGACGGCAAGAAGCTGAGCGGGAGCTCGAAGGTGCGCGTGGAGGCCGCGGGCTGCACCCGGCGGCTGGTGCTGCCGCAGGCGGGGAAGGCGGACGGCGGGGAGTACAGCTGCGAGGCCGGGGGCCAGAGGGTCACCTTCAGCCTGGACGTCGCAGGTCAGTTCTCTGGGGGTAGAGGGTGCTGCTTCGTCCGTGTGGAGGCCTTGCTGTGACTGACTTAGAGCTGTGACAGCCCTTCTGCTCTTTCCGTTAGACCCCACCCGTGCCTGTGTCCCACCCTCCCACTGTCTACTTTTATCCCCGTGGCTGAGTCCGGGGAGGCCGGGATGGAGGGCGCGCAGAGCGGGAGGGGCCCCCACTGGTTCCCCGGTGCACCCCGAGTGGCGTTGCCACAGAGTGACGCTGCTGGCTTTCCTTGGTACCCAGGAGCCCGGCTCTGCTGTCTCTGGGGCCGCAAGAAGCCCGGCGTCTCTCACCGCGGGCACGTGGACGTCCGTGAGGACGTGTGAGCGGCTCCTGGGGCCTCATCCAGGGCCCCACGCGGGTCTCCAGAGTTAGAGGCGTTGGTTTTCCCTGAACCTGAGAAGGCGCAATTTCAGCCCCACACTCACACGCGACATTTGCTGAAGCCTGAAGTTAGGATCCGCAACCTTAGCCGTTTTGGAACCCTCTTTCTTCCTTGGGCACGGGCACAGAGGTCACCAGGGCACCCGGTTCACAGTCTAGGTCCCAGCTCTGATTCCGTGTCTGTGCAAAGCAAGCCCAGGACCGAGGGCTGGCGGACGCGCGCCTGCGATGTGCTCCTGCGAGGAGGGAGTGGGTTGTTCCCTTAGGCGCACACCTTGCCTTCCTTCTGTCTCCTGTTCGGACCTCCGGTGTCAGCGTCCCTTGGGGTCCGCCGGGTGGAGTCAGGCACAGCGAGGAAATGGGAGCAGGAGCCGAGCAGCGCGGTGTGTTAGAGACGAGTCCGTCGAGAGCAGCCCCGGACTGTAGAGACAGGGTTTATTTCACAGCGTTTCCCAGCGACTCGCGCGTGTCCGTCCCAAACTGTGTTTTCTTTTTCAGAGGGGCGTTTAACCTCCGATAAGGGTTGGCCGTGGTCGCACATCGACTCCCACGTGCCAGCGCGTGACCGCTGTGATTGGGCATGATTTGTAGGGCGTAGGCACGCCGCGCCCCTGCACGGGGCAGCGGCCGACGTGCAGATGAACGTGCTCCCCGGGCTGAGAAGGCGCTGGGGCTTCGCAGGCCCCGCAGCGGGTGCAGAGCCCCGAGGGGTGTCCAGCCTCCCCGCCCCCTGCTCAGTGCCCCTTTCCCCGTGCCGTGCTCCTGACCTGGAGGAAGGCTCTGACCCCGTGCGTCCCTCCCTGTCCCCAGAGCCCGCGGCGGTGTTCGCCAAGGAGCAGCCGGCACGCAGTCCCGTGCAGGCCGTGGCGGGGGCCATGGCGACGCTGAGCTGCGAGGTGGCCCAGGCCGAGACGCAGGTGACGTGGTACAAGGACGGCAAGAAGCTGAGCGGGAGCTCGAAGGTGCGCGTGGAGGCCGCGGGCTGCACCCGGCGGCTGGTGCTGCCGCAGGCGGGGAAGGCGGACGGCGGGGAGTACAGCTGCGAGGCCGGGGGCCAGAGGGTCACCTTCAGCCTGGACATCAGAGGTTGGTGCCAGCCGGGGGAGAGCAGAGAAGTGTCTGTCCAATCAAGGGATAGACTGTGTCCTGAAAGGCTTGTGCCTGTTCTGTCGGATGGTTGTCCTTGCGTGGGTTCTCTTGACATAGCCTGTCCCAGGGCTCAGCTCTCTACTGAGCTCTTGGGTTGAGAACAATGGCTGCAGACCGTAGTCCAGCATATATGAGGCTTCCTTTGTCACACATTCTGCCTTTTTGTTGTACCCATACCTTCCGCAGCATGAAACATGCCCCGAGGCTTCTGTGGGTGAGGTCTGTGGAAATGCCTGTTTGCTGTCTGTGACCGGGAGCAGGCGGCTTTCCCGGTTTATGTCCTCCTGAGCACTGTGGAGCCTAGCGTTGCTCTGGGGAACCTTGGTGGAGGGGCCTGTGGCTTTGGATGTCCTCGTCCTCAGTGGAGCTTGGGTCCTTGTCTCTGGCTCTGGGGTTCTCCCTCTCCAGCTGTTAGTCATTCAGCCCTGGGAGTTGGCTGGTGGTCAGATTCGCAACCCTGGTCTGGTGCTGGCCCTGTGGGGGCGCTGCCTGTTCTTTGCACTCCCCCAGCTGATGGCAGGGCCACTGGGTGCCAGCGTCCTGCTCCAGGTGTTTGCGCGGAGCCGTCCCAGTCTGCCCCATCCCCAGCTGCGGCCCTCGCCCACCGGTCGCCCGCTGTACAGCCAGTGCGGCGTTCGGGTGCTCACCCAGCTCACCTCTCACAGGGGCCCTCTCGGCCCCCGTCCTGCGCGTTCACCCTCCCCCACGGTGCCGCTGCGCACCCCTCCCCCTCTGTACTTAGCTGCCTGGAGCACTCGGGCTGTTTCACACTTCTCAGCCTTTGACCCCAGGGTCCTGAACCCAGGCTGCCCTCTCCAGCTACCTTCCTTGCTCTGTTCCCTGCTGTCCTTCCGGACGTGGGCTCAGCTGCCAGGGGGCTCCGCCCTCCCTGCAGCATCAGCTGACGGGTCCATGCTGCCCTGGAGGGTAGGCACCCTGGCCTCTGATTCTTGGTCAGACAGAGCCTGCGGCCCTCAGGCCTGTGGTTGCCTGCAGCTCGCTCCTCCTGGCCACTCCTCGTGGCCCTTGGGAACCTGGACGGTGGCCATCAGGTGGTGTGGGGCCCTGCTGTGTTCATCTGCGAGCCTGTTCAGTGGAGGTAGCAGCTGAAGGTGGGACAAGCAGAGCGTTGCCGAGCCGCTGGAGCTTGGGGCAGCCCCATGTTAGGTCTTTGCTTCATGGCCTGAGGGGGACTGGCTGAGGCCAGGAATGCAGAGTCCCCACTGGCTCTCTCGAGCTGACTGGGCCTCCTCTCCTTGCACCTGCGCCCCAGAGCCAGAGCCTGAGCCGCCAGCCCTGGACAGACCAGGCCGTAGGGAGCTTCTGGTGGTCCGGGAACACGAGGACATTGTCCTGACTGCCACGCTGCCCACACCCTCTGTGGCTGTGGTGACTTGGCTCAAGGACGGCGTGGAGATTCGGCGCAGCAAGCGGCATGAGACGGCCAGCCTGGGGGACACTCACACCCTGACCGTGCGTGGGGCGCAGACCCTGGACAGCGCGATCTACAGCTGCCGCGTGGGAGCTGCGGGGCAGGACTTCCCGGTGCAGGTGGAAGGTCAGCGGCATGTGCGGTCTTCCGAGAACCGCACCTGCTGGGGTCTCACGGGAGTGGGTGCAGGCCGTGTGCGGAGCGGATCCAGGTGGGGGCTCAGGGCGCAGGACCCCAAAGCGCAGACATGGTCCCCATGGCCCCTCCCGGCTGACGTTCTGCACCCCCCACAGAGGTTGCCGCTAAGTTCTGCCGGCCCCTGGAGCCCGTGAGCGGGGAGCTGGGTGGCACAGCGACGCTGACCTGTGAGCTGAGGCCCCAGCAGGCCGAGGTGCTGTGGCGCTGCGGGAGCACGCAGCTCCGGGCGGGGAAGCGCTTCCAGATGGCAGCCGAGGGGCCCCTGCGCTCGCTCACCGTGTCGGGCCTGAGGGCGGAGGACACGGGCGAGTATGTCTGCGAGAGCCGCGACGACCGCACCAGCGCCCGGCTCACAGTCTGCGGTACGGCAGCCTTGGCGCGCAGCCTGGGGCGCGGGGTGCGGGGCCGGGCGGGCAGCGGAGCCTCCCCGGCAGCATCCCGGAGGGGGCGCCCTTCTGCGGTGTCTTCCGGGAGGCTTCGCCCCTCCTGCCCACCTCTCAAACGGAGCTCCTGTCCATAGTCCCCCGCGAGGTCAAGTTCACGTCGGGGCTGAGCGCCGTGGTCGCAGAGGAGGGCCGCGAGGCCATCTTCCAGTGTGTGGTGACCCCCAGCGACGCTGCCGTCACGTGGTTGCGGGACGGTGCCCAGCTGCAGCCCTGCGAGAAGTTCCTCATGTCGCAGAGCGGCACCAGCCACAGCTTGACCATCTCGGGTCTGACCCTGGAGGACGCAGGCGAGATCACCGCGGAGGCTGAGGGCATCACATCCTCAGCTGCCCTCCGGGTCCGCGGTGCGTGTGCGTGTGCGTGCGTGCGTGCGTGTGTGTGTGTGTGTGTGTGTGTTGGGCAGGGGCAGGCAGCAGGGAGCTGGGCGGCAGGGAGCTGGGTGCCCAGGAGCTGGGCGCCCCCTGGGTGGGCTGGCTCCTGGCCGGCTCCCTGCTGCTGACCTCAGGGGGCAGGGTTTGCTGACTGCAAAGGGGAGCCTGTGATAGGACTGAAGGGCTGGGCACTGTATACCTGGTCTGAGAGGGGGGTCCCACACTGCGCTCCATAGATGGTGAGGCTGGTGGGGGTGGGGGGGCGGGGGAGTGTAATGGGCAACCAGTGCAAGAGAGACAGATGAGAATGCACTTTGCTCACTGAAGCCAGACTGTGCTGGGGAGAGCCAGGTGTTACCTGAGGGTAAGTGGGGGGCATGGCAGGCTTCCGAGTCAGAGCAATGTGGGCAGACTCACCTTCTGGGGTGGTCGTGGTCCAGCCTGGGCCTGGGAGGCCCACTCCAGCTAGACCCTCTTCCTTGCTGTGTGTGCTCCCGGGGCTTCAGTGGGGCGGAGGTGCTCATGCTGAGGGCCTGGGCTCAGAGTCCACCTGTCTCCCCAGCTCCCTGTGTCCTGAGGCTGCTGGACACCGGCCGCACCTAGGAGCTCTGGGCACTGGGCCATGGCAGGGTTGTGCACAGCGGGGCAGAAGATGTGGGAGGGTTGGGGAAGGAGAAGCCTCCTTAGTCTCCGGTTCCTCCCACAAAAGCACATTTGTGCACATGCACAGCGGGGCCTGAGCTTGGCTCAGGCCTCGCCTGGCCTGCAGTCAGAACGTGGCAGGGCCCCACCCTGCCTGCTGGGGGCTGGGGTGGATGGGGACTCTGTGCGCCTGGCTTCCCTGAGTGGCAATGGCTGCGTGACTGCCTTTTCCCTGACCCCAGAGGCTCCCGTGCTGTTCAAGAAGAAGCTGGAGCCACAGACGGTGGAGGAGTGGGGCTCTGCGACCATGGCGGTGGAGCTGACCAGGCCTTGGCCAGAGGTCAGGTGGACGCGCAATGCCGTGGCCCTGGCCCCAGGCGAGAAGGTGGAGGTCCGCGCGGAGGGCACGAGTCACTCCCTGGTCCTCCGCAGCGTCGGTTTCGCTGACCGCGGCTTCTATGGCTGTGAGACGCCAGATGACAAGACGCAGGCCAAGCTCACGGTGGAAAGTGAGCTGCAGGGCAGCTGGGCCCGGGGGCCACACCCAGGCGGGCGGAGGGAGGGCAGGGGGGCAGGCGGGGAGCGGGTTGCCCACTGGGGACCGGGCCCTAGGAAGGGGATGGGAAGGGCGGCTGGGGGCGGACCGCCAACCCCGAGGGGCCGGCTACGAGAGGGGCTGTGCGGGCAGGCGGGGCGGGCCTTCCATGGAGAGCCGTTGCCGTCCGGTGGTGGCTGGGAGTGGACCTTCCCCTCTCGGGCCGCAGGCTGGGCTGAGGCTGGGACCAGGGCCCTGGTGTGGTGGCACACCCGTCCCGCGTCTGCCCTGCAGTGCGCCAGGTCCGGCTCCTGCGGGGCCTGCAAGCGGTGGAGGTACAGGAGCGGGGCTCGGCCGTCATGGAGGTGGAGCTGTCGCATGCCAATGTGGAGGGCAGCTGGACGCGCGACGGCCTCCGGCTGCAGCCAGGGCCCGTGTGCCAACTGGCGGCGCGAGGCCCCACCCACACACTCACGCTGTCTGAGCTGCGGCCACAGGACGGCGGTCTCATCGCCTTCAAGGCCGAGGGCGTGCACACGTCTGCTCGGCTTGTGGTGACCGGTGCGTGGGGGAGGGGAGGGACCTGCTCGAGAGCACACCCGTCCCTGTCCCTGAGGTGGCCCGGGAGGCAAGTGGGTACAGGGAGGTGGAACCTGGGGATGAGGGGAGCATCCACTCCTAGAGCCCGCTGAGGGATCTGGTCCAGCTCAGTCCCCTCCGCCCCTGCCCAGGGCATATGCAGGACCTGCCTCTCATCTCCTCCTCCTGCCTCCCCAGAGCTGCCTGTGAGGTTCAGCCGCCCGCTGAAAGATGTGGTGGCCACAGAGAAGGACAAAGTGACCTTGGAGTGTGAGCTGTCCCGTCCCAATGTGGATGTGCGCTGGCTGAAGGTGCCTCTGTCCCTGGACCCTTCTGCTCCATCCCACCCCTCCCCGTGGGAGGGCTGGAGGAGGTTGGGGAGGCACCCCCAGCGCCTGACCTGGCCTCGTGCCCCTACAGGATGGCGTGGAGCTGCAGGTGGGCAAGACAGTGGGCCTGGCAGCCCAGGGCACCTGCCGGACCCTCACCATTTACCAGTGTGCCTTGGGGGACCAGGGCGTGTACGTGTGTGACGCCCACGAGGCTCAGACCACAGCCTCCCTGAAGGTGCAAGGTGAGGACCGGGTGGGGTGGGGGTCAGGGCCAGGTGCAAGGACCTCTGGGACCCTGCGTCCCCCATCGAGGTACGTGCCTTCTGGTCCTGAGCCCGTCCTGTGCTCAGCAAACTGGGAGTGGGGGCGGGGTGGGCCGTCTGTGTGTCTGAGTGTGGCGGGGCCTCCCTCCATGCCCTAGGCCGCAACGTGCAGATCCTGAGGCCCCTGGAGGATGTGGAGGTGGCAGAGAAGGAGAGCGCCACCTTCTCCTGCGAGCTCTCCCATGGTGACGTGCCAGCCCAATGGCTCCGGGAGGGCAGTAAGCTTCGGCCCAGTGACAACGTGCGCATCCGCCAGCAAGGTGTGAGGGCAGCGAGTGGCAGTGGGAGGGTCTGCCCTGCCCCGCGCCCCTCCCCCAGTGCTGAGTGGTCTGTGTCCCCAGAAAGGACATTCACACTCATCTACCGGAGGGTCCTGGTGGAAGACGCGGGAGAAATCCGATTCGTAGCTGGAAATGCAGAATCTCGAGCTCAGCTCCGAGTGAGAGGTGAAGGGAGGGTGCAGGCTGGACACCCAGTGAGAACACGCGTGTGCGCGGAGCCAGCCGGCCCGACGCGGGCCTGACAGGGCGGGTGACCCGGGAGGCAGGAAAGGGGCGTTGCCTCCAGGGAAGGAAGGCAGGGCTCTGGGGAGACAGCCCCCCTTTGTTTAAAGTGAGGGTGCCAGTGAACTCTCCCTCCTGGGACTGCAGCAGGGGCTGGAAAGGAGGGGTGTGAGGCTGGTGGACTTGACAGGAGAGAGGGGAGACCAGGCACAGGGGAGGGAGAGGGGGGCTTGCGGACCAGCAAGGCGACCACACAGGCTGCAGCGATGCGCAGGCCAGGGCGGGGCAGCTGTGGGGCAGCAAGGGGGTGCAGCAGGGCTGCAAGGGGTAAAGGTGTGTGAGCGTGCCTACCTTCTTTGTGGCCAACTGTGCAGAGGGTCCCAGCCCCGAGGGTGACACTTGGCTTAGCCTGGCTGGTTGGGGGCTGCACAGACAGAGCGCCCAGTCCCAGAGGGTTCAGGTGGCTGAGTGCCCACCCTGAGCCCTCCTGGCCTCGCCCACAGAGCTGCCAGTGTCCATCCTGCGCCCGCTGCGGGACAAGATCGCCATGGAGAAGCACCGCGGTGTGCTCGAGTGCCAGATGTCACGGGCCAGCGCCCAAGTGCGGTGGTTCAAGGGCGGTGTGGAACTGTGGCCGGGGCCCAAGTATGAGATGGTCAGCGATGGCCTCTACCGCAAGCTGGTGATCAATGACGTGCAGCCCGAGGACGAAGACACTTACACATGTGACGCTGGCAATGTGAAGACCAGCGCCCAGTTCTTCGTGGAAGGTGAGGCGGGGCCGGGGTGAGGCGACAGCTGTCTCCTTTGCCTGGGGGCGGGCCTAGGGCCCCTACCATTGGTCCTCATACTTGGAGGCATCCAGGTTGACTGGGGAGCTTTGGGGCAGGAGGGGCAGGGAGGGTGAGAAAATGAAGTGTGGGGGGAGGGTTTGTGCTCAGGAAGGAACAAGAATGGGGGTGCGGCCGTCCTCCCTTCCCCGGGAACTGCCTGGTGACACGCCCCTCCCCCACAGAGCAATCCATCAACATCGTGCGGGGCCTGCAGGACGTCACCGTGATGGAGCCCGCCCCTGCCTGGTTCGAGTGTGAGACCTCTATCCCTTCCGTTCGGCCACCCAAGTGGCTGCTGGGGAAGACGGTGCTGCAGGCCGGGGCGGACGTGAGCATGGCGCAGGAAGGCACCGTGCACCGGCTGACGCTGCGGCGCACCTGCTCCAGCATGACCGGGCCGGTGCACTTCACCATCGGCAAGTCTCGGTCCACCGCCCGCCTCGTCGTCTCAGGTGAGCTGCACAGCCGGCCGGCGGGCGGAAGGAGAGGCTGAGCGGACGGACGAGGTGCTGGACAGGGGCAGCTGATGGCGGTGTCTGGGGCTTCCGCCCGGCCCAGCCCGCCTGGCAGCGCTGCGCTCTCTCGTCCTGCTCAGACATCCCTGTGGTGCTTACGCGGCCGCTGGAGCCTAAGACTGGACGCGAGCTGCAGTCAGTGGTCCTGTCCTGCGACTTCAAGCCGCCCCCCAAGGCTGTGCAGTGGTACAAGGAGGACACGCCCCTGGTGCCATCGGACAAGTTCAAAATGAGTCTGGAGGGTCACATGGCGGAGCTGCGCGTCCTGCGGCTCACGCCGGCCGACGCTGGCGTCTACCGGTGCCAGGCGGGCAGTGCCCAGAGCAGCGCCCAAGTCACCGTGGAAGGTGCGTGGCAGGGGGTGCAGGGCCACCTGGTGGGCTCTGGTGCAGACGGCGGTGGTGTAAACTGAGCCCACCCCCCCGTGTGCTCTTGGCAGCGCGGGAAGTGACGGTGACGCAGCCGCTGCAGGACATAGAGGCCATGGAGGAGGGTCGCGCCTGCTTTTCGTTGGCGCTTTCCCACGAGGACGAGGAGGTGGAGTGGTCGCTCAATGGGACGCCCCTCTACAATGACAGCTTCCACGAAATCACCCACAAGGGCCACTGCCACACGCTGGTGCTGAAGCGGGTCAGGCGGTCCGATGCGGGCACTGTGCGCGCCTCTTCCCCCAAGGTGACGGCCTCTGCCCGCCTGGAGGTCAGAGGTGAGGCATCCCAGCGGGATCTGTGGGCGTTCCCCCAGGGGTCCCCAAATGGGAGGTGGCGGCTCTTTCGCTCACCCGCTCACACCCTGTCTTGCAGTGAAGCCAGTAGTGTTCCTGAAGGCTCTGGACGATGTGTCTGCGGAGGAGCGGGGCTCTCTAGCCCTGCAGTGTGAGGTCTCCGACCCCCAGGCCTGTGTGGTGTGGCGCAAGGACGGCGTGGAGCTGGGCCCCAGTGACAAGTACGAATTTCTGCAAACGGCGGGCACGCGCGGTCTAGTGGTGCACGACCTGAGCAGGGACGACGCAGGCCTGTACACCTGCCACCTAGGCACTGAGGAGACCCGGGCGCACGTCAGCGTGCACGGTGAGTGGGGGCGTGGCCGGGCTCTGGGGGTGGGTAGGGAGCGGCACCTCCCGAGGCCCCGCCTGCTCCTAAACCGGGGCTGCTGGGTTGCACCCCTGAGCTAGGAGAGGTCAGGCAGGCTCTGGGGGGAGTGGGCTTGACGTGGTCTTTAGGAGGCCCAGGTGCAGGCAGGTGGGCGGGGACTACGTTAATGGAGTGAAGCGTGGGAGACTCGGCGGGCCCTGCCCCATGGAGTCCCAGGTACCCGCGTTCCACCAGGGCCTGGAGACGGCCGCTGTGCGCCAGGGGTTGCATGTGGGCAGGTGTAAAGCCGGTCAAGGGAGCCCCTTGGAGGGGGAGTGACAGAGGCCTAGGTGTCAGGTGGAAGACGCCAGGTGGGTTTCAGCCTGGGTCTTGTTCCCCAGCCAGGTGGTTGCTATCCTGGCTCAGCTCCACTAGGCTTGTCCCCTTCCACATGCATGGCAGGCCTGTTCTCTATGAACCCATGGCGGGGGCGGGCGGGGGGGTCCCTGACATCTGGTGGGTTTTGAGATGAGACAGGAACGGTTGGAAGTACAGTGAGTCCCAGAGCTAGATGGCCCCTTCACTCGAGATGGCCTGTCCTTTCTCCTCCAGACCATGCGAGCTAGTGAAAACCTCTGATACTTTGTTCTCTGCCCCTTGTTCTGTAGCAGATGGGAAGGTGGCTGCCCTGGCTGGTACAGCTCTTGGTCATCCAAACACCAGGGCTGGGCCAGCTGGAGGCCAAAGGGGAATTTACTGGGGGGCCGGGGAGGGTGAGCATTTGAGCCTCTGGGACACTTTGGCGCTCAATGGTGTTGGCCTTGAGAGGCAGGCATCTGGGGTCCAGCCAGAGTGATGGCTGCCTCCCGTGGTTCACAGACCTGCACGTGGGCATCACCAAGAGGCTGAAGACGGTGGAGGTGCTAGAGGGTGAGGGCTGCAGCTTTGAGTGCGTCCTGTCCCACGAGGACACGGGCGACACCGCCGTGTGGACGGTCGGCGGGAAGACAGTGGGCCGCTCCGGCCGCTTCCGGGCCGCGCGCCAGGGCCGGAAGTTCACGCTGGCTGTGCGAGAGGCGGCGCTGGGCGACTCTGGGGAGGTGGTCTTCTCCGTGCGGGGCCTCACCTCCAGGGCCTCGCTCGTCGTCAGAGGTGAGCACCACGCGCGTGCCAGGGGCAGGCGAGGCGCCTCTGTGTGCTGAGCTTTGGGCTCCCCGCAAGGCGCTGCCAGGGGCACTCGGGCTGGGCAGCCTGCCGGGGGTGTCTCTGGGGACTGTCTCCCTCAGCCGTGGGTGGGGACCCAGAGGCTCCTGTTCGGAGGCTGGGGGTTCCTGGTTGTCCAGGGACTCAGTCTCTGGGCAGGAGCAGGGCGTCTCGTCTCCCACCCCTGGTCCAGCTACCGTGGTGGCTCCAGGGCACGTGGTCACCAAGCAGTGCAATCAGTGAGCAGGTGCCCCAGCACAGACACTGGTGCAGGTCAGTGAAGCGTGTTCACAGTGGGCACCAGCCCTGTCCACGCTCTGAGTCATGGGCTCTGAACGACGCTGGAAGCCTCTGCTCTCACGTCTGCCCCTCGAAGGCTCCTCGCTTGCACCAGCGGGGCTTCTGGCATCCCAAGGCCCCGCAGCCCCTGGGCCCGAGGTCCTAGAGCTCCAGGTGGCACGTCTGCGGCCTCGGCCCCCGGAGCCTGAGGTGCGGAGGCCGGCCCTGCCGTCACCTCCGGCATGGCCGCGCGCATGCTTCACAGGCTGTTTCTGCCCCTTCAGAACGGCCGGTGGACATCACGAAGCCGCTGGAGGACCAGCGGGCCGTGCCAGGGGCGGACGTGATACTGAGCTGTGAGCTGTCGCGGGCGGGCGCCCCGGTGCGCTGGCTGAAGGACGGGAAGGCCGTTCGCAAGAGTCAGAAGTATGACCTGCTCAGCGAGGGCGCACGGGCAGTGCTGGTGGTGCGTGCAGCCTCGCTCAAGGACTCTGGAGAGTACACGTGTGAGACAGAGGTTTCTAAGAGCACAGCGAGGCTCCACGTGGAAGGTAACGCCGCGGGAGATTCTGAAGCAGCCCCCGTGGCCTCTCCCCTCAGCACTGCGGGCCCAGCTGGGAGGGCGGGGCCCAGAGGGAGGGGCTTCCGCTCAGTCCCTGAGGTTGCGTCGGTGGGGAGGGGGGCGTGAACTGCTTGTGTCCCAAGGGTCAGAGTGCGGTTTCAGGCCTCACCCTCAGCCCTTTTTGCCTCTTCCCCCAGAAACGGCAAACCGGTTCACAGAGGAGCTGGTGGATCTGCGGGTGGAGGAGAAAGGCACGGCCGTGTTTACTTGCAAGACAGAGCGCCCTGCAACCACGGTGACCTGGCGCAAGGGCATCTCCGAGCTGCCTGCCTCGGAGAAGCACACGCCCAGCCAAGAGGGCGTGACCTTGAGGCTCACCATCAGTGCCCTGGAGAAGGCCGACAGTGACACCTACACTTGTGACATCGGCCAGGCGAGGTCGCAGGCTCGGCTCCTGGTGCAAGGTGAGGCTGGCGTGTTGCACAGCTTTCATGGCCTGTGATGTGGCCCGTGGGCTGTGGACAAGCCCAGCCTTGGTTTCCCCAACTCCTGGAGGGGTTGCCTTCGGTGCTCTTGTCTTTGTGGCCCTCCTCATAGGACCTTGTGCAAATGAGTCAGTGGCCTCCATTTATTGCTGCATGTGTGTTCCCTCCTATGTGCTGACATGTGCCCGAGCCCCTTGCATGTGCTCTGAGTATATTTGCACACACAGGTACCACCTCTGCACGTGAAGGTCCCGGGTTTGAGCAACAGCTTGTGTCTGGCAGTCAGGGTGAGGCTCATCATTGTCTCCATCGCACTGATAAGGAACTGGGGCTCTACCTGGGTCGGAGGCCGGCCCCAGGCTGTCGGGCCTGTTAGCATCTGGAGGGCTGGGCCGGGCCTTCCTGATCCCCGTGCCCGCATCCAGAGTGGGGTCAATCGGAGGCCTCTCCTAGGGTCTCTCTGCAGGAGGGCAGAATAACAGTGCCTCACTCTGGGTTTTTCTCTCCTTTCCAGTGGAAATCTGGTGAGTCTATCGAGCTCAGTGCAAACATTTAGTTAATGCAGCAGGAGCTCTGCTGGCTAATAAGGTGGATACCTAACCAGGAAGTCAGTCAGTGCAGTGCCACGTGGTAACAATACATGCTCTTTAGAAAACCTACACCACACACCGGTGAGTCTGTCTGGCGTGTGGCCAGCACCGTTACGCTGTGTGTTGGTCCTTGAATCAGAATTTCTTGTCTCTGACCAGTCAACTCCTGATGCACCATCTGCGCTTTCTGGTGCCTAGTTCCCGGTGCCCAGGGCCCAGTGTCCTGTGTCTGGTATTTGGCATTGGTGTCCGGTGTCCGGTGTCTGGCATCAGCTGTCCAGCATAGGTCAGCTTCCAGACACCTGTAACTGCAGGGAAATCTATTGCACACCTATTTCCGCAGTTCACTTTTTTCTAAGTGTCCCTGACTTAAGTTGGCGGGGGAAAAAAATGAACAATTCATGTTGTCAAACCTCCAGAGCACTGAATTTAAATATTAACACAGTCATGCCTTTTTTTTACACTGTGATATCTTTTGTTAATTCGAGATTGGTTTTGTTACATGATCCTGGGGACAGGTGCACCGGCAGGGACAGGTTGGAAGCCCAGCCTAGGGAGGAGCCCTGTGGGTCACTCTTCATGTGCTGCAGAAAGACTGAGCAGGCCTGAGGCCCCCCCCACGGACCTAAAACAAACACTCTGTCGGTTCACCTCTGACGCACTCACTGTTTCCTTAGTGTCATCATCCTGGACCTGTTACAGTCACCAGTTTGTTCGGGCCGTGAGCCCACACCAGGTCTAGGGGAGCGCCCTCTTCCCTCCGTGGGGTCCTGACATACCCACCCTGCCCCCCAGGCCAGAGAGTGCTCATCCTGGAGGAGCTCGGGGACGCCGAAGTGCAGGAGGGCTGCTCGGCCACCTTCAGCTGCCGCATCGCCCCCGCTGACTACGGGCCTGTCCACTGGTTCCTGGACAAGACTCCCCTGCACGCCAACGAGCTCAATGAGATGGAGGCGCAGCCGGGCGGCTGCCACGTGCTCACCCTGCGACAGCTTGCGCTCAAGGACTCCGGCACTGTCCATTTTGAAGCAGGCGACCAGCGGTCCTCAGCCGCTCTGCGGGTGACAGGTGCGCTATGTGCCCAGTGCCGTGGTGGGAACCAGTCCGTGTGGCTCCAGACACAGGGCGATCCTGGGCTCACAGAGAAGGTGCTGTGGGCTGGGCCTTGGATCCAGGGTGGGCTTGGGAGGCTGGGTGTGGGGGTTTCAGGATGGCTCGGTGCACGGGGTATGCAGAGGCGATCCCACGGTCAGTGTGGCCTACGCCTGGCCATGCCCCTGTGGTGGGGGAAGCCACTCCGAGCCTGGATTGTCTGTGTCCCTAGCCTGGGGTGGACAGATGGGCCCTGACCTGGGCTGTCAGCTGGGTTGCAGCAACACCTGGAGCTTCTCCTGCGGAGCCTACAAGTGCCCTGTCTTCCTCCCTTTGTCCCCAGAGAAGCCGAGTGTCTTCTCCCAGGAGCTCAAGGATGCCACAGTCACGGAGGGGGAGGATCTGACCCTGGTCTGTGAGACCACTGCCCCAGACACGCCCGTGCACTGGACAAAGGACGGGCATGCCCTGCGGGCCTCGGCCCGATGCCAGCTGAGCCGTGAAGGCCACCGCGCCGAACTGGTCATCACTGGCACCACCCTGCAGGACGGCGGGCGCTACAAGTGTGAGGCTGGGGGTGTCTGGAGCAGCTCCATTGTCAGGGTCCACGGTGAGCCCCCAGCCAGCCCGGCCAGCCCCCGCGGTGCGCCGGGTGTCTGTCCCTTTCACCGTGCTCAGCGATGGGGAGGCTCGGGACCCGCCCAGCTCCCTCTCTCTTGGCCTGGGCCCTCTCAGTGTCCGTGTGTAGAGGTGAGGGGGGTACACCCAGCTCTGTCCACCTGGTCTCTCTGAAGCTCATTCCTGTACCTGCTGCTTCCTCTCTCTGGGTCTCTGCTGCTGAGAGAGCCCCCATGTCTCTCTGTTCATCTCCTGGGGTTGGGGCTCCACTAAGTGACGGGGTCACACTATAGCTCTTGACACTCTACTTTTCTTTGTTCTTCTGTTTGGCTCCCCTTTCCGGAGGGTCCGAGGTCTCAGGTCACTGTCACCAGCCCTTGATGTAGGAGGGGTGAGGCAAGGCCGCCTGCAGAGCGCGCACGTGGCCCCAGCCCTACGCAGCTGTGGGGCAGACCCAGGGGGACGCGGGGCTGAGGACGCGCTAAGCCTGTGCCTTCCGCAGCCCGGCCGGTGCGCTTCCAGAAGGGGCTGAAGGACGTGGAGGTGCTGGAGGGCGGGGCGGCCACGCTGCGCTGCGAGCTCTCGTCTGTGGCTGCGCCTGTGGAGTGGCGCCGAGGGGATGAATCCCTGCGGTCCGGAGGCAAGTACAGCATGCGGCAGAGGGGCGCCACCCTGGAGCTCGTGGTCCAGGACCTGCAGCCCAACGACAGCGGCCAGTACTCCTGCTGTTTCGGGGACCAGAGGACCACAGCCACGCTCACAGTGAGGGGTAAGACAAGCCCTGCCAGACATAGACACATGGGGGGCCTACATCCTCGATGGAGGAGGAAAAGATATGTCCTGGTTTTGATGTTCCACAGCCCAGCCAGCGGAGTTCATAGGACGATTGAGAAACAAGGAGGCGACGGAAGGGGCCACGGCGACGCTGCGCTGCGAGCTGAGCAAGGCGGCCCCCGTGGAGTGGCGGAAGGGGCCCGAGGCCCTCGGAGCCGGGGACAGGGTCCGCCTGCGGCAGGACGGGGCCGCGTGCGAGCTGGAGATCCGGGACCTGGCCCCGGGCGACTCTGGGGAGTACTCGTGCGTGTGCGGGCAGGAGAGGACGTCGGCCACGCTCACCGTCCGGGGTAAAGACCACGTGTGGCCCAGCGGAACGGCGTGTTGGTGTCCGGGTCGTCCCCGTCGTGGCCGCTGTGTGCACCTGTGCCGTAGCCCACGGAGGGCCCCCTCCCCCTCGGGCTGTTGTTGGAGCCACGGGGAGCCAGCACCTGGGCCCCCGGACACCGTCCTGTCCCCGCTGGCTCTGTCCTGTCGTCCTCTCGGAGTCCGTGTCGTGTCCTCCGTCCAGTCGTGTCCTGCCGCGAACTTCCCCGCAGAACCTGCCTCCCGCGCCTGTCCCAGCCTCCCCAGCCGCGGCCGCCAGGTTCCCGGGACGCCCGAGGCGGAGGCGTCCGTGACGGGGGGCCTCGGTCGCTCTGTTCGGAGGCTGCGCCGAGGGCAGCCTCCGTCCACGGCGGGGGCTGGGCCCAGCCAGCACGAGGCCCCTGTCCGGATGGCGTTCGCGTCTTCTCTGCGTCGTCCGCGTGGTGTCTCCTCTGTGTGCTGAGGTGCGTGACTGTGTCTGTGTGTGTCTGCCCCCGCACCAGCCCTGCCCGCGAAGTTCACAAAGGGCCTGCGGAAGGAAGAGGCGACGGAAGGGGCCACGGCGACGCTGCGCTGCGCGCTCTGCAAGGCGGCCCGCTGCTGGGCGGAAGGGGCCCTCGGCCCTCGGAGATGGGGGCGTCAGGGCGGGGGCCTGGCCGCGGCGCGGTGTGGCTGGCAGCCGGGCGATGGGTCAGGTCCCCGTTCGGGGGGCTCTGGTCCCCAGGGGCCCTCATGAGGCCCCGGTCACTTCCGGAAGGGCAAGCAGATGGCCAGGAGCAGGGAGAGGCCGTCCCGTGTGCCGGGAGGGTCCCGGGAGCCACGCGGACGAAGGGGTGCAGGGGCGGGGTGGGGAGCCTCGGACGGAGCAGAGGGCAGGCCGCCTCTGCTGGTGTGCGGGGCCTCGGCGTCCGAGGCCCTGGCCAGGCCCGCTCACGAGACAAGGTGGGCAGCAGAGCAGAGGATTTTGGGGGCCGGGCAGGGCCATCACGCGCAGAAGCGTTCAGAGCCCGGGGGAGCAGCCACCGCCACGAGCCCCAGAGCTCCGCGGACGGAGACAGAGCGCCGCGCCTGCGGCGGGCAGGACCCGGGCCGCGGTGCCGGGCCGCTGTGCCGGGAGAGCGCAGGGCATGGGCTCCGAGGGCCGCCGCTCAGCCCGTAGGCGGGGAGAGCCGGAAGTGACAAGCTGCAGGCGGCTCGAGAGAGCTGCTTCCAGAAGCGTGGGGGTCCCAGGGACCCCCGTTCCAGGGCGGCAGGCCTGGAGGAGGGCGCGCGCGGACCCTCCCGCCCGGGGTGTCCCCTGCTCGGGTCTGTCCACGTCAGCCCCGGGGAGCCCGGGGCTCTGGCCTCCGGAGCGGAAGGAGGGGACAGTCCGTGAGCGCCGATGCGAACTAGCGGGAGAGCCTTAGGCCGCCTTTCCGGGTCTCCTTCCTCCAGACACACCCGTCAGGGCCCCAGATTGCCAAGAAACGGGGAGGCCGAGAGGGGCGGTGGCCACGGTTCGGTTCGGCGAGCCGTGTGGCGTGTGGAGTGAGGGCAGGGGCCTGGGCCCTCGAGCCTGGCGTCGGGTGCCTGTGAGTCGGGACGGGCGACAGAAGAGCCTGGAGCACCTCCTCCTGGCCCCGATACCCGCCTGCAGGCCGAAGGCCGCGACGGCCTTTCCCGGTCCTCGCGGACGATTCCAGCCCTTTGGCCTCCTCGCCGGCCTTCACCTGGCGGGGCCCCACGCCCCACGCCCCACGCCCCACGCGACGCACGCGTGCCCACGCTTTCAGTCCTGCTTGCTCCCGGCTGTGTTTCCTTGTCGGGCGTCCGTGTCGGGCGCACACGGCCCCCAGTTCGCCCCAGAGCGCCTCCGGCTCCATGTCTCTGTCCCGACGTGCCGAGGAGCCCGTGCCGTCCTCCGTGTCCCGAGTTCCTCTTGTTCCGCTCGCCCCGTGTCCCCACGTGTGCATTTGTTCACCTGTTCGTGCCGTGCCCGACGGCAGGGTGTGCGGTCCCCGTGGTGTCTCTGTCCTGGGTGCAGGGCCCCGCCCCCGGTCTGACGTCCCCTGTGTCCTCTACCCCCGCACCAGCCCTGCCCGCGAAGTTCACAAAGGGCCTGCGGAAGGAAGAGGCGACGGAAGGGGCCACGGCGACGCTGCGCTGCGAGCTGAGCAAGGCGGCCCCCCGTGGAGTGGCGGAAGGGGCCCGAGGCCCTCGGAGCCGGGGACAGGGTCCGCCTGCGGCAGGACGGGGCCGCGTGCGAGCTGGAGATCCGGGACCTGGCCCCGGGCGACTCTGGGGAGTACTCGTGCGTGTGCGGGCAGGAGAGGACGTCGGCCACGCTCACCGTCCGGGGGTAAAGACCACGTGTGGCCCAGCGGAACGGCGTGTTGGTGTCCGGGTCGTCCCCGTCGTGGCCGCTGTGTGCACCTGTGCCGTAGCCCACGGAGGGCCCCCTCCCCCTCGGGCTGTTGTTGGAGCCACGGGGAGCCAGCACCTGGGCCCCCGGACACCGTCCTGTCCCCGCTGGCTCTGTCCTGTCGTCCTCTCGGAGTCCGTGTCGTGTCCTCCGTCCAGTCGTGTCCTGCCGCGAACTTCCCCGCAGAACCTGCCTCCCGCGCCTGTCCCAGCCTCCCCAGCCGCGGCCGCCAGGTTCCCGGGACGCCCGAGGCGGAGGCGTCCGTGACGGGGGGCCTCGGTCGCTCTGTTCGGAGGCTGCGCCGAGGGCAGCCTCCGTCCACGGCGGGGGCTGGGCCCGGCCAGCACGAGGCCCCTGTCCGGATGGCGTTCGCGTCTTCTCTGCGTCGTCCGCGTGGTGTCTCCTCTGTGTGCTGAGGTGCGTGACTGTGTCTGTGTGTGTCTGCCCCCGCACCAGCCCTGCCCGCGAAGTTCACAAAGGGCCTGCGGAAGGAAGAGGCGACGGAAGGGGCCACGGCGACGCTGCGCTGCGCGCTCTGCAAGGCGGCCCGCTGCTGGGCGGAAGGGGCCCTCGGCCCTCGGAGATGGGGCGTCAGGGCGGGGCCTGGCCGCGGCGCGGTGTGGCTGGCAGCCGGGCGATGGGTCAGGTCCCCGTTCGGGGGCTCTGGTCCCCAGGGGCCCTCATGAGGCCCCGGTCACTTCCGGAAGGGCAAGCAGATGGCCAGGAGCAGGGAGAGGCCGTCCCGTGTGCCGGGAGGGTCCCGGGAGCCACGCGGACGAAGGGGTGCAGGGGCGGGGTGGGGAGCCTCGGACGGAGCAGAGGGCAGGCCGCCTCTGCTGGTGTGCGGGGCCTCGGCGTCCGAGGCCCTGGCCAGGCCCGCTCACGAGACAAGGTGGGCAGCAGAGCAGAGGATTTTGGGGGCCGGGCAGGGCCATCACGCGCAGAAGCGTTCAGAGCCCGGGGGGAGCAGCCACCGCCACGAGCCCCAGAGCTCCGCGGACGGAGACAGAGCGCCGCGCCTGCGGCGGGCAGGACCCGGGCCGCGGTGCCGGGCCGCTGTGCCGGGAGAGCGCAGGGCATGGGCTCCGAGGGCCGCCGCTCAGCCCGTAGGCGGGGAGAGCCGGAAGTGACAAGCTGCAGGCGGCTCGAGAGAGCTGCTTCCAGAAGCGTGGGGGTCCCAGGGACCCCCGTTCCAGGGCGGCAGGCCTGGAGGAGGGCGCGCGCGGACCCTCCCGCCCGGGGTGTCCCCTGCTCGGGTCTGTCCACGTCAGCCCCGGGGAGCCCGGGGCTCTGGCCTCCGGAGCGGAAGGAGGGGACAGTCCGTGAGCGCCGATGCGAACTAGCGGGAGAGCCTTAGGCCGCCTTTCCGGGTCTCCTTCCTCCAGACACACCCGTCAGGGCCCCAGATTGCCAAGAAACGGGGAGGCCGAGAGGGGGCGGTGGCCACGGTTCGGTTCGGCGAGCCGTGTGGCGTGTGGAGTGAGGGCAGGGGCCTGGGCCCTCGAGCCTGGCGTCGGGTGCCTGTGAGTCGGGACGGGCGACAGAAGAGCCTGGAGCACCTCCTCCTGGCCCCGATACCCGCCTGCAGGCCGAAGGCCGCGACGGCCTTTCCCGGTCCTCGCGGACGATTCCAGCCCTTTGGCCTCCTCGCCGGCCTTCACCTGGCGGGGCCCCACGCCCCACGCCCCACGCCCCACGCGACGCACGCGTGCCCACGCTTTCAGTCCTGCTTGCTCCCGGCTGTGTTTCCTTGTCGGGCGTCCGTGTCGGGCGCACACGGCCCCCAGTTCGCCCCAGAGCGCCTCCGGCTCCATGTCTCTGTCCCGACGTGCCGAGGAGCCCGTGCCGTCCTCCGTGTCCCGAGTTCCTCTTGTTCCGCTCGCCCGTGTCCCCACGTGTGCGTTTGTTCACCTGTTCGTGCCGTGCCCGACGGCAGGGTGTGCGGTCCCCGTGGTGTCTCTGTCCTGGGTGCAGGGCCCCGCCCCCGGTCTGACGTCCCCTGTGTCCTCTACCCCCGCACCAGCCCTGCCCGCGAAGTTCACAAAGGGCCTGCGGAAGGAAGAGGCGACGGAAGGGGCCACGGCGACGCTGCGCTGCGAGCTGAGCAAGGCGGCCCCCGTGGAGTGGCGGAAGGGGCCCGAGGCCCTCGGAGCCGGGGACAGGGTCCGCCTGCGGCAGGACGGGGCCGCGTGCGAGCTGGAGATCCGGGACCTGGCCCCGGGCGACTCTGGGGAGTACTCGTGCGTGTGCGGGCAGGAGAGGACGTCGGCAACGCTCACCGTCCGGGGTATAAAAGTCCCTGTGCTGTTCGAGACTCTAACGCGAATTGAGCCTTTACCTTCTGTCGTGTCCATCCCGAGTGTGTGACGTTCTCCTTCTGCCCGTTCTAAGGCTTTTCCCTCGGTTTCTGTCTCTTGCTTGTCGCTCCCTATGCCACGCTAAGAAGCCATGTAGTGAGTTTCATCTCAGTTCCCTCCCTTGGGCTGTCCCAGTTCTCAAAGGAATGGCAGTGTGTCCTTCTCTCTGTCTGAATGTGCTGATATATCCCCTTCCCTCCCAGCCTGCTGTTAGGGCCGAGCGGTGGGTGTCCTTGGAGCCTGGGGCGACCCCAGGCCCTCAGGGTCGGTCCTGGCGCGACACAGCCCTGCCTGCATGAGAGTCACATGGTTATCCAGCATCCCCTCCCACAGCTGCGGCCATAGACCCTCCGTCCCCTCGATGGGGGCCCCAGCTCATGAGGCCCACCCCTCCCCCAGTGTCCTGGGACCTGTGGCCACGGGCCCTTCCCGCGGCCAGGCAGCTGGGTTGAAGCTGAGGAGCAGGCTTGACCTAGGTTCTCAGTGGAGCCGACTGGTGTGGGGAGCCCTGTCTCCTGGTGGGGTGTCGGGGGTCCTGTGTTTTCCCTGGGTCTCTGGCCTGACCCTGAGTCCTCTCGGCCCGCCCCGCAGCGCCACAGCTGGTGTTCCGAGAGCCCCTGAGGAGCCTGCAGGCCGAGGAAGGCACGGAGGCCCGCCTGCGGTGCGCGCTGTCGGCGCCCGGCCCCGTGGTCTGGAGCAAGGGCGGCCTGGAGCTGCAGGCCAGCGGGCGCCGGGAGCTGCGGCAGCAGGGCTGCGCGGTCGAGCTGGTGCTGCGGGACCTGCGCCGGGAGGATGCGGGCGAGTACACCTGCGCCTGTGGCTCCCAGGCCACCAGCGCCACCCTCACTGTCACAGGTGGGCCCCCAGGTGGGCTCTGCCCTCTGCACAGGCCCGTCCTGCTTTTGGGGGTTCACTCTGGGCTGGACTCCCAGTCCAGGAGTCCCATCTGGGGGGGACCCTGGCTCTCACAGGGCTGGTGGGCGGACCTGACCTGAGGCTCTGTTGACCTTATGTTCCCCCTCTGCCCCACCGCCCAACAGCTGCACCTGTGCAGTTCCTCCGGGAGCTGCAGGCCCAGGAGGTGGAAGAGGGTGGGACCGCACGCCTGCGCTGCGAGCTGAGCCGGGCGGGCGCCAGTGTGGAGTGGCGCAAGGGCCTGCTGCAGCTCTTCCCCTGTGCCAAGTACCAGATGCTGCAGGAGGGCGTGGCGGCGGAGCTGTGGGTGCACGGTGTGGAGCAGGAGGACAGCGGCTACTACACCTGTGACACAGGCCACGCGCAGAGCACCGCCCGGCTCTCAGTCCGAGGTGAGCGGCCCCTGGCCCCTGCCTCCCCCAGGCCCCTCGGGCCCACAGCGTGGAGTAGGGGTGCCTTGCTCAGCATCTCTAAGTGCCCCTTCTGGTCCCTCAGTCCCCAGGCCCGTGTTCCAGACGGAGCTGCAGGGCACAGAGCAGGAGGTGGGCAGCCTGGCCCGGCTGTGCTGCCAGCTGAGCCAGGTGGAGCCTGGGGCCCCCGTGCAGTGGCTCAAGGAGGGCGAGGAGCTGCACGCAGGCCCCAAGTATGAGATGCGTCACCAGGGGGTCGTGTGCGAGCTGCTGATCCATGGGCTTGAGGCCAGGGACTCGGGCGAGTACGCCTGCGTGGTGGGCGGCCAGAAAACCGTGGCCTCTCTCAAAGTCAGAGGTGAGCCCTCCCCGAACAGCTGTCCTGTGACCCCTCTCGCCAAGGGCCGGCTGGGGTGGCTCTCAGGCCCCTGGGGCTGTGGGCTCTCCTCATTTCTGTGCCACTCCCCTGTCGACAGTGGGAAAGAAAGCTGAGGCTGCAGGGGTGCTGCCTTGGCCCCGGCCCCCAGCCGGCAGGGGCGCAGCCTGGCCTGGGCTGCCTCTTCCGAGCTCCTGCCTGTCCGTCCGAAGGTCTTGCCTCCTTGATGTCCCGGCCAGGGCGGGGCTGGCCACAGGGTGCAGATGGACAGAGGCAACTCGCCACCCTGCAACCCCTTGCTCACTTTCCCCTAACAGAGGCATCCTCAGCCTATCTTTGCTCCCAGAGGTCCGTGTTTATAGCGAATGGGCTGGCGAATGTCATATGAGGCAATAGAGGCCATAGCAGGAGGAGTTTAAGAATATCCGGGAAGGCTTCCTGGAGGAGGAGTGGGACGTTGGCTGGGGTGATCAGACCTGGTTGGTAAAAGGCCCCCCTCACTCACACCCCAGAGTCCAAGGCAACCATGCTGCGGGGCCTGTTAGACGTTGAGGTGCAGGCCATAAGCGATGTGGAGTTCAGCTGCAGAGTGTCAAGGGCGGAGGCCACAGGCGCCCCGTGGTCTCACAGAGCAGTGAGGTGATGGGTGGCCATGAGGGATGAGCACACCCACATACTGAGGCTGCAGGGCGTGACGCCTGAAGGCGCAGGCACAGTGTCCTCCCACGTGGGCCTCCACAGGTCCCCAGCCCTGCTCACCGTCCAAGGTGGTGGGTGAGGGCGGCTGCCCCCTCACTACACTCGGAGCCAGAACGTCCAGGCCCTGATTGGGGACAGAAGTGGACTACAGGCGCCCCTGTTTGGGGGTTGGGGGCTAGCCCCACACATGGGTGGGGCCTTGGGGGCAGACTCCAGGACCGGAGGTGCTCCCGACAGTGGGGCGTCCCCAGGGCCGGGGCTGACGCCACACCTCCCCTGGTGCAGCCCCCGAGGTGGCCATCCTGGAGCCCCTGCAGGACGTGCAGCTCAGCGAGGGCCAGGACGCCCACTTCCGATGCCGGCTGTCCAGGGCCTCCAGCCAGGAGGCCCGCTGGGCCCTGGAGGGGGTGCCTCTGCAGGCCAACGAAATGAACGACATCACAGTGGAGCAAGGCACATTCCATTCGCTGATCCTCCACAAGGTGGGACCCTGGGACCTGCCTCCACCCACACGCTCCCAGGAGCGGGGGAGGGGTGGCTCCAACTGCAGCTGGATTGCCCTGAAGGCTCGCCGGGAAGGACGGTCCGAATGGGCTGCCAAACTGGACCCCGTCTCTGCTCCCCCAGGTGACCCTCGAGGACGCCGGGACCATCAGTTTCCAAGTGGGCTCATGCAGCTCAGAGGCCCAGCTGAAGGTCACAGGTGGGCAGCCCCTCCCATGCCCGGCAAGGTGATGCCTCCGTACTCCGCCCTGCCTGCAGAGCTGTTGTGGGTGGTGAGGTCAGAAACCCAGGTCTTCCAGCAGTGGTCTTGCCCTGGGGCGGCCCTTTTCCAACCCCTGACCGCGAATCCCATGAACCGGATTGCCCACTGAGGTGGGCTGGTAAAGATCAGCTTGAGAGATTCCGGTGTGCATACCTGTGTTTCTATAGCTCTTTTTCTCATGGCGGTCAGCTGTGTGGGGCTTGTGCTGTCTGCAGGAGGGAGATGGGAAGCTGGGCCGTGGGGGGAAGAGGCTGGGTCCTGAGGGGGAAGCCCTCTGTATGGCTAATCCTATGATACAGGTCTTCTTAACACCCATGTGCCCACTCGGCAGGCTCCCACGTGATGGTGCAATAGTGTAGTGTGCTTGGCCTCTGGCATGCAAACAGGATTTCAAGGGCCTTCAGCTCGGGTTATACCTTGTCTGCAGAGCTTGCCATTCCTGAGTCTCCCTTACTGCCCTTCTCCTGAGTCCCACGCTGATCCCACCTGTCTAACCAACTGTTTACTATCCACCCACCACTGATCCATCATCAACCCACCTACCATCCATCCATTCACCCACCATAGATCAATCCATCCATTTGCCATACTCCATTATTCACCCATCCATTCATCACCCACTCATCGAACATGTAGCATCCATTCACCGTCCACCCATCTGTCCACCACCAATCCATCCACCATCAATCCATCTTTCGTCTGTCCACTAACCATCATCTTTTGTTATTGACCCGTTCATCCACCTACCACCCATTCATCCATTCACTCACCCATCATTAGTCATCTATCTGTCCATCCATCCACCATGCAAAATCCTCCATTATTGATTCATCCATCCACCCACCATCCATTTGTTCATCAATCCAACTACCCATTCATTCATTCACTTAGCTGTCATATGCTTACCGAACCGCTCGCTTCTTCACCCTCCTATCCATCCACCACTCACCATCATCCATATGTTCATCCATCCACCGTTTACCCACCTATCCATCCATCTAACATCCATCACTCATCCACTATCCACCATCCATTCATTCATCAATCAACCCATCCATTCAGCCATTTATCCATCCATTTATCTATCACCCATTAACCCAACCGTTAATCTGTTCATCTATACATTCATCCATCCACCCGTCACCTCACCATCTACTTTTGTCTACATCTCAGACCTTGAGAGGGGCCAGGTGCAGCTCTGCCATTGGGGAGTCCCTAGTGCACTGGGGTAATTGGGCACTGGGGACAAAATATGTCCTGGGTCTTCAGTGGTGGACAGACACAGTCAGCTCTGTGGTCCCTGGGGCCAGGAGAGGCCTCAAGTTGAGTGGGGGGAGAGAGACAGTGTCCTAGGTGTCCCGGTCAGGCCAGACCAGGAAAGGCTTTGTGAGTTCATCAGGATGAGTGCCTCTGAGGGGAACATGGAGGTGGGTCCCCCTCCTGGAGCTGGGTTGGGCCTTATAGGTCTTCTTTAGGGCTGTGCCTTGGCCCCTGTCAGCCATCCTGTGCCAACTGGCTTGCGTACAGACACCTGGCCATGTCCTTGGGGGAGGGCAATGGGCATGGGGTTGTGCTAATGGGTGTCCTTGTAGGTGGTGTGTGGGTGGTGTGTAGGTGGGGTGTGGGCACCATGGGAATGGTGCTGGAGCTGGGGGAGCAGGCAGAGACTCTCGGGTGTGCCCTCGGGAGAGAGCTGGGGCAGGTGGAGGACTGGCGCTGGGGCTTCGGTGGCGCATGCCCAGGAAGGGCCTGGGGGGCTTCTGAGGAGGGCCTGGCTGGGGCACGTGTGGGGGCACAGCCGCCGCACCTGGGAGGCCCTGGCCCAGGCCTGCTGGGTGGCGGGGTAGGGAGCAGTTGCTGTGGGCATTAGGGCACTGGAGTCTCAGGGCCAAGGGGAGTGCAAGCGGCGTCTGGACGAGTGGTCTTCTGGGACTCGGAGAAGCATCTGCTTCCACACCTTCAGGGACAGAGGGCTTACTCCCTGAGGCAGGCCCCCACTCGGAGTGGTGGCCCACAGGCTCTCCTCCTCACCTCACAAAGATGGCAGCCACGGGGCTGGTTCATTCTAGCTGCGGATGAGGCCGTGGATGTGTGGCTTCTGTGTGCTTCTGTGGAACTGGGTGTATTTCAGAGAGGGGCGTGGTTGCAGGGGCCTGAGCCCGCTCTCTGCGAGCGGTGTGAGTATAGCATTCCCTGAGCAGGGTGGGGTCGCCGGCCCAGGTGGGTCTCTAGACCCAGCCCCAGGGATCCCCCAAACGGTAGACCCCAGCCTGCCCTCCTGTCGCCCTCTTGTGCAGAGGCAGCGCCATACCTGGTACGTGGCTTGCAGAACGTGGACGTGTTTGCGGGGGAGGTGGCCACATTCTCCTGCGAGGTGTCCCGTGCAGGTGGGCCCACAGCCCACTGGTGGCTGGATGGGACCCTGCTGCAGGACAGCGCCCAGAGTGCCATCTGCGTGCGCGATGGGACCTTCCACTCCCTCACGCTGGCGGGCCTGGGGGTTGCTGACTCAGGCACCGTCACCTACCGTGCGGGGGCCCTGGTCTCCACGGCCAAGCTGTTGGTCAAAGGTACCAGCGACGGGACCCGCCCACACCGGCTTCTGCCCCCGCTGCTTCCGCACACCTCCTGTGGCTCCCGGGCTGGGTGGTGGGGGCCCGCGTTGCCCGCACAGCCCGCGCCTGAGTGCCCAGGCCGCTGCCACCCTGCTTCCTGGGTGAGGACGCAGGCCTGGCTCAGAGCGGGGAGCTGGAGGCCAGCTTCCCGCCTGCCTGCTGGTGGGCCCTGCGTGGCCCTGCCGCCGGGCCGCCTCTCTGTGGCTGCACAGATGTCAGGCGCACACCCAGAGGGCAGCCTGGAGGTCAGGGCAGCCTTCCCGCCGGCTGCCTGCCCTGTCCCTGCTCGTGGCTGCTGCCACTGCTGTGGTCTGGGCTGCGGTCCGTGCTCCTCCGGGAAAGAGCTGGGCACTGGGGAGGGCCGCGGGCTGTCCGGGGACTCGCAGAGCCCTGCCAGCGCGGGCGACGCGTGCTCCGAGGAGGACCACTTGGTGTGGCTTCGCCTGGCGCGTTTGCCGACAGGTCTTCTCTGCACTGTTGCAGAATAAACAGACACCCGCTCTGGGTCCAGAGGGCAGGCCATTTGCTGAGTAGGATTTCCCGAGGTGGAGGTGGGACAGAGCACTCTGCAGAGGCCCCTGGGAAGGAGCAGGCAGGGCTGGGGCTGCTGTGTGCCCAGCAGAGGCTGTGGACCCCAAGGGGGCCCTGGGGCTTTTAAAAGGGAGCGTTATGTCCCTGCTGGAGCAGCATGCTCCCCGGGGTTCAGGGGGTGAGAGGGGCCAGGAGAGGCCCGGGGGACAGGGGACATTCACCATGGGGAGGGCGTGTGGGGGCGAGGCCCGCCCTGTGTGGAGGGTCCTGGGCTGCCATGGCCAGTTCTTTCCTGCTGAAGGCTCTCGCTTGCTTGCTGATGAGCCGCTGCATTGACTGCAGAGGACGGGTGGGCGCGGGCCACGCTGCGCAGGCTGACACGTGCCCGGCGTGTTGGCCGACAGACCCCGCGGTGGAGGTGGTCAGTGCCATGCAGGACCTGCAGGTGGAGGAGGGCGGCGCGGCCGAGCTGCTTTGCCAGTACTCGCGGCCCGTGCCGGCCACGTGGAAGAAGGACGAGCAGGAGGTGTGCGCTGACGGGCACCGCGTTGTCCTAGAGCAGGACTGGACCGTGGCCAGGCTGTCCTTCAGGCCGGCCTTGCCCTGCGACAGTGGCATCTATTCTTGTGAGGCCGCGGGCACCCGTGTGGTGGCTCTGCTGCAAGTGCAAGGTGAGCCCCGCAGGCAGCCCCGGCCGGTGCGGGCCAGGGCAGGAGGGGGGCCTCAGGCGGAGCCGGGCAGCGTGGCGCGACCACGCCTGCCCTGGAGAGACGGGGTCTGCGTGGGGGTCCTGCTGCGGCCGACTGGGCCCTGAGCCCACCCCCGCCCAGACCTGCACCCCTCCCCGAGCAGCTTGACTAGACAGGGTGGCTGGACAGATCCTGGGCAGGGACTGAGCCTCAAGAACTTGCGCCCAGAATCCTGGGGAGGGAGAAGCGGACAGGGAAGCAGTGTCTGGGCGGGCGAGCAGGCCTGGGCCTCAGGGCACTCGGCAGGGCTCTGGGTGGGCTGTGTCCCCTCGCGTCATGTGCTCAGGTCCCGGCTCTGCCCCTCCCTCGTCTGGTCGCCCAGAGGGTGCACCAAGCCCCATGTCCCTGAAAGGATCTGCAGCTGGGGGACCAGGAGCAGGGGAAAGACAGTGGGTCGCCCACTGTGGGGAAGGCGGGGGCCACTTCCTCTTTGGGAAAGTCTGAACCGGGCCGGTGGTGCGTGCGCTGGAGGGTGGGGACGGCTGTCGGGGGCGGTCTGCGCTGGCAGGCGGGTGTGCGCTTGTGCGAGCAGGCGAGACCAGTGTCCACGACTGATCACCGGGGGGCACCCCCACCCCATTCAGTCCCTGGCTCAACAACCGAGTTTTGTAAACCCTTTTACGGTGCTTAGGAGCACCTCAGGGAACGCACAGAAAACCCTCCCTGCATGGCAGCCCCAATGTCCCTGCTGCAAGAGTGACAGGACCCCTGGGGAGGCACCGCTGGGTAGGGGCCGGAGCGTGGGGGCAGGGCTCCGGGACACGGGGCAGGGCCTTCCGCCACAGGCAGGTCCCAGCGGAGCAGCAGGCACGAGAAGGGAGCGGGGCCCCAGGTGCTCGGGGGCTTGCCGCTGCGCTGAAATCTGGGATTTCATCCAACAAGCAGCCGTGGCACCTAGACAGGAGCGGAGGGTGGGCTCCCGCCGTGGTCTCTGGGCCGCCCCGCCCCGGCCCCACGGTCAGCAGGCAGACCGCGGCGACTCCTGAGCTGCTGTCGGATCCCCCGCGGGGAGGCAGGGGCTGGCCATGGCACGCCTGGGCTGTGGGCGAGCAGCTCGGGGTGGGGGGTGGCCCAGTAGAGGGGTGCCGGTGGCCCGCGAGGCCTCTGCTCCAAGACACCCTCTGCCTTCACTCCCTGGGCTGCTGTTCGCAGCAGACGCCCTGCCTGCAGGTGTGGGCCTGGGCTGCCAACGAGCGGGCCGGACCGCCGGGGCCGTGAGCTGGTTCCGTCCGGGCCACGTGACCAGACAGCACCGGGTCTTTGGGCCCGGGCCCCCGCCTCAGCGGCTGCATGGGCCCCTTGCTGTCTTGTGCATCTAGGCCAGACCCTCCCTGGCACCCAGGCCAGCCCTGGGCCACCGGACGCTCTTGTGCTGCCTGACCTCGCCACCTGGCCCCTTGCACCCGGCGCCCCGCCAGCCTGACTCCCTGCTGTCCGCCGTGCGTCCCTCTGTCCTTCCCTTGCCAGTGTCCCCTCGTGTCACTCCTTTTGGCTTGACACCTGTCCTGGGAATGGCGTTAGGAGGTGGCAAGCCAGCACAGCCAGGCACTGAGGTCCTGGCTTCCACGAAAAATGTGTGGCCATGTATTACACTCACAGACTTTGTAGGAGAGAACCCGGGGTGGGGGGATGTGGGCAGAGGCGTCTCTGGCCCCAGCAAGCGAGGGAGCAGCCCAGAGGTCTGAGAGAGTTCGCGGGGGGACACAGGGCCAGATCCAGGGCCCCCCCTGCAGCCAGGGCAAGGGGTGGAAGCCCCAGGCCCGTTGGGAGCCCAGCCGTGGCTCCAGTGAGCGTGGGGAGCACCGGTGAGACCGCTCACCTGGCAGGCGGGGGACCGCCTTCCAGGCCATGAGCCCGGGGTCAGGGCCGGGGGTGGACGCGCAGGACGGCTCCGTGGGCACACCGCCCTCTCCGCCCTGGAGCCCCGCTGCTCGCGTGGACGGCTTGGCGGGGGTCCCGCCTCGACGGTGGGGGACTCTGTGCAGTGGAGGCTCCTGGACTCTAAGCCAGCTCTCCATCCCCCAGCCAAGAACACTGTGGTGCGAGGCCTGGAGAACGTGGAGGCGCTCGAGGGAGGGGAGGCCCTGTTCGAGTGCCAGCTGTCCCAGCCCGAGGTGGCCGCCCACTCCTGGCTGCTGGATGACGAGCCGGTGCGCAGCTCCGAGAACACAGAGGTGGTCTACTTCGAGGGCGGCCTGCGGCACCTGCTCCTGCTCAGAAACCTGCGGCCTCAGGACAGCTGCCGCGTGACCTTCCTGGTGGGCGACGTGGTGACGTCGGCGTTCCTCACCGTCAGAGGTGCGGTGCGGCGGGGTCTCTGCGACCCCTCCCGCTGGACCCCCGGGCCCCTCCCACCAAACGCTGTGTCCCGAGCCCCTGGGAATCGGGCAGGGTCCAAGGGGATGAGGCGTGGCCCTGGGTCTCTGCGAGCCCTGCCACCGGCGGCCGGGGGTGCAAGGGGAACCTGGTCTGCAGGAAGCGGGGGTCTCTCAGACCCTTTCCCTTGACCCTGCGAGTGGGCAGAGCAGGAAGGGCTGCAGCCACCAGGCTGTGGGCCTGAGGGTCTCGGTCTCAGAGGCCCCGCCAGCAACAGCAGCAGGCTCGGAATCCCAGCCTGGGGTAGAGGGAGGGTGGGGGCGGTAAGAAGGGTGGCGTGGGGGTCTCCGAGCCCCCGGAGACAGTTCCTGGTGCCGAGCTCGCACCCTGGCCCCTACCACGCAGGCTGGCGCCTGGAGGTCCTGGAGCCCCCGCGGGATGCGGCCGTGCGGGCGGGAAGCCAGGCCCGCTTCAGCTGCACGCTCAGCGAGGCGGTGCCGGTGGGCGAGGCGACCTGGTACACCAACGGGGCAGCAGTGCCACCGGATGACCCCGACTGGACGGTCACCGCGGACGGCAGCCACCACACGCTGCTGCTGCGCCATGCCCGGCCGCGCCACGCCGGCGACATCACCTTTGCCGCCCGGGACGCTGTGGCCTCCGCGCGGCTCGCTGTTCTTGGTGGGTGGCCCACTGGCCTGCCGGAGCTCTGGTGCCAGACCCTTGCCTGGGTGGCTGGGTGGGGCCAGAGGTTCCAGCCCCAGAAGCTACTGGGGGCTCTCCGTGCCCCCTCCCGAGGGTGGGCTGCACACACAGCCTTTGTGACCAAACACGGGGCCCTTGCTCCCTGAGACAGGCGCCCCTATGCTGCGGCTCCCAGGCTGCCGGCACGGTCTGCGCGCACCCTCGCTGCGCCCAGGATTAGACCCCAGGGTGCACGTGGTGGTGCCCCCGCTGCGTGGACATTGGGCACCCCCTTGACTGCCACCCCCACCACACAGGCCTCCCCGACCCGCCGGAGGACGCCGAGGTTGTGGGGCGCAGTGACCACTCAGTGACACTGTCCTGGGCAGCGCCCACCAGCGACGGCGGCGGAGGCCTCTGCGGCTACCGGGTGGAGATGAAGGCATCCGCCACCGGCGAGTGGCGGCTGTGCCACGAGCTGGTGCCTGGGCCTGAGTGCGTCGTGGGCGGCCTGGCCCCGGGGGAGACCTATCGCTTCCGCGTGGCGGCTGTGGGCCCTGCGGGGGCTGGAGAGCCCGTGCACCTGCCCCAGATGGTGAGGCTAGGTGAGCTGCCGCGGCCCTCTGGGCCCAGCCCGAAGCACTCAGCCCTCCCCAGGCCGGGGGCGGGGCGGGGCGGGGCGGGGCCAGCCCTGGCTGACATGCTTGTCCCCAGCAGAGCCCCTGGAGCCTGCGCTTGCGCCCTCCGCTCCCGAGTGTCGGCAGGAGTGTCGGCAGGTGGCCGCAGGCGAGGACGTGCGTCTGGAGTGCGAGGTGGCAGAGGCTGGTGAGGTGGTTTGGCTGAAGGGGACGGAGCACATCCAGCCGGGCGGACGCTTCCAAGTTCTTGCCCACGGTCAGAGGCAGACGCTGGTGATCCGCGGCTTCTCGTCGGAGGACCAGGGCGAGTACCGCTGCGGCCCCACCAGAGACCCGACCTCTGCCGTCACCGTCGCCTTCCAAGGTGTGTCTTCAAGGCCCAGCGTGTGGCGGTGGGAGGGCGGCCCTGGGCTGTGGGTGACCTCCACAGTAGGAGTCCCCGGGGGAGGCCCGCCTCGCAGCAAAATGGCCTGGGGCTTGCTGGGGAGAGGCCCAGACCTTGCGTGGCTCAGCCACATGTCACAACCCATATCTCTGGGGTCTTAGGCTGCTCCCCCTCTCTGAGGGGGCCCTGGCCACACAGCCCTTGGTATCCACTGCTGGTCCTTTCAGGCCTCAGGTCCCTGTGCTCTGAGTCCCCCGCCCTGCAAACCTCTCTATGGCCCCCGGGCACCCCCCCCCCCCCCCCCGAGGACAGAGGCCTGGCCTGGCCTGGGGAAGCTGAGGCCCAGAGACAGCTGTTTGGAACCTCTGACACCTTGTGAAAGCTGCCAAGCTCTCTGCGGCCAGGCAGGCAGCAGGGGCCTCCTGGGGGAACCGCGGCTGGCGGCCCAGGACAGCCTGGGCCGTGGCTCTGCTCCTGCCTGGCTGACCAGTCTCCTGCCGTCCACAGTGGCGCTGACCCCAGGACCCGGGGGTGAGGCCCCCGCACAGCCCAGCCTACCCCCCGAGGCGGCCCAGGAGGGCGACCTGCACCTGCTGTGGGAGGCCCTGGCCCGGAAGCGCCGCATGAGCCGCGAGCCCACACTGGACTCCATCAGCGAGCTGCCAGAGGAGGACGGGCGCCTTCCGCGCCAGCGGCAGGAGGCGGAGGACGCGGCCCCTGAGCTCTCCGAGGGTTACTCCACAGCCGACGAGCTGGCGCGCACAGGCGAGGCTGACCTGTCGCACACCAGCTCTGACGACGAGTCCCGGGCGGGCACCCCTTCCCTGGTCACCCACCTCAAGACGACCGGGAAGCCTGACCCCTCTCCACCGGCCGGCAAGGTGAGCCCCCAGCCTGGCCGGCAAGGGAGGCCCGGGCGTCTGAGGTCTTGGCCCCCAGGCTCTGCCCACCACCCACCACCCAGCCAGCCAGCCTCCTTCCACCTGTCCGCCACCCACCGCTTGCCCACCCTTCCGCCCCCGTTCACCCCTCTGCGCGCCCCCCGCCACCAGCGCATCCGTCCGTGCTCCTCCTCGTCGGCGGCCACACACTCCGCCGCCCACCCGCCCATCCGTTCCCTCCCTGCCCGCCCATCTGCCACCGCCCGTTCATCCTCCACCGTCCATCACCACCCGCTTGCCCGTCCATCGGCCACCCGCTTACCCACGTGTCCATCTGTCCGTCCAGCCATCGCGGCACCTACCCATACGTCTGCTTATCTGTCCATGTGCTGATCTACCCAGCCGCCCGTCCATCCATTCACCGTCCGTCCCCCATCCCCCGTCTCCCGCTCGCCCTGTTCACCCAGCGTTACAACCCCTTCCTGGGGAGCTGGGGCTGGCCTCTCCACAGCGGTCCCCACAGCCCCGTGAGTCTGTCCGGCGGCTGTGCGAAGGGATGTCAGCGAGGGTGGGCTTGGTGTGCGTGACCACAGGGGCCGTCAGGGATCCGCCTCAGGGCAGTGGCCAGCAGGTGGAGGCAGCGTGGCCTGCTGGAGCTGGGGTGTGGACGGGGCGCCGCCTCCAGCCTGCCGCCGGCGCCCCGCCCGCCTCTCCCTGACCCAGGCCTCGGTTCCCTCGCCTGACCTGTGCACGCAGGTCAGGGCCCCAGCAGCCCCCTCTGGAAAGCCGCAGAAGCAGCCGGCCACAGTGCGCCCGCCGTCGGGGGTGCTGCGCGGTGAGGACCTCGGCGACCCGTCCCTGGACAAGGCAGCCGTGAAGATCCAGGCTGCCTTCAAGGGCTACAAGGTGCGGAAGGAGATGAGGCAGCAGGAGGGGCCCGTGTTCAGCAGCACATTTGGGGACACCGAAGCTCAGGTGGGGGACGTCTTGCGTCTGGAGTGTGTGGTGTCCAGCAAGGCAGACGTGCAGGCTCGCTGGCTGAAGGACGGCGTGGAGCTGACCGACGGCCGACACCACCACATCGACCAGCTCGGGGATGGTACCTGCTCTCTGCTGGTCACTGGAGTGGGCCACGCCGATGCCGGCTGCTACACCTGCCAGGTGAGCAGCAAGTTTGGCTGTGCAGTCCACAGTGCCCGTGTGGCCATCAGCGGGACGGAGAGTGAGGCTGAGAGCTCCTCTGGCAGCGAGCTGGACGACGCCTTCCGCCAGGCAGCCCGGCGGCTGCACCGTCTCTTCCGCACCAAGGGCTCGACCGAGGTTTCGGATGAGGAGATCTTCCTGAGTGCAGACGAGGGCTCGGCAGAGCCTGAGGAACCTGGGGACTGGCAGACGTACCGTGAGGAGGAGCACTCGGTCTGCATCCGCTTCGAGACACTGGCTGAGGCGAGCCGGGCGGCCACCCACTTCCAGGAAATGTTCCGCACGCTGGGCATTGGGGTGGATGTCAGCCTGTCGGAGCAGGGGCGCCGGGGGGTGGAGCTGCGCATTGCCAAGGTGGCCCGCGCCCCCGCAGCGCCTTCGGGGCCCGTGCCCGGCCTGCGCACCACAGAGTCCGGTGAGTCTGCGAGCGGCCGGGTGCAGGGCAGGGGTGGGGGGCAGGGCTGGTGGGTGACCAGGGTCCGCGGAAGGGCCGAGGAGTTGGCTGGGCTGCAGCTTCTGGCTTTTGGCAGATACCACCCCCTGAGCTTGGCAGAGCCTGACTTCAGGGTGCAGAGCACTCCGTCTGCACCCCAGTTCTGCCTGCTCCCAGTTAGCGTCTCAGAGCCTCGACGTTCTCATCCAGGAACTGGCTGAAGGGAGGCTAAACGTTTGTATCTTTCCTCCACGAGGGTTTGAGATGCAACCCATAAAAAGGTGGGGTTCCATGGGGTCTGGTCTGCACCCCATTTCCTGCTCCAGCAGTTACAGTTAATTAAAAAGACATCCCACTGTTTACTTACACGTTCCTAGAAATGACACAAGGGGTGTCTGTTAACCCGCAGTGTCGTGTCTTGAAATTTTCTCCCTCCAGTTCTGAGCATGAGGCCTCAAGGCCTGGACGCCCGGGCGCACTGCCGCCATCCTCCCTCCATGTCCCTTCGTCCCCGCTCCCTGCCTGCTGCCGTCCCTCTGGCCACAGGGTGGCTCGGGAGCCGGGCTGATGAAGGGCGAACTCTCCCAGAGAACGGGGAGGAGGGCGGAGGTGTGTGGCTGCCGGCTGCCTGCGTACTCTCGCTGGAATGGGGGCCTCCGGGCCACACGTGTGGACCTGCCGCCGCGGGGTGATCGGGGGCCGGGGCTGGGACTCACGTGCATGCCCTGCCTGTCCCTCCCAGCCCCAGTGTTCCTGACTGAGTTGCAGAATCAGGAGGTGCTGGACGGGTACCCTGTGAGCTTCGACTGTGTGGTGACAGGCCAGCCGGGGCCCAGCGTGCGCTGGTTCAAGGACGGGAGGGTGCTCGAGGAGGACGACCACTACATGATCAGCGACGACCAGCAGGGCGGCCACCAGCTCATCATCACGGCCGTGGTGCCGGCAGACATGGGCGTCTACCGCTGCCTGGCCGAGAACAGCGTGGGCGTGTCCTCCACCAAGGCGGAGCTCCGAGTGGACCGTGAGTGCGGCTGTCTGCCGGCCGGCCCCGGGTGGGCGGCTTGGGCGTTTCTGTCTGGGAGGGCAGTGTGGCATGGGATGGTGGTCCGGATTCGGGGCCTCAGGGTCCTGTGGCTGATGCAGAGCTCTCTGGGAGCCCTGGGGTGGGCCTGGGGGCCTTAACTCCTTGAGAAGCCTCAGGGAGTTAAGAAACCCGGGAAGGTTTGGAGGAGTCCAGGGGTGTGGCAGGTGATCGATGGCACTGTGGCCAATTAGGAATACGTGTGAGGCCCTGTCTCCGGTTCCTGGCCTAGAGCTCCTAGATCCCTTGGAATTCTTAACCGACAAGTCACTAGAACGGTGACTCCTGGCAGGCCCGCCCCAGCTTCGGGACGGAGGGTCGTCAACTGCAAAAGCCACGTGACGATCCCTGCACAAACGTCTGATTGATTTTTGACAAAAGTGCAAAGCAATTAAGTGGAGGAAGGATAGAGTTTCCACAGATGGTGCTGGAGTAATTTGGACATTTATAAGCAAAAAAACCCAAACAAACCCAGAACCTAGACCTTATATGAAAATTTACTCAAATGGATTACATACCTAAAGGTAAAATATAAAGCTCTAGAAAAACAATAGGAGAAAATCTTCAGTACCTACACCTAGGCAAGGCCTTTATATACTTGACCCATAAAAGAAAAAATTTGTAAAATGGAAGTCATCAGAGTTAAAAAACTTCTACTGTGAGAAAGGCTTGTGTGGAGAATGAAATGCTACAGGCTGGGAGAAAATATCTGCAAACCACATATCTTGTAAAGGACTTTATCTAGACTATATAAAGAATGTTCAAGAGTAAAGAGTAAAAAATGTATAACAATCTAATTAGAACAGGAGCATGGGCAGACATTTCATGGGAAAGGACAGAGATGGCAAGTAAGCGTGTGGACTGCGTCCAACAGGAAAATGCAAAGCGGGGCCCGCGGGAGGCCCACGCGGCGGCAAGGCCAACCTAGAAACGGTGCTGCCGCCCTCCGCCTGAGAGGCAGAGGCGGGCCCCAGGGACGCTGGCGGGGAGGGAGGACCGGGCGCCACTCTGCAATGCCGTGTGGCTGTTTCTACAAGACTAGTCACGTACTTACCATATGGCCCAACAGTCATTTTGTTGGGCTTTTATTCAAGAAATGAAAACTCAAATTCATAACACAAGCTTCACCCAAATGCTCACAGTGGTTTTATTGCTAATAGCCAGACACTAGTAGTGCACTGCCCTTCCGGGGTGAGCGGTGACCGTGTCCTGTGGTGTGCCACTCAGCGAGGTAAAGGAACATGTTAGTGACACGTGCGACAGGTGCCATAAAGCTGCATGTTTTGCACAAACACACGAAGCCTCGATGGAGTTCATGTGAACCTTGTAAAATGTGAACGAGGTTGGTGGACGGATCAATGGCACCATTTATAGTTCAGAGAAAAGTTAACTTTGCCAGAAACTGGGTGAAGGTGCACGGGGGTCTCTCTGCCATTTCTCAGGATGGTGTGTGAATCCATCGTTCTCTGAAAACAAAGAGGAAAACAACTGTTAAGAACACAACAGTAACAAGTCCGTTCTCTTAAATAAGAGGAGTGTACACGTGTCCCCATGCGTGACAGCCCTCTTCCCAAGCTCTCCCTTCTGCTGTGTGGGTCTGGGCTTCCACCCAATGCCACTCTCTTCTGCCTGAAGAGCATCTTCTAGCATGTTCAATAGGCTGTGTATGCTAGAATTCTTTCAGCTTTTGTATGTTTGAAAAAATGTCTTTATTTTGGTTTTGTTTTGAAAGGTATTTTTGCTGGGACAGCTTTTTCTGCCCACACTTTAAGGACGTAACTCCGCTGCCTGCTAACTTGCATTGCTTCCCTGAGGAATATGGCATTATTCTTCATTTCTCTATACATAACTCGTCTTTTCTATGGGGCCTTAAATTTCTTAGATGTTGCACACCATAAAATTCAACATTTAAAAATGTATAAAGAATCCCAGACAGCAGGCAGCCACGGAGCATCGCCCGCCCCACTGGAGGTCCCCGCCCCCCCGCCGGCGTGGGGCCGTGCGGCCGCCCTGGGCAGACGCCGAGGAAGCCGGCGCTGGCTCAGAGGCCTCGGCGCCCACGGGCACCCAGGCGAGATGGGAACTCTCCACAGGCCCGTTACCCTAGGAATGCCAAGGGGCTCCTGTGCACACAAAAAGCACTGGGCTTGTGTGGCTTCCGCAGGATTCTCCCCAACCCCAGACTAAACAAATTGCAGTTACTCTAGAGAAACGTATAGCTCGTTGGTTTTTAGTATATTCACAAGGTTGTGCAACCATCACTCCCGAGCATTTCCAGAACGTTTTCGTCAGCCCAGATGAAACCCCGCGCCCGTCGGCCGTCACGACCCCGCTGCTGCCCCCGCCGCTGCCCCCGCCGCTGGAAACGGCAGGCCCGCTTTCTGCCTCTGTGGGTTTGCTCATTCTGGACTTCTCGCGTAAATGGGATCCCACAGTACGTGGCCTTTTGTGTCTGGCTCCTGTCACTGAGCATGTTTCTAAGGTCTATCCATGCGGTCACGTAGGTCAGCACTTCATTCGCTCTTATGTAAAGCTGAGAAACATGCCGCCGCGCATGGACGTCCCAGCCGGCCACTGTTGGCGCTTGCCCCGTGGTGCTGCTGGCCGTTGGGAATCATGCTTCTGTGGACAGCCATGTACGAGTGTTTGGTGGACATGTTTTCAGTGTTCTTGGGTGTGTAGCTACGAGTGGAATTCCTGGGTAACACGGTGACTGTACCTTTAGCTTTTCAAACTGTGTGCCCACAGCAGCTCCAGGCAGCGCTCCTGGCCGCGATGTGCCAGCCCTTCCGTTCGTTTTCTTAGTAACAGCCGCTCCCAGGGGTCTGAAGTGGTATCTTGCTGTGATTTTTATTGCATTTTCTGGTGATAATGACTTCAGGTGTTTTTCTCATCTGCTTATTGGTTATTGGTATATCTTCTTTGGGAAAATGCTATTTAAATCCTTCGCCTATTCTTAAATTGTGTTTTGTTTTTTTTTTAATTTTGACTTGTAAGAGTTCCTTTTATATTCTGGGTACTAGATTTTTATCAGATGTATGATTTTTGAGTGATTTCTCCCATGATGTGGGCTATCTCTTCATTTTCTGTATGGTGTCCTTTGATGCATGACTTCTTAATTCTGATGAAGTCCACTTCAGCTACTTTTTCTTCAGTTGTCATGTCTAAGAACCCATTGCCTAATCCAAGGACATAAAGATTTACACCTATGCTTTCTTCTAAGAGTTTTATACTTTCAGTTCTTACATTTAGGTCTGTGGTCTGTTTTGTGTTCATTTTGCATATCGTGTGAAGTAAGGGCCAATTTCATTTTTTTTTTTTTTCCAATCTGGAAATCAAGTTGTCCCAGCAGCATGTTGAAAGGACTATTTTTCGCCATAAAATTATCTTGGAATTCTTGTTACTCTTGTTTCAGACTAGTTTCCATTACACTGTGGGTTTATTTCTGACTTGCATTTCTGCCTACTGGTGTAGATGTCTGCTGTTACAACGTTGCCACACTGGAGCTTTGTAGTAAGTTTTGAAATACGGAAGTGTTAGTCTTCCACCTTTGTTCTTTTTCAAGATTGTTTTGAACAGCCTGGATCTCTTGCATTTTTCTTTATGAAGTTTAGAATCAAGTTGTCAATTTCTGCAAAAATGGTCCCTGGATACTTTCAAAGATTTTCTTTGTATCCCTAGATTTGAATAATTGATTTTGATATCCTTTGATGCACTTTTCTTTATGTTCATTAAGCTTCTTGGAATTTAGGGTTTATAGTTTTCAGTAAGTTTGGATTTTTTTTTTGCCATTTTTTCTTCAAATGTTTTTCCTTTTCCCCTTATTTGGTGACTTCAGTTACATGTATATCAAGCCACATGAAGCCATAGTGCTGCTCTTTGATACTCTTAAGTTTTTAAAACTGTTTTTTCATTGTGCACTTTGTTGGGATTTTTCTACTGTATTGTTCTTTTCTTCTTCGTGTCTAACCTGCTGTTAGTCTCATCTACTGCTTTTTGGGTTTCCAGAGCTTCTACTCGAGTCTTCTCTCCATGTTCTGTGTCCCCACTTAGCTTTTCGAGCACACGGAACACGGGTGGTGCCCACGCGTGACGTCCTCCCCTGCCAGTCGCAACATCCGTCAGTTCTGATAGGCCCTTCCCCACGTGGGGGACCCTGTTCTCCGGCCCCCGCGTGTCTGGCGACCGTGCCTGGCGCTGCTGGGAGACGACGTGGTGCGCCTGCGGGTCCCCTTGAGCTGGGCTCTGGGAACAGTTGGCCCCTTGCGGCCTGGACCTATGACCCGTCGGGGGGAGCCCAGGCAGCGCTCCCTCCGGGGCACCCTTCCCCCTCCCCCGGGGGGAGAGGTCCGAAGCCACGTCCAGTGCGGCCACGGCCCTGTGCCCCTCCCGCACGGTCCCCCAGCCTCTCCAGGGACTCTCCCCTCCCCGGGGCACGTGCTGATGACTTCTTGAGGGAAGGGCTCTGTGCAGCGGCCTCGGCTCTGGTTTTCTGTCCAGGGGACTCTGGCTGCCTTCTGTCTCCTCAGCTCGAGGTCTGCCTGGCTCTGCCTCAGTTTCCTCTCCAGGGCCTGGAAACTGAAGGCAGGAAGCTGGGGCGCTCCCAGGGCTCACCTGTGTTTGCTCTCTGTAAGGGACCAGTGTCCGTACGTACTTGATGCGAAGTGACTTGAGAACTGTTCTGATGATTCTGTGCATGACCCAAGTGGGGGGCCTTCCCAGCAGCAGGCAGCTCTCCCGTGCCAGCTGGGCGCCCTGCCGTTTAGCTCTGTCCTGACATTACCTGCCCAGAGATGGCATCAGGTCTCACAGGTGAAGGGCTCAGTCCCACCAGAGCGCCCCCTTTCAGATGCGGATGGGAAGTCCAGGTGGTCCCCTGTGCTTCTGATGGATCAGCCACCTTCTCGGGTTCCAGTAATTTGCCAGAGTGGCTCACGGAACTCAAATATTTACTCACTAGATCGCCAGCTTATCCTAAAGGATTAGCCCAGGAACAGTCAGACGGAAGAGGTGCGCAGGGCCAGGTGTGGGGTGGGGGCCAGGGGCTTCCCTGCTCCCTGAGCCCCCCCTGCCCCCGCGCCTCCAGCGTGCACCGACCCGGAAGCTCTCCACGCTGCGGCCCTTTGGGTTTTCACAGAGGCGCCATTACACAGGCACCACTGACTCAACCTCCAGCCCCTCTGTTCTCCCTCCAGGGACTGAAGCGTCCCACCCTCTAATCACAGGGTTGGTTCCCCTGGCAACCAGCTCCCACCCGTAGGGGCTTCAGAAATCGCATTCTCAGGAACTCAGGTGCAGGTGATGGGCTGGCTCTGAGCATGAACGAAGCCCTGCGGGTTTCAGGGGCGGCCCAGGAGCGGCCGGAGCTGAGGCACATCCTCACTCTGAGTCCGAGCAGCACGGCCGCTGCCGCCCCGTGACGCTCGCTCGCCAGTTCTCTCCGCCGGAGCTGCCTTAGTTCATGCTGCTCGGACAACGTGCCGCTGCCCGGGTGACTCGGAACGGCTGTCAGAGCACCCTCGGTTTGAGAGGCTTGGAAGTCCGCGGTCAGGGTGCCAGCCCAGCTGGGTTCTTCCTGGTAGCAGGCGGCACCTCCTGGCTGGGCTGCGCCCTCACATGGGGGCCCGGCGGGGGGGGGGGGCGGTTAGGGCCCTTTCCCAGGCACTAACACCATTTCTAACGGCCCTGCCCCCATGACCTAGCCACCGCCCCAAGATCCCACCTCGAAATACTATCACCTTGGGGGCTAGGTTTCAACGCGTGAATCGGGGGGCACACAAACATCCAGTCTATGGTGCGCCATTGTGGCGACGAGTGGAAGCCGCGAGCCGAGGCCCAGGTACACCAGTCGCCATCCTCCAGTGGAGGAGAATGGGGAGAGAGGGTCACTGTCCCTGCCTGCCATTTATGAAGCCCAGAGTCACCCCGTGCTTACAGTCTGTTGGGGCTTGTGGTTAGTTACAGGCCAGGAACTGGGGCTGGTAACAGCCTGGAGCAGGGAGGGGCCGCAGGGCAGCTGTGTCCCCATAACCCTGACTCAGGAGGATAGGTGGCTCCCAGGGACAGCCCTGCAGTGAGAACCAGGCGGCCCCAGGGGTGGGGCCGCGCCCGGGCAGAAGGGCACAGCCTGGCCCCAGCTTCGCGCTTTGTCCCCAGTGACCAGCACTGACTATGACACGGCCGCAGATGCCACGGAGACCTCGTCCTACTTCAGCGCCCAAGGCTACCTGTCCAGGTGGGAGCTGTACGGGGGCGGGCAGTGCCCAGCACGCTGGCGGCCCCAGTCCTGGAGTGGGGGTGGCTGTGCTGGCTTGCGCCGATGGAGCCCCAGTCCTGGGGGCTCCGCCCGGCCGCGCGGCCTCCTTCTGGCATGTTAACGGGGGGCCTGGGAAGCCGTCCGGTCCTGACCCCGGCCCTCCGGCCCGGGCCCCTCGCCCGTCCACATCACGCTGCCCCTCTGATCTCTGCCAGCCGCGAGCAGGAGGGCGCGGAGTCTACGTCAGAGGAGGGCCAACTGCCCCAGATAGTGGAGGAGCTGAAAGACCTCCAGGTGGCCCCCGGCACACGCCTGGCCAAGTTCCAGCTCAAGGTGAAAGGTGAGGGGGATAGGGCCGGAGGGCCAGGCGGTGCCTCCTGCCAGCAGAGGTCAGGCCATGACTGTGGCCTGCGGGGCGTCCAGGGACCCTTTCCCTGGGCCAGAGGGAGGGGGCACAGTGCCCACTGGGTGGTGGCCTGTGCTGACCACTCCCCCGGTGGTTTCAGGCTACCCGGCGCCCCGCCTGTACTGGTTCAAGGACGGGCAGCCCCTGGCGGCTTCCGCACACATTCGCATGGTGGACAAGAAGACGCTGCACTCCCTGGAGGTCCTCTCGGTCACCGGCGAGGATGCCGGCCAGTACTCGGCCTACGTCAGCAATGCTGTGGGCGCTGCCTACTCGTCTGCTCGGCTGCTGGTCCGAGGTGGGTGCTGGGACTGGAGTCTGCCCCCCTCCCCCACAGCAGGTGTGGGATCGGGCCCACGGTCGGCTGTCCCATGTGCAGAGGTGCGTGGGAGGGCCGATGGCTGCCTGCCTGGATCCCAAAAGGTGATGGGTGCAGGGGCGCGAGGACATCCTCCGGACCCCACCCTCCTGGCAGGCCCCGGCCGAGTAGGAGGCACCACCCCACTTCCGGTCTGACTTCCCTGTCTCTTTCAGGCCCCAGCGACCCAGAGGAGAAGCCAGCAGCAGGTGAGTCCAGATGGGCGGGCAGAGGGGCACTAAGGCCCCCAGGGGTGTGTGGGGATGCCCGTCAGGTGGAGGGAGGGGAGCGCCCTGGGAACAGGCTGCAGGGGCAGCCGCCGGCTGGGGGGCGCCGGGCCTGGGGGAGGGGCAGAGTCCAGCCACCACGCAGGGCTATGGCTCTGCACTGGTCACCAGTGGCTGCCTGTGTCTCCCCAGATGTGCAGCAGCAGCTGGTGCCGCCCCGATTCCTGGAGAAGTTCACCTCCAAAAAGGTGAAGAAGGGCTCCAGCATCACTTTCTCCGTGAAGGTTGAAGGTAGGACACTCTGTCCTCCCCACCCAGGACCCCCAGGGAGGCTCAGAGCAGCCCCCTTCCAACTTGGGCCCCCCAGAGAGGATCGGGGCGCCCCACAGAACCCCGTTCTCAGTGGGGGCTGACTGTCCACCGCCCGCTCTGCCGCAGGTGTGCCGGCCCCGGCTGTGCACTGGCTGCAGGAGGCGGCGGAGCGGGTGCTGTGGATCCGCCCCGACACACCGGGCTACACGGTGGCCAGCTCAGCGCAGCAGCACAGCCTGGTCCTGCTGGACGTGGGCCGGCAGCACCAGGGCACCTACACCTGCATCGCGGGCAGCGCTGCCGGCCAGGCCCTCTGCTCCGCCAGCCTGCGTGTCTCTGGCCGTGAGTGGGCGTGGGTGGCCTGGTGGGGGAGGGAGGGAGCTGCTACTGCCGGGGATTTGTGCCCTGTCGCCGAGACCCCACCGAGACCCCTCCCCAAGCACAGGCCCCGCACAGTCTCTTCCTGGCCCTGCCCAGCCCCTCTGGGGGCGGAGGCACCCAGTGCGACCCGTTCCTGCCCCTTCCACTGGGGGGTGGGTGTGGGCCGAGTTGGGGTGCCGGCACAGGCTTCCCTTGGGGCTCTAGACAGATAGGCAGGGGCCCCCAGGTGGGGGTGGCCCCAGTATCCCAGGCAGAGGTCCCAACCAAAATCACCTTAGCAGGGTGGGTGTCATCCTGGCAGTCACCTGTCCTTCTGACAGTGCCCAAGGAGGCGGAGGCCGTGGGAGAGACAGCCGGGGTGAAGGAGGCCCTCATCTCCACCTTCCTTCAGGGGTGAGTGAGGGGCCGCGCCAGAGCTAACGGGGGCGGCTTGGGGGCCCGGCCCTGGGGGGGCCCGCTGCTGGAGAGGGAGCCCATCCCCGGACCTGGCCTGGCTCTGTCCCTTGCAGGCCGTGTGGCTTGGGCCAGCCCCCAATTGCTCTGTGCCTCAGTTTACCCTTTGTAAAATGAGGACTCCCCAGGGCCTGCCTGTGGCACCTGGCCCACAGCCGTCAGAAGCCCCCCACCCCAGGGTACGGCCGGTGGGTGCACCCCAGGTCCTCAAGACATCCCACTGTCTTTAGGACCCAAGCCATCTCTGAACAGATGCTGGAACCTGCAGGTTTCACTGACCTTGCTGGGCAGAAAGGTACGGGGGGCACCGAGGGCCTGTTCCTAATTAGGGGTGGTGTGTGGAGGAGGCTGCCCACCCCCAGGTGGCCTGAGCACCCGCCCTCCCAGCTGTGGGCTGGGGCTCCCCAAGTGCCCCTCTGGGCCCCGCTCTGAGCTCTGCTTGACTTGGGCCCGGCCAACCGTCAGCTCGGCTCTCAGTCCAGCCGCCCAGCCGCCCCGCTGGCTGGGGGGTGCCCCAGTGCGGGCCAGCGGCCAGGTCAGGGCTGGGGTGCACGTCCAGCCCCTTCCTGGGCACCTGCACATGTATTCTGGAACCTTGGTGTGTTTTTAACTTTTTTATGAAAAATGTGAATCTGCACAGAAATACAGAGGACAAGACCGTGTGTCCATCACCCACCTTCAGGTCACTTCTCTGGTGACCAACGCCTACCCCCTCAGCGGCCCTCATTCACCCCAGACAGTGAGGCTCACCCCCCTGTCTCCACACCCTCAGGCCAAATATCTGGGTTCTGCCCCTTGCCCCACCCAAACCCCTTCCCGACCAGCCACCCAGTTCAGGACCCCAGGGAGAAGGCACGAACCCCACTGGGGGCCTCAGCGTCTTAAAGCTCCTCCGCCATCCTGGTCTCTGCCTGGCTTGGCCCTGCCGCTGCCCGCGCTCCTGCCCACCTGCTGCCCCTCTCCTGGGCCCGGCTTCCCTGTGTTTGTAGGCCTCGGTCACACCTTGACTTGGACACCCCTGAGCCGTTACAGCCCCCCCGTCCTGGTCAAACTCTCGGCTTCCGGCAGCAGAGCCGCGAGCCTGTGTGTTCCCGTCTCCCCTGGACCCTGAGGTCAGGGTGGGCCCCGAGGGGGTGCTCGGGCTTGTCTGCAGTGCGCGCTGGCTGACCTAGGGTCTGGCCACCAGCAGAGCCCCTGGAGCCCACGGCCCGTGGCCACCTGCCGCTGGCTGAGGTGGGCACGGAGGAGTTCCTGCAGAAGCTGACCTCACAGATCACGGAGATGGTGTCGGCCAAGATCGCCCAGGGTGAGGGGCGTCGCGGAGCCAGGCCTGGGGGCGGGAGGTGGGGCCTCCACGCCTACACCCCGAGGCCCATGGGGAGGGGCACAAGGGGCTGTCCCCTCCCAGGGTCACATGCCCTGTGCCCCCAGCCAAGCTGCAGGTGCCTGGAGGCGACAGTGATGAGGAATCCAAGACCCCGTCCGCATCCCCTCGGCACGGCCGCTCCCGCCCCTCCTCTATTGTCCAAGAGTCGTCCTCAGAGTCGGAAGACGGGGACTCCCGCGGAGAGGTGTTGCAGGGGTGGGGGTGCTGGGCGAGCTTGCAGAGCTGCGGGGGAGGGGATCGAGGGCGAGGAAGGAGCGGGGCCTTCAGGGAGCCGGGTGGAGGAGGCTGGAAGTGCACCTCTGAGCATCCGACATACTACCACAGCCAGGACCGCTCACACCCCCGAGGCTCCCCTTTGTCACTCAGGGGTGGCCGTACATAGCACCTCCTATCCTGTCTCCATCAGCAGAAGCCAGTTGGGCCTGTTCTGTAATTTGATGGACCCTCAGCATGACTCCTTCCTCCCGACTTACTGTCAGGGGTCCTGTGGCTGGGGTTGCGAGAGGCCCAGCTGACCCCCGTCTGGGTCTGACTCGGCACCCCCTCCCCCAGATCTTTGACATCTACGTGGTCACAGCTGACTACCTGCCTCTGGGGGCCGAGCAGGACACCATCTCTCTGCGGGAGGGCCAGTACGTGGAGGTGCTGGACTCAGCCCACCCTCTGCGCTGGCTTGTGCGCACCAAGCCCACCAAGTCCAGCCCCTCGCGACAGGGCTGGGTGTCCCCCGCCTACCTGGACAGGCGGCTCAAGGTACCTGGACTGCCAGGCTGGGTGGCTGTCCTGGGACTGTTGTCCCCTGATGCGTGGGGGACCCTGACACCAACAGGGCCAGGCCAGCGCCTGCAACCCGCTCTGTCCCTCACCAGCTATCGCCAGAGTGGGGGCCTGCCGAGGCCCCCGAGTTCCCCAGGGAGGCCGTGTCTGAGGATGAGTACAAGAGGCGGCTGAGGTGAGGCGCCGCGGTGCGGGGGCGGGGCGCGGCCTTTGCCTGGCGACTCTGTGCGGCGGGCCCCCTGTGAGCCCTGTCTGGCCCCAGGCTGCCTGTGAGGGCAGGTGCCTGCTCAGCACCTGAGTCCCCGGTGCCCTCATGCTCTGCCTGCAGCTCCGTCGTCCAGGAGCTGCTGAGCTCCGAGCAGAGCTTTGTGGGCGAGCTGCAGTTCCTGCAGAGCCACCACATGCAGCACCTGGACCGCTGCCCCAACGTGCCTGTCGCCGTGGCCAGCCAGAAGGCCATCATCTTCCGGAACGTGCAGGAACTCAGCCACTTCCACAGCAGGTGGGCGAGCTGTGTGCACACAGGCACATGTATGCACGCATGACCCATACCGCACACTGCACATGCAAGCACACACACACTCACGCGTCCGTGGGCCCCCAGGGTTGGGCCTTGGGGTGGGCAAGAGCCAAGAAGGGAGGGAAGCAGGTGACCTGGTTTACTTGTGGGCACATGCCTCCCCCCGGGAACACAGGCGTGTGAGCCTGGCTTATCCCTGGAGCGCCTGCTGCAGCCTCTGTACATAGGCACACCCGTATGTGTGCACTCACATGCCCTAACATGCATGGACATAGGTTACATGGGAACCCACATATACATATATATGCACACACATGCATGTCCTTAACTGCCTGGGCATGGGTTATGTGTGCACAGACACCCAATATGTACAGCACACAATGCACATCCACATATGTGTGTGCCTATGCACGTGTGCCCAAATGTACAAATGTACATGCGCTTCCTTGCATGCATGCACACATATGTACACACATACCTGCATACACGTACACACCCTCAAATATCCCAGACATGTGTCCCTGTAGCCACGCCCACTTCCTCCCAGGAGCCACTGGGGCGAGGCCCTGTCAGGAGCCTGTTTCTTCCCAAACCTGAGGACTGGGGCTGGGTTGTGGGTCGTGGGTCGTGGGTGAGCTCCTGAATCTGTCCCCTCCATGGCAGCTTCCTGCAGGAGCTGCAGAGCTGTGACACGGATGACGATGTGGCCATGTGCTTCATTAAGAACCAGGCGGCCTTTGAGAAGTACCTGGAGTTCCTGGTGGGCCGAGTGCAGGCCGAGTCGGTGGTGGTCAGCACAGCCGTGCAGGAGTTCTACAAGGTGCCCGTGCCCCGCCGTGGCCGACCCTGTCCCCAAGATCCTCTCCTCTGACTGTGCCCCTCCTCCCCCCACCTGCCAGGGACCCCCCACCGGCCTGCCCAGGTCCCTGGGCCCTGGCTTCGTGAGGGAAGCAGGCACATTCCCTGGAGTTTTTCCCGCCTGTTGGTGACCAGCCATTGAGGGGAGGGGGCCCACCATGGAAGGAGAGGCTATGTGCTTGCCCTCAGGCTCTGGGTGACATGAGCCATCCCTGGGCCTGTCCCCCGACACCCTGCTGCCCTGAAGCCCACCCTGTGTTCCCACAGAAATACTCAGAGGAGGTGCTATCGGCCGCTGACCCCTCACAGCCGCCACCGCCCCCGCTGCAGCACTTCCTGGAGCAGCCAGTACAGCGGGTCCAGCAGTACCAGGCCCTGCTCAAGGTAGGTGGGCTGTGCCGTGCCCTCGCTGCCTCGCCCGGCCCCGTGGTGGGTGGGGCGCGCCCTGACCTGCCGCCTCCGCAGGAGCTGATCCGCAACAAGGCCCGGAACCGGCAGAACTGTGCGCTGCTGGAGCAGGCCTACGCGGTGGTGTCCGCCCTGCCGCAGCGCGCCGAGAACCAGCTGCACGTGTCGCTCATGGAGAACTACCCAGGCACCCTGGAGGCCCTGGGCGAGCCCATCCGCCAGGTCTGGGGGGTGCCGCGCGGGGTGGGCCTGGCATGGGGTGGGGGCGGCCCCCAGGCTGACCGAGGGCTGACCGCTCTCCCAGGGCCACTTCATCGTGTGGGAGGGGGCACCAGGCGCACGGATGCCCTGGAAGGGCCACCACCGCCACGTGTTCCTGTTCCCCCACCACCTGGTGGTCTGCAAGCCCAGGAGGGACTCCCACACGGACACCTTCAGCTATGTGTTCCGGAACATGATGAAGGTGTGTGGGCAGCGGACAGCCTGCGGGGACGGGGGCCTGCAGGGTGTGGGGGGGAGGCCTAGGCCGGCCCCCCGGCCACACCCAGGGCAGTCAGCCTGCCTCCTCCCCCCGCAGCTGAGCCACATCGACCTGAACGAGCAGGTGGAGGGGGACGACCGCGCCTTCGAGGTGTGGCATGAGCGGGAGGACTCGGTGCGCAAGTACCTCCTGCAGGCGCGCACCGTGATCACCAAGAATGCCTGGGTGAAGGAGATCTGCGGCATCCAGCAGCGCCTGGCCCTGCCCGTCTGGCGTGAGTGCCGGTCCTGGCCTTGAGCCAGGCGCGGGCTCGCACCCTTCAGCCTGGCCATCCAGCTCGGGGACACCCTGGCCCCTGGCGGGGGCAGGCACCGCCAGGGAAGGGGCTGCCTCCTAGGGCAGGTGGCTGGCTCTCCCCTCGACCAGCTCAGTCTCTCCATCTGCTGAACTGGGGTGCTGGGCTGGCCCCGACTCAAGTGGGGCCACTGGCTTTCACTCAGGGGCCCCCAGGGCAGAGTAAGTGCCCAGGGCGTTAGAGGTGTGAAGGCCCGATCCCTGGGCCTCCTTTCCCACCTGGAACGGGAGAGGCCCCCTTTCAACACACTGACCTCTCCATACTCCACCCCCGACTCCCCAAGGACACCCACCCTGCCTCTGATCCAGATTCCCATTCGGGCCCCGTGTGGAATTGCAAGGGCTGGTGTTTGTAGCAGCTGCACCCCTCGGCCTTGGGACTTTCAGCCCTGCCAGGGGTGCGCTGAGGGCCCAAGTGTGTGGTGTGTGTGTCCCCAGGCCCCCCAGATTTCGAGGAAGAGCTGGCCGACTGCACAGCTGAGCTGGGTGAAACAGTCAAGCTGGCCTGCCGTGTGACGGGCACACCGAAGCCCGTCGTCAGCTGGTACAAAGGTAGGTCCCCATGGCCTAGGGCTGCTGGCCCTGCCACAGCGAGAGCCTCCCAGAAGGAATCGAGCGGACTGGGGACCTAGGGTGGGGCCTGGTCAGGGGCTGGGTGCGAGGAACAGGCCTTCTGCCCCAGTTACCTGCCCCCAAACGAAGGACGGCGGGGCCAGGGCAGAGGAAGCAGGACGGGGGCAGCCCTGCCCGAGGGAGCTGCCTTCTGGGGGCGGGGCAGGCGACGGCAGGGAGACAAAGGAGTGTCGTGGCAGCCGGGGAGCTGAGGCAGAGCCAGGCAGCCCGGGATGGTCCCGAGGCAGCAAGGTGGCCAGGAGGCTGGCGGAGGGAGGGGCACGGAGGCAGGACAGTGGGACAGTGGGGAAGAAGGGCTGCCTGCCACGCGGCCTCAGGCCGGGTCCGAGTGCACCGGGGTGGCGGAGAGTTCAGGGACACCGAGGCCGGCGTTGCACGGCCGCCTTTCGGGTCAGCAGTTCACCAGGAGGGCCCGCAGAGCTCAGCGGAGCCTCTCCGCCGAGGCTCCAGTGCCCTGCTGAGGCAGGGGCAGGGCCCGGGTGTGCGGACGGCACTCTCCGCGGCGGCGGCCGCCTCTGCCCCCTGGCTGGGGGCGTGTCCGAGTCCAGTCCTGGGTTTGGAGGCGCCGTCCCAGGGCTGTCATTCTTCTTGTCCTGCTTGTGTGCAACCAACCTGGTGCTCGTGCGCCCGCGAAGGCCTGAGGGTGGGGCTGGAGAGGACGTCGGGACCTTGTGCTGCGTCACACAGCAGGGACCGTCGCTGTGGCCGTGGGCAGGGCTGCGCAGCGGGGCTGGCAGGCGCAGCAGGCGGAGGCCCGTGCCGGCTTCTGAGAGCTGCCTGCCAGGGCCGGCCTTCAGGAGGGAGGCCTGCGGGCCCGTGCCCTGGGGTCTGCAGAAGTCCCCTCCCACGCACCTCGCCTTGCGACTCCATCGCCCTCCCTGCCACCCCTCCGCACCCAGCACTGTCCCCTGAAGGATGGGCCCAGAGGGGCAAGGCCATTCACAGTCGCCCAGAAGTGACTCTGCACCCCTCGGGCCCTCCCTTCAGACTTGGCTGTCACCAGGCGCGTGTGCCGGCCGGCCACCTGTGAGGGGAGGGAAGGACCCCCCTCGCCCAGGAGGTTGAGGCGGGATCCTGGGTTCTGACGGCTCTGGGCAGCCTGCCGTCTCTTTCACCGGTAATCACCCGGCGAGACCCTGGAGGGGTGTCTAGTGAGTGGGGGGGCGGGCAGCGGGACAGTCGGCCCATGCTTACACAGTGGTCAAACGGCACGTGGTCCGGGTGGCCCGCAGCCATGGTGTGTGGCCAGAGCTGGCCGTTGAATGACCCAAAGCAACATCGCGGTGGGAAACACCACAGTAGCCCGGGAGGCATGGACCTGCCAGGATGGGGGTCCTCCTCACGCGATGTGCCCCCGCCCGGCCTGGCATATTTCTCAGCCGTCCTCTGCGTGGCACGCAGCAGGCTCACCGGCACGCGCCCCGTGGCGGCTCTACGCAGAACCCTGGTGACTTGGGTGGAAGCCCCTCCACGGTCTCTTTGCCTCCATGGCTCACGCCCTCGAGGAGGGGCTGTTGTTCACCAGGCCGTCTGTAGTTTGTTAAGAGGGAAAACAAACGGTCGGGCCGTTCGCAAAAGCTCTAGGCCAGGAAGAGCAGCATCGGGCAGAAGCCAGGTCGGTTGGCAGACAGAATGTCCTCACACAGCAGGAGCTGAGTGTCGGGGGCAGAGGGCCCACCCCCGCCCACCCGGGCAGCTGCCAGGGGGCAGGGAGCACTGGGGACGTGGTTGGAAGCCTCACTGTGTGGAGGCGCCACCGACCCAGAACAGCCAGGCTGCCTCCACCGGCTGCAGCGACAGCAGCAGGGGCCAGATCGGGCTGGGGACAGTCTCCTCCCTCTGGTTGTGCCAGGCCACTGACGTGGGCCGCAGCCTCTCCCTTTACCCCAGCTACTTCATGTCCCCCAGGGGGCCCAGAACCTCCTTTCTCCCCAGAGATCCAAGCACCAGCCTGAAAGAAACAGGCTGCGGGGCCAGGGGGTACGTGTTCCCTGCATAGGCATCCCCCTGGGCAGTGCCTGCTCCCTGTTTGGAGCAAGGAGTTCCATGGCACACCTCGGGGTCTAGGGGCAGGAGCCACAGCTCCAGTCCCCTGAGTTGGCCTCAAGGTGACACTGGCTTCCTGGAGGACCGGCAATCCTGTGCGGGTTCCATCGCCGGGACCCAGGCCCCGGCGTCCAGCAGGGCCGTGCAGGTGTGTGCCCCCCCGCCCTGCCCGAGGGCCTGCTGTGGGGGACGGGCACGCAGGGCCTTGGGTCCCTCGGCGGCAGGGGCACGGATGCCTGCTCCCGACCGCTTTTCTCCTACAGCTGTGCAGGCTGGGTGGAGGGGGGAGAAGGGGCCAAGTGTCGGGGATGGAACCGGACGCCTCTGCAGTCGGTGGCCCGCAGGGCTCTGGGCCCTCCCAAACCCGAGCCCGGGCAGCTCGGCCGCTTCTGCCGACGCAACGTTTGCCTCCTGTCACTCTCTGGTCCCCGTGCCCCTCGGCCTGTTGGGGTCCAACTTGCATGGCACTGGCCTTCTCACTGGGGGTGTGCACTTAGCAGGACGTCTCAAGCCTCTCTCCTTGAGGGCTGGGCCGCATTGCTGCGGAGGCAGGGCCACCCGTCAGAACGCTCTCGTGGGCCACCCCCTCCGGCTGCCGCCAGCGTTCCGCTATAGATGCCGCGCAGGCTCCACGGCGTGCGTGCACGGCTGATGCCTCCCCATGGGGCTTGTCCGCACACAGAGTGCCTGCTGCACGCCCCCGCTCCTTCACCGTCACCTCTGAAAGAACCCTCCACGCGGGTGTGCCTGGCGCCCGTCCCCGTGCCAAGTCCCTGCACGCCCCTGCCCTCTGCCCACTGAGGCTGGTCGTGGCCCAGCTTAGGCTGTAGTGTTTGCCGATGTTTGGGAAGTGGGCTCTACAGGCAGAGCTCTCCGGGGTCCTGACGGAGCCAGGCGACCCGTGAAGGAGGCGGACCAGCCTCGCCCGTCGGTCAAGGGGTTACACAGGAGACCTGCATGCAGAAACGCGGGATGGTCAGGTGTCTGCTCTCCACCTCCCCGACTATTCTATAGCCGGTGGCTGGACGTATGCGGAAAGAAGTGTTTAAGGGGCGGGGGACTGGCAAGTGCCAAGAGGGTCTGGCACCGAGCTGGTTACGAGACAGACAGGTCAAGGGCAAATCATTCCAGAGGCAGAGCGTGGAGCTCCTGGGGCGGAGCCCGGAGCCAAGGCGGCTCCTTAGCTTCAGTGACAGCCAGCCCTGTCTGCACAGCCCAGCCGGGAAGCCGGGTGACCTGCGGCTGACCCAGCAGCACCACGGGGAGAGCGAGGCAGCCCAGGCGCTAACCTGCAAGGGCTGTCCCTGAACCCACCTCTCAGCGCGCAGATGGCAGCCGCCCACCCAGAGCCTCGCCACGCACAGGCCGCAAGCAGGGAGCGTGTGCTGCCCAGCTGGCCCGTGACCTCGCTCAGGGCCTGTTAACTGTCCACCTTCTTTCTCTTCTGAAATGATGTGTCTCTGACAGTGTCCCTTTCTGGTCGCCAGATTGAGTATCAGGAGCTGTTAAGGGTCTGCCTGCCAGACACAGGCACAAGGCTCCCGTCAGAGCCAAAAACTGCGGGTCGCAGACAAGCACAGTGTTTCAGTCAGTCAGTCTGTGGGGTGTACGGAGGGAGAGGGCTGCGTCCCCGCTGCCTTGGAGGCCACACGCACTGGGCCGCGGCGCGGGCCGCGCGGGGACCTGAAAAGGCACGGAGAGCTCTTTTCTGACAGTAGGGTGGGGGCTGAGAACGGACTCCAGCAAGAGCCGTTCTGCGGGGGACGGAAGCTGAGGGGAGGGGGTTGGGAGACAATGAGAAGGCAGCACTGGAGGTGGGGAGGGAGTGGGAGCAGCCAGGAAGGAACAGGCACAGGGCCGCGGCGGAGCCGGGGCGGGTGGAGGCTTTTTGGTATGTGTTTAAGTCATTTCTTTATGCTCCCTGTGAATTAAAGGCCAACATGCTGCTTATGAACCATTGTAATTTAAACCACACATGCAGAGTTATAGGAAAGTGTTTGTTTATGGAGTTTTACATATTTATGGAGGAAAGAGCTCTTCGGAGTGGAAGGTGCACATTTCCCTATTCCTTACCCAGGAAAGGAACACAGTGTGGGCGCAGATGTTAGGCTGGGTGGGTATTTGGACAAGAGTGATTATAAAGAGATGGGAAGTGTCCAAGTGTGTCTCTTGGGGGAGGGGGCAGCCAGAGCCTTGGAGGTGCCCGGAAGTCCCACTTCACGGGCAAGGTGGCTCAGGGTCTGGTCGTTGGAACAGGACGTTTTCTGCTTTCAGGTAAGAGCCCGCCCTCCAGAGGCCACGCTGTGCACACGGAGGTCTGGACCAGTGTTCAGGGCCCCTTGGCTTGGCCGGCCGGGCCCCCTGCGGGAAGCTGTGTCTGGCCCTTGTGCTTCGGGGCTCTCTCCACACCCTATCGCCACCTCGTGACCCCCGGGCGAGCCTGCCTCGCATCCCCATGGGGCCCCTCTGTGACAGCCCCCCTCCTTTCCAGATGGGAAGCCAGTGGAGGTGGATCCTCACCACATCCTCATTGAAGACCCGGATGGCTCATGCACCCTCATCCTGGACAACCTGACCGGCGCTGACTCTGGCCAGTACATGTGCTTTGCAGCCAGTGCCGCCGGCACAGCCAGCACCCTGGGCAAGATCCTGGTGCAGGGTGAGCCTGGGAGGGAGGCCAGGTGTTGGGCGGCTGGGCCACACTCACCACAGCAGCGCCGGGGTGCGCCGTTCGGGCGGAGCTGGCAGGTGCCCGGCCCTCGGGCCCCGGTCTGGGGCTCACTGTCGGGTGGGGTCCTGCGTGTTATGCCGTCTCTCTGTCTCTCTGGTTTCTCTCCCTCTGTTGCCCCATCTTTCCCTGTCTCTCTCTCTCTCCCCCTCCTCTGTCATTCACTCTCCCTGGGCATGTCTCCCTCTGGGCCTATCTCTCCATCTCTGTGTCTCTCCCTGTCTCTCTCCCTTTCTCCCCCACGCCCTGCGGCCCCACAGTCCCTCCGCGTTTTGTGAACAAGGTCCGGGCAGTGCCTTTTGTGGAAGGAGAGGACGCCCAGGTGACCTGCACCATCGAAGGTGTCCCACATCCTCAGATCAGGTGGGCTGGGGCGATGAGAGGGCGGGCCAACCTGGGGCAGCCTTTTCTGTCTGAAAATCAAAGGTGGGCAGCATGTACGTGGGGTCTAGGTGGGTGAGACAGAAGTTCAGCCTTTTGGGTGAGAAGTGGGGGTCTCGGGGCCGGTCCGTCCTGATACAGACGCCGCTTAAGCAAGGGGGACGCTGCCAGCTGGACACTGGACAGGCGGCACCCAAGAGGCCGGGTGCTCAAAGGACAGCCAGACCTGAGGCCCGGGTGAGGGAGGGTCTAGTGCACGGGGCCTCTGGAGAGGCCCCCACTGACCCCCAGGGCTGGCTTCAGGTGGTACAAGGATGGCGTCCTGCTGTCCCCGGGCGGCAAGTACCGGACCCTGAGTGAGTCACGCAGTGGCCTGCTCAAGCTGGAGATCCGGGAGGCCGGCAAGGAGGACATGGGCCACTACGAGTGCGAGGTAAGAAGAGGCGCACAGACGTGGTGGGAGGCTTGTTATCACCGTCCAGGACACATGATGACAGGGGACATCGGACTGACTGTCACCACCATCCATGACAACAAAAGGAACACCAGGCGCACGGTCACCCACCACCCCGATGACCCAGGGGACCCCCGTCCCCGGTCACCCACCACCCCGATGACCCAGGGGACCCCCGTCCCCGGTCACCCACCACCCCGATGACCCAGGGGACCCCCGTCCCCGGTCACCCACCACCCCGATGACCCAGGGGACCCCCGTCCCCGGTCACCCACCACCCCGATGACCCAGGGGACCCCCGTCCCCGGTCACCCACCACCCCGATGACCCAGGGGACCCCCGTTCCCGGTCACCCACCACCCCTGGTGACCCAGGGGACCCCCGTCCCCGGTCACCCACCACCCCTGGTGACCCAGGGGACCCCCGTCCCCGGTCACCCACCACCCCGATGACCCAGGGGACCCCTGTCCACGGTCACCCACCACCCCTGGTGACCCAGGGGACCCCCGTCCACGGTCACCCATCGTTGTGGTGTGGGAGGAACCCCAGATCTACTGTCCGCCAGCAGCCGCGGGAGCTACCGGGACCCCCTGAGGGCCCGGGTAGGGCTGTTCTCTGCGGGTGGGATGGCCATGCAGGCTTGGCTCCGCCTGCCGCCGCCCCCGAGCGGCTGCAGCCGGTGCTGGGGCTGGGCCAGGATGCGTCTGGTCCCTGTGTCAGGTCCTGAGGAAGCAGATTGTCTTTCTGTTTGGGCCCTGTCCAGTTCGGTTGCTCTTGGCCACACGTGGCGATTTAAATTTAAATCTTTTAAAGTTAACTCTAGATAAAGATTTAGTTCATTTCCTGAGTTCAGAGCCCGGAAAGCTGCCGTTTGGGACAGCAGGGCCGGAGCGTGCCCTCCGTCACAGGGTCTCCCAGGCAGTGCCGCGTCCCTGGGGGCACGCGGCGGCTGGTCTGGGATGCTGGGGCCAGGCTGCAGGGCCCTGAGACACAGCTGGGCTGGGCGCCCCATGCTCTGGCCTGTCCTTACACCCCCAACGAGGCAAGCCTGGCTCCTCGGGGAGCTGGGGCCCTAAGTGGCCTTGCTGTCCGTCCGCAGCTGGTGAACCGGCTGGGCTCGACACGCGGCGGCGCAGAGCTGGGCCTGCAGAGCGCCACGCTGCGGGCCGAGGAGCAGCACCACCGCCGGGGCCGCGCCGCCGTGGTGGAAGGTAGGTGCCGCCGCTGAGGGCCGGGCCTGGCTGGGTTCTCTGCACCCTACGCCAGGCGGGGGAGCCCGGAAGCCTTCTGATGAGGGCGGGGTCCCCGAGAGGAGGCAGCGGGGCTGTGGAGGGGCTGCGAGGCCCAGTCCAGAATAGGCGGCGTGCGGGGCCGTGGGTGGCGGTCTGCACACCCAGAGCCCGGGCGAGGCTGTCTTGGGGTCAGGGGCTCGGGACCTGCCCGCCATCCCCGGGGAGAACGAGTGTGTACAAAGGGCCAGACGCGGGCCGGCCGGTCCTTGTCGGGGGCGGAAGGGTCGGTCGGTCGGACAGCTCCGCCTGAGGGCCGCTGCCAAGGGCCAAGTGCGGGCTGCTGGGTCCCGGCCTGGCTTCCGGAGAGGGAGTGGGCGTCAGAGCCGGGCCCCTCCACGCCAGGCGGACCGTCCGTGTTGAGCTCAGGGTGCCACGGTCAGGCCTCCCCTGGGGCCGCCCCTGGGGTCCTGGGAGGGCGCGGGGGGCCCGGCGGCAGGATGGGCCTCGTTCGGGCGGGTGTGCTGTGGGGCAGGAGGTGGAGGGCAGGGGGGTGCCGCCACCTACACACGCAGTGGTTCCGGGCCCCGCTGGGCCTGGCAGGGGGACACCGGGATCGGGGAGAGGGCAGCTGGCACCTGTCCTGGGCCGGCTCGGCCCGAGGGAGCAGCCTTACGGGGCTCGCAGAGCAGGCTGCCACCCTGGGAGGGCTCCTCGCAGTGGGAGCTGTGCCCCCTGGAAGCACTGTCTGGTAAGGCGGGGAGCCTCCCGTCCCTGGGGACGTGCCACACAGGCTGGGCCAACGCCTGGTGGAGCGGCAGCTTTCATAGCAGGATGAGATGAAATATGTGTCCTTCCAAGTTCTGAAAGTTGGCTTCCATGATCCTCAAGCCACTGGATCCAGTACCTCCCAGGGCCCAACGTCTAGGGGCGACTGTCCGTCTGGGTCCTCACAGGTTCCCGCCATCTAGTGCTCAGAGCTTGGCCTTGGGGCCTTTGAGGCCCTCCAGGGCCCTCATGGGGACCCCATCCTCCCTCGCGGTCTGGGGTCCGGCTCCTCGTCCCCCAGAGGGCGGCCTGCACTGGCTGAGCGAGCCCCCCTCGGAGGAGTGTCTGTGGCACTCCTGTGTCCCGCTGGGGGGCGTCTCACGGGGGTGCGCCGAGCAGGGGCTGGGGCCACGGCGCCCCTCTCGGCCGGCGACGAGCGTGTCCGACAGAGCTACTCACTTTGCTCTCATGGTGGATCTTTTTGTGTCAACGTTCCGTGACCGGCCAGCGGTGCAGGCAGCAGGGCCGCGCCTCACTCAGGGAGATGGCCGTCCTCGTGGATCCTGGCACTGGAGCCTGCCACCTCCTGCTTCCTAACCCTGTCCTGCTGCTTCATTGTTAACCCAGTGGCCCCGCAGCCAGCTGGCCCTGTGGGGTGGGCACTGCCCCCTCGCTTGCGAAACTGCGCTGGGCTGGAAGCCTTGCTTCGCACGGCTGCGCCTCCCTGTGGTCGCCAGCACTCACGGGGCCCAGGGCCTGTCAGGCTGCACTCAGGTCAGGGACCAAGGGCAGGGTGCCCGGCCACCCCTCCGCAGAGCAGCAGGACAGGCCCCCGTCAGGGAGGGTGACAGACAGGGCCCTGGTTCCCACGCTGCTCTGTGCACAGGGCCGGGCGCGCTGTGGGCGCCGCCCAGACCGCGCACGCAGCGCTTCGGCTGACCCCATTCTCTCCTGGTGGGCTACGCGCCCTCCAGGGAGCCCCTTACGCACACACAGACCTGCACGCAGGATGCACATACCTGTGTGCCTGCTCATGCAGGCACACACCCACACATGAGTGCACACGTGCAGTAGGTGTGACTCCCAAGTGCCACACAGACACTACTGGTACATTCACTTCATGTGCACTTAGTGGGAGACAAGGTTCAATGCTCTAGGTCACCCAAGGCTGGCCTCGCTCTGTGTAGCAGGGCAGCAAAGCCGAAACCCTTCAGGCCAGGCGCCGGAGGCCGTGCGCCCTGGGCGCCGCCACGGGGGTGTTGAGCCTTCTCTTCAGTCCCCTGCAGGTGGGGGCGGGGGTGTTGAGATGTGAGGGTGCCGGCAGTGGCGGCGTGCTTGCTGTCCACACCGGCGAGGCCAGGAGGACATCTGTGAGCCAGGCCCGACCCTGCCCAGAAGCTGCAGAGAGAGAGGCCTTAGGGTGCCCGTGCTGCCTGGTCCTGTCTCCGGGACTTGGGTCCTCCCTCGCAAGACGGGGACCACAGGCCCTTCCTGCTGGCTCCAGCGGGGAGAAGGCTAGGCGCTCCAGCGGGAAGACGCAGGTTTCCCAGCTCCCCCAGAGGCCAGGGCCTTGCCAGGCACCTGCAGGCTGTTCCCGGTGGGCTCCGCGGGCTCCTGCCACACAGCTCAGATGTGCTCCTCCGGAGCTCCGGTCATTCTCTCCCCGAGATGCCTTGGTCTCTAGGATTTTTTGGGGGGTGGGGAGGCATCAGCCATCCTGGTGCCAGCTTGGCTGCTCACTCACTGCGCAGCCGCAGGCTATTTCTTCCCTATCTCTCGGCTCGGTGCCTATGTCTAAGAAGTCAGGCTTCGGGCCTGGCAAATCCCCAGGGCACCCTAGCCATGTGGCTGAAGGAGAAGCTGGGGTTCCTCTGTGTGGGCAGCCTCGGCAGAGCCCTGGCCCTCCCTGAAGCCCTTGCAAGACCCTCAAGAGGGACATCGGTGCTGCCCTCCTGTGGCACGCATTGTTGACACGCCACCAGAGGCAGGCACGGCCGCCATTTCAGAGGTGAGGGAGCTGGGGCTGTAGGCGGAGGCAGTGGTCCCAGCGCAGGTGGCCAGGCAGGGCTCAGAGCCAGGGCTCCCAGGCTGAGCGGCTTATTACACTGCCATGCCACTTAGATAGCTCGGCCCCCAGCGCTGGCTGACCTGTAACCCTCGCTATTCCGACTGTTTTCTTTGTAGTCACTGAGCAGGAGACTAAAGTCCCCAAGAAAACCGTCATCATGTAAGTGCAGGCGTGTTCCTAACCTTCCTCTGACTGCGGTGCCCCTGCATGCCCATTAACCCGCCTGGGCCTTGCCCGTGTGGTCCGACCGCCTGCTTGCCTGACTGCCTGCCCCCGCGGCCTGCGCTCGCTGCACAGAGGGCAGCGCCTGCAGACAGCCCCAGGGAGCTGCCCCCACCCGGGCCCTGCGCCTTTGCCTGTCAGAGCCCCCTCCAGGGCCTCCGAGCCCTCGCCTGGCTGCCCTGCCGCTGGGGGTGGGCTCCCTCCGCTCACTTCACAACGTCTCACCCAGGGCTCGGGCCCAGAGCCACACCAGTTAGGGTCGGCCTGGGGCCCACAGCTGTGTCCCGGGGGCTAGCGGCATGTCCAACAGAGCTTCCTGAGAGGATGGAAACGGTGTACACCGGGGTCGCCTCCCGCGGCGGCCACTAGCCACATGCGGCTGCTGAGCGTTTAAAATGTGTCTAGTGCAACTGAAGGACTGAATTTTATTTAATTTTCACTAGTTTGACTTTAATTAAAATAGTGTGATCATAGTAGACAACACAGCTGTAGGGCCGTTGGAAGTCTCCAGGTCCCACCCTCACATTTAGAAGATGGAGAAACTGAGGTTCAGGGAAGAGAGGAGGGCTCCTCAGGGAGGCTCGTGATCGGAGGCCAGCGGGGAGCCTGCTTCCCTGTGCCACACCCCTGTCCTTCCTCATTCTCAGTGCCTTCGGGGCCGAGGAAAACGCCACAGGGCTGGTCGCAGCTAAACAGCGCCAGCGGTCCAGAGCCAGCTGAACAGTGAGGCAGGGCTGGTTCTGAGCTGGACCCTCCGGGAGGATTTCCAGTGGGAGGTGTGTGCCGGTGGAGGCGGCGGAAGAGCTGGCAAAGCCGGGAGGCAGGGATGGCTGCTGCCTCCAAAGGCCCCGCAATGAGACCCCGGGGCGGGCCGCCTCCAGCTCCCCGGGGCCTCGGCCCCCTCAAGGGGCCGACCGCCGGCCCCGTCTCCGGAGAATCCCATCTCAGACCCTGATGGGACCCTGGGTTAATCCTTCCTTGGCCTCTCTCCTCCTGCCGCAAAGCAGGCCACCCCCGCAGGAGAAGGGGCCGCCTGGGGCCGCCGCGAGCGCCCGCGGCTGGTGCTCCACAACCCGTACGGAGGGGAGCCTTGTTCTCATTTGCATTCAGTGAAGACAGATGGAGGAGAGGGGGCCTAGGGAGGCGGGCGGGTGGCCCCAGGCCCTCGGGTCCTTGTGTACCAGGCCCCTGGAGGTTGCCGCCTGCCCCGCGGGGAGTGTGCCCCCTCAGCTCGAGGAGAGGAGAGAGGCAGCTGCCCGGCATCATGCCCCCTGCCCGGGGCACACTGTGCCGGGATAGGCGCTGGGGGGCCAGGAGGGCCAGAAGGAAACTGGCTCAGAGACAGGCCCCCACCACCCCTGGGGGCCCTCAGGCAGTGTCAGTGGCCTCGGAGCAGGGTGCCCACATGCCCTCGTGGGGTCAGCAGTGAGCCCAGCAGGAGGGTGGCTCTTTAAAAAATCTTTACCAGAGAATGTTAGAGAGAAAGAGAGACAGACAGACAGATGGGCAGACAGACATTGATATGGGAGAGAAGCACCCATTGGTTGCCTTCCTTACGGTTCCTGACCGGGCATCCAACCCGCAACCTTTGCTGTGTGGGATGACGCGCCAAGCAACCGAGCCGCAGGCCAGGGCTGGGGGTGGCGTCCAGAGCAGTGAGCCGGAGGCCCGGTCGCACCTGACCCCCTGTCCAGTCTCAGCGTGAGACCAGAGGGGGGGCGCGGCCCAGGCCTGCCTGCCCATCGCTGGGACGAGCCCGGAACCTCGGGGCCTGGGCGTGAGGCCAGAAGGCAGGCCGTGGCCCGGAGCAGGCCGCGGCCGCACACCCCAGCTTCCTGCCAGTCAGGTCGAGGCAGCATTTCCCCTTTGCCAGGTGGGGGCTGGAGGGGCAGGACCCGTGACTGCTCTGCACCCGGAGCTGAGGCCACACATCTCCGGGCCCTGCCTGGGCGTCACTGCTCCCGGGTGCAGCCCCGCGTCACACCAAAGCAAAGCTGGAGAGAGGCACCACACCTTAGTCATGGCAGGCAGCTGGCGACAGCACTGGGTCATCACCACCCACGTGCTGAATCCTGAGAGGAGGTGCAGGGCCCAGGAGGGAGGGCTGTGTGGCACTCAGGCCGCTGCGGCCTCCCGCCCGTTACTCACTGTGTCGGCGGCACCCAGCCAGGCGGGGGCGCTGGGTGGCCGCGGGGAGCCTGGCTGGCGGGCTTCCGACTCTCGGACCTGGGTGATGTCTGAGCCTTTTGCAGCCTTGTCTGCTCCTATAAAACGGGGATGGACGCCCCCTGCCCAGTGCCGCTGCAGCGTTCCGGTCAGCACCGCAGGCGCACGCCTGTGCGCTGGCCTTCAGTTCTGCCTCCTCCCTCTGCCATCCCCCATGGCGGGAAACGAGGCCCAAGAAGGGAAAGAGCTAGTCCGAGGTCACAAAGCCTGTTGACAGCAGAGCCACCCTTGCTCAGTGTCCCAGCCCAGACCGAGAGGCCAGGGACGCAGGCCGCGTGCTGGGGCTGCAACTGCCCTCCCACGCCTGCACCACACCGGCGGCATCGGCCACCCAGCCTGTCCCTAACTCAAGACACGGAGGCCCCTGCCCTCTGAAAGCTCCCTGGGGACCCCCCCCCCGTTCCCCATGATGCCAAGCAGGAAACACTGGTGGGACAGCCAGGGAGGGCTGCAGGGTGGTGCCCTTGTACCTGCCCGCCAGCTGTTTGAGGCCTGGCGTCCCCCGGGTCGGGGTGCTGTCAACAGGGCTGGGCACCGGCCCCCCGGGACACTGCACAGTGGACTTGCCTGGGGTTTGGGGGCACCGGTGTGATGCAGCGATGTCTCAGCTCTTGTTTGGAGGTCTGCAACCTGGGTGGGGCCTGTGGCTGAGCAGATGAGACTTTGTGTCTGTATCTTTGGTTCTCTGGCTGGGTTTCCAAGAACGGGCTCCAGCGCATGTATAGGAGCTTGTGCAGTCTCACCATCTGCTTGCTGGCACACTGACTCGACTCTCGCGCCCGCCCTGCACGTGCTGGTGTCATGGGTGGCAGGCGGGCTGTGGGTCTCTGTGCCATCCCCTCTCGGCCCTCTCCCTGCAGAGAGGAGACCATCACCACCGTGGTGAAGAGCCCCCGTGGCCGGCTCCCAGCCCCCAGCAAGTCTCCCTCCCTCTCGCCTTCCCGCCGCCCTGCCAGTCCCTCCAGGCCAGGCCTGTCGGCCCCCGAGCGGCTGTACTTGCCAGGGGCCGGCCAGCTCCGCAGGCCGGGGGTGGAGCCGGGCTGGAGGCCCGCTGTGCCCACTCTGTACGTGACGGAGCCCGGAGCCCACGTGCCGGCCCTGCCCGGGGACACTGGGCCCCTGTCCAAGTGGGTGGAGGTCGAAGAGACCATCGAAGTCCGGGTGAAGAAAACAGGCCCAAGGGGTGCATCTCCGGCCAGAGAGGTGCCCAGCAGCTCGGCGGGGCATCTCTTCACACTGCCTGGCGGAACCCCAGGAGGAGACCCCAACACAAACAACTCCAACAACACGCTGCTGGCCCAGGAGCCCCTGACCCAGGGCAGAGTCTTCTGTGTGGACACTGGACTGGACAGCCCTGAGCTACCCCCTCCCGGGGCTGCTGAAGACGAGGCCCCCCTGGAGGTGCAGGACGGGGCAGGCGTCTGCCTGATGGGGGGGCCCCTGGGCGCCCACGACCTTCAGGGCTGTGACCGCAAGATCCTCACGCACGATGGCCGTGCGCTGACACTGGCCGACCTGGAGGATTACGTGCCCAGGGAAGGGGAGACCTTCGGCCGCGGCAGCCCCGTGACCAGTGCTTCTGACGCCCCGCCCTGTGAGGTCTCAGTGCTCCAGAGAGAGATCCGCGAGCTCACTGTGGGACAGCCCATCCTGCTCCCCGTGGGGCGCCCGCCAGGCCCCCCAGGTCCCCTGGGGTTCTTCAGCCGCCTGCCCCAGGAGGCAGCTCCGTCAGGGCCTCTGGCCTCTGGCCCGCCTGGCGCCGCCTGTGTGCGGGAGGCCCAGGCTGAGGGGCGCCCGCTCTGGGTGCCATCCTCCTGCACCCAGGTCCGTCGCTCGGTGGACAGTGGCCAGAGCAGCTTCAGAACGGAGGTTTCCACCCAGAGGGTCAGCTTCGGGACAGTGGGCGAGACAGTCACCCTGCACATTCGCCGGGACGAGGAGGAGGGCCCCAGCCCCTCCCAGGGCTGAGGCTTTGATCGTGGGCACAGGCAGCTGGGGGTTGAGACAGGGACTCTCTCGGAGCCAGGAGGCTGCTGACAGGGCTGCAGGCCGCTGTGGCTGCAGGGGGCAGGGAAGAAGGGGCACGGCCTTGGGGTCCGCGGCCCTGCCTGGCTCTGCGCCTCCCTGCTTCATAGCGGCCCTGGGCTTGGGGCACCCGGGAGGGGCCTGAAGCCAGCACCTCAGGACGTGTGCTCTGACCCTCCCCTTGTTCTCCAGTGACTCAGGACTTGCGCTGCCCCTCCTGCCACCAGGTGCTTCCTACCTCACGGTGCGGGGCAGGGGGTCCCCAGCTGGGGACACTGTGTGCACAGCTCCAACCCGGATTACCGGGGGCTCTGCGGGAACAGCAGGCAGACGGCTCTGGGCTGTGTCCCACCTCCTCGTTGGCCGCGGCACAGCCCTGCCCCGCGCCCAGGAGCTCTGTGGGACGTCCCCGAGGGCACGTCTTCCCCCTGGACGCTGTTCCCAGTCTCCGGGGAGCCCCGGGGCCTCCCCTGCAGAGCAGGCCAGGGTCTGGGGATGGGAAGCAGCCCCTGTTAGCTGACTCCATAATGCTAATAAACTGGCTCCTGCACCCCATATTCTGCTCCTTCTTTCTTCCTCCGGGGGCGCTGGCAGCTTGGGTGGGAGGGGCCCTTGAGGCCCGGCCGTCTGCCGGCAGCCGGGGCGGGGGCGGGGCAGCTCCTCGGACAGCCTGCCCGCACGGCCGCCCCCAGCCCTTCTCGGCCCCTGGGCAGCCGGGCTGCTGGAGGGACAGACAGCAGCGGGGTGCGATGTGTGTGGGGTCCTCCTTGGAGTGGGAGAGGACAGGTGGGCGCCCCAATGTGGGAGAGGGTCTTGGGGCCAGGGAGGGCTCCAGGCCAAGGACCTGCCGGAAACCGAGCAGTGGGAGCGACTGGCACACCCCGCCTGGGGCTGGCAGCCGGGCGGAGGGCGGGGCCGTCCTGGGGCTGAGGGCTGGGAGGGTCGGGCGGCCCCTTCAGGAAGGGGGTGGGGGCTGGATGAGGGTGTGGTGACCTGGGTCCAGTGGGGCTGCACTTGGCGGGAAGGGCAGCTAGGTTTTCAGGGAGAATCCCCTCCAGGGCTGCAGACAGGGACTACCACGGGAGGGCAGCGAGGGGGCCGACCCCAGAGGATCCCCAGGCTCCTGATTCGGCGTCAGGCTGCATGTTCCCCTATGACTCTGGGCTGGGTCCACCAGGCCTGGGGTCCAGAGTGAGCCAAGGGGGAGGCCGGTGCAGGGTGAAGGGATGGGAAGAATGAAGAGGGAGGGGCAGGCAGGGCACAAGGCCGGCGTCCAGGCTCTGCTGCCGTGCAGCTGACCTTCTCCTGACCTCCAGGGCTCCCCACTCAGGCCCAGGAGCGCCCTCTGCGCCCCGCCCACCCCCCAGGCCCCTTTCTCTGTCAGGCCCCTGCCTGCGCCTCCTGAGAGTGGGGGTGGACAGGCAGCGGGGGCGGTGGGAAGGGCAGCCCGGCCCCCGTGGGTGTCTCTGAGGGCCAAAGTGAGCTTCCCGGAGCCCCTCCCAGCCCCAGGCCGTGGCACACCCCTACACGCGACCTGCTTTCCCCACAGGCGCTGCCGTCCCGCCCCCCGCTGCCCTGGAGCAGGAGGACCAGGACATCAGGCCTGAGGCCCCACAGACCTCCGCGGGGGGCCGCCTCGGCCTCGGCCCCGGGGAGCCCCTCACTCTCCAGGAGGCCAGCTCCCAGCTCCCGGGCGCCGAGGCTGCGCCTGAACCCGGTGAGGGGGAGCGGCGGCTGACTGCAAATGCCCCGCTCCCAGGACCCCTCCTCTGTGCTGCCCCCACCATTGGTCATCATGGGTGCCCATCCCATGGGAGTGAACTGGTGGAACCCCAGGGACCAGACCTCACGGGGGGGCGGTCCTGGGCAAGGCCCACCCCTTGCTCAGGCTGTCCAGGAAACTAGGCAGGGGGTCGTGTGGGGAGGCTGTGTCCACCCTGAGCACATCCGCCCGGGGCGTCAGAGGCCTGCTGGTTCAGACCCCTGGCAGGCAGCCTGGGCACCCTGTGCGCCAGGGCAGGAGAGAAGGGAGGGGCGAGTGGGGGAGCGAGAGGACAAGGGGGAGGGGACCCCTTGTGCCTGTCGGATGTGGTCCCAGGAAGGCTGCTGAGGCTGCTGCATCCGTTTGCAGATGGGGGTGGGGTGGGGGACAGGCGACTCAGGGCCGGTGGCCCAGGCTACTGGCGGGACAGGAGGGTGCCCTGGAGGAAGTGCACACGGCGGCACGCGGCCACGTGTGGGGGCACAGACCCCGCGCCCTGCTCTGCCTGTGCTCCTGCCCTCTGGGCCCTCGCGGGTGGTGCAGGGACCCGTCTTGGGGGCAGCCCCAGCCGGCTCCATCTCACGAGGCCCTGACCTCCCCCCAGCAGAGCCCGGGAAGGCGCCGCCGTCCCTCTGGGGTCAGGGCCCTGGGTCCCCCGCCGCGGCGCACGGACGGACTGTTCCCATCAGGTACTGTGCCTGGCACGCTGGGTGGGGCACCCCACGAGGGCCATCTAGGGGCAGGGCAGGAGCCATGGAGGGGCTCACAGCACCCCAGGACCCTCCCAGTCAGCTCTACCCCAGTCCAAGGCAGTGCGAGGAGAGGCCACTCCTGAGTGAGGTGCTGGGGAGCCCCCCACACCCAGGACCAGGCCCCGGCTCTGCATTCCTCCGCACTGTCTCCCTCGGCCCTGGGCGGGGGTGTGGCAGGGACCCGATTTTCTGCAGGGTCTGTGCCCACTCCCAGCAGTGAATGGGCAGGCAGACAGCTCAACCCGCTGCCTGGCTCCAGGATGGAGACTGCGGGCTGGCCAGAGGCAGGGGCCTCGGAGCTCTGGAACGTCTGCAGCCACGTGTTCACAGAGACCACTCACCGGACATACGTGTACCAGGCCGGCGATGGGGGAGCCACAAGTAGGTTGTGTGTGTGACCCTGCGCCCTCGGCGGGGGAGGCTTGCCCGGAGGGGCCCTCGGATGTGCGCCGGCCCTGGCCCCTGAGCCCCCGAGAGAGCTTCGCTGGGTGGGGCAGGCAGCATGCGAGGCAGCCTGTCCGCAGCCTGCGTCCCTGCGCTCTGCGCTGCCCGCCTCCGGGGGTTCAAACAGGAGAGGTGGTGCTCAGATGGAAGCAAGCACCTACCAGAGGGCAGGAGCCTGGGCGGAGGGGCGGGGGTCGCCTCCGCTTGAGAGGCGCGGGGCTCTGTCACCCTGGGGTATCTGAGGGCCTCGCAGTTCACCGAGGACACCAAGACACGCCTGGACTTCCTGCCAGCCCACCGGGGGCCTCTGTGGCGCAGGCCCCAGCTCCTGGACTTGGTGCCGTGTGGGCTGCAGCAGATGGCCAGTCTGTGCTGCCTGGACTCCTCCCCATGGGCTCCCTCCCCCTCCCCAGGGCCCCCATCCATGCAGGTCACCATCGAGGACGTGCAGGCACAGAGGGGCGGCACAGCGAAATTCCAGGCCATCATCGAGGGCGACCCGCAGCCCACAGTGACCTGGTATAAGGTAGGGGTGTGTGGGGGTGAAGGCCTTGTGCCGGGAGGGGCGTGTGAGGTCCCCGCTGGACATGGTGGACATGCCGAAGGCAGGCTGGGCCCTGCGCGGGGCTGACGGTCACCCTGGCGCCTGTGCCTCCAGGACAGCGTCCAGCTGGCGGACAGCACACGGCTCAGCCAGCAGCAGGAAGGGACGACCTACTCCCTGGTGCTGAGGGACGTGGTGCAGCCTGACGCCGGTGTGTACACCTGCCTGGCCCGCAATGCGGGCGGCCAGGTGCTGTGCAAGGCAGAGCTGCAGGTGCAGGCCGGTGAGTTGGGCCCAGGCTGGTCCTGGCTCCGTGTGGGCCGGGTCCGTGGGCTCCTAGGCTCGGACTCCGGGGACTGTCGCCGCTGATACTACAGAGGAGGCAGGGGGGAGAGGGGTCTTGGTCCACACTGATGACCGACTCCTCCCTGACTGTAGGGGACGGCAACCTGGACTTGGAGAAGCCAAGCTATCGGAGAAAACTGCACTCTTTCTACGACGTCAAGGAGGAGATTGGGAGGTACCCCCCAGCCTACCCCAGGGGCCTCGCTTCCAGCCTGACCAGTCCTGAACCCCAGCCTCCCAGAGTCCCCAGCCCTTGGGACCCCACACTGTGGAGCCCCATCACCCAGAACCCCTGCTCCTAGGAACCCCACTTTTCTGAGGCCGCCCTTCAGTGCTCTCTACCTAAGTCCGTCCCCACCCTGGAGCTTCACACCCCCAACCCAGACCCTGTTCGCCCAGAACCCTGGCTCCTCAGCAGCTCCGCCCCTCAGCAGCTTGAGTCCTGGAAGGCCCCACCCACATCCCATCCCCCGGGACTCTGCCCTCCTCCTCCAGGACTCCCGCCTGGGAGCCCCACCTCTAGGGAGCCCGTGCCTCCCCAGCAGCCACTCCCCACAGCGGCTGCCCGTGCAGAACCCCCGCCGGCCACGAACACTGCCCCCCATCCCCGTCCCAGGAGCCTGGTCTTAGGAGTCTGCCGTGGGCTCCCCTTTTCCCAGGGGTGTGTTCGGCTTCGTGAAGAGGGTGCAGCACAAAGGCAACCAGATATCCTGCGCCGCCAAGTTCATCCCCCTGCGGAGCAGGACGCGCAGCCAGGCTTACCGGGAGCGAGACGTGCTCGCTGAGCTGAGCCACCCTCTGGTTACCGCGCTGCTGGACCAGTTTGAGACTCGCAAGACCCTCATCCTCATCCTGGAGCTGTATCCTGCCCGCAGCCCCAGGGGACAGCGGTGGGGGCGGGGCCGGGGACAGCAGGAGGGCAGGGGACACAGGGCCGCACGGGGCCTGTGGCTCTCTTGTCCTTGGCCCGGTCCTAACGGGGCAGCCGGCCTGGCCGCCCGTGTCCCTGCTAGGGTGCCGTGGGGCTAACCAGCTCAGATGTGGCACTGCCCTCATAGCTCGCTGCCCCTGGAGCCAGGGCAGGGCCCTCCCACGCTCCACGTGGCCTCTGTCCAGCAGGAGGTCAGGCTGCTGAAGTGGCAGCCCCAGACCCCCAGCGCTGGGGCTCTTAGTTCCCCACCCAGGCTTCAGGGAGGGGCACACCCCTTCCCTGTTCCCTCTGGGCCCCACCTGACCGCCTGCTGCCAGGCCGAGGGTCTCTGAGGTCACAGTGCTTGTCACGCCCCACCCCTGCGCCGCGGGCAGGGCCTGCCTCCACTCCAGCTCTGCGGCTGGCCGCCGGCCTCGGCCCCTCTCCTCAGGGTCTGCGTCCCACACACCCTCCTCAGCCTGGAGGTCCCACCAGCCCAGCGTGGACCCCCGCCACCCCCCAAGATAGCACTCGCCTTGGGTGTGGAGCGGGTGGGTCCCCGGCCTCAGAGCGTCCCTTGACCGGAGCCCCAGGTGCTCGTCAGAGGAGCTGCTGGACCGCCTGTTTAAGAAGGGCGTGGTGACAGAGGCTGAGGTGACTTTGCAGCCTGGCTTGCGTGCAGACCCCTGCGGGACTCCCACTCCCCCAGCCCCACCCCAGCTGCCTGGCCCAGCAGACACAGCCTCCCTCCTGTGCCGTGTGCTCCAGCTCAGAGAACTTTTGGAGGCCCCCAGGGCCTCACGAGGTGCCACCGCTCCTCGGTCGCCTCTCAAAGCCCTGCCAGCCAGCCAGGATCACCACCTCCCTTTCCCAGCCTGCACCTGGCCGGTGGGCCAACCCTCACCTGCTCTGGAGCCCTTCAGCTTCCGGCTCTGTTCAGGCTGCTTCACACACCCAAACCCTCGCCACCTCCCAGGCCCAGGGGCATCCCTGGGCCCAGGTGCCTGGCGCTGGGGAGGCCCTGACTGTGCTGCCCGTGGGACGGTCCCAGGTCCCCAGGGTGCGAGGGGCGGAGCGGGGCAGGGCAAGGAGGAGGGCGGCCGGGCAGGCCGGACGGGCTCTCTCGCCTGAGCGGCGGCCGTGGCCTCCACAGGTCAAAGTGTACATCCAGCAGCTGGTGGAGGGGCTGCACTACCTGCACGGCCGTGGCATTCTCCACCTGGACATAAAGGTACTTGCCCCACCTCCCTGGCGCCCCCAGAGCCCAGGTGGAGGGGCTGGTGGGAGCCTGCAGGCTGGAAAGGCCCAGGCCCACCACTGCCAGCATCAGGACTTGCTCACTTTTGGGGGCGGGGAGTTCACTGCTTTGCCAGCAGCCCCTTCAGGTGGGGTGTGGCGCCGACAGGGGGAGGCTGTCCCCAGGTAGGGCCAAAACCCGCTCCCTGGGCAGCCCCCGCCCTCCCCCGCTGGCCTCTCCGTCGCCGGGGGCTCCCTGGCGCCGCCCCCAGCCCTGGCCGCCCAGGAGGCGCCTCCTCGGGTGGAGGCCTCACCCACTTCCTGACTCCGCCCAACAGCCCCCCAACATCCTGATGGTGCACCCTGCTCGGGAAGACATTAAAATCTGCGACTTTGGCTTTGCCCAAAAAGTCACCCCGGCAGAGCCGCAGTATAGCAAGTACGGGTCCCCTGAGTTTGTGTCCCCTGAGATCATCGAGCAGACCCCTGTCAGCGAGGCCTCTGACATCTGGTGAGTGGCTGGGCCGCCACGGGCAAAGCCGCTGCGCCGGCCCCTCCTCCTGTTCTCTGCCTTCCTGCCCCTCTCGGCACCCACCCCCCGCCCCGCCCCGGGGCCCCGCGCCCGTGGGCCAGGCCTGGAGTGACTCACAGCTGTGGTTTTGTTCCCACAGGGCCATGGGGGTCATCTCCTACCTCAGGTGAGCAGGCCCGGCACCCGCCCGCTGTCCCCTCGCACGCCGGTCTCAGGTCCTCCCAGCAGGCCCGCAGGAGGTCGCAGGCGCTGCAGGCCCTCCCTGGATCAGAGACCTGAGACTCACGGGGCAGCTATTCTGGGAACAGGCAGTGGGCCTGCTCTGATAGGAGGGTTTAGAGCAGCGCTTTGGGTCAGGAGGCGCGGCCAGCGCTGAGCTGTTTCTCCAAAGGGTCTGCTGGTTTGCCCGGGGCCCTAAGAGCAGCTCCCGCTGCCCTGTGGGCACTGCTGGTGGAGACTGAGGCTGCCGCTCCGCTGCAGGGGGAGCCCTGCTCCCACCTCAGGCTCGGCTGGTGCCCCCCGGGAGCACGCTCAACCCCTGTTCCGGGCCGCGCCCAGGTCTGACACTTGCTGGGATTCTGAGGGTGTTGAGAGGCCATGCCAACCAGGGCTCTGCCCAGCCGCCCCATGGGACCCAGAAACCCGGGGTCATTTCTGCATGCTGACCACTCTCTGTGCTTTCAGCCTGACCTGCTCGTCCCCATTTGCCGGCGAGAGTGACCGCGCAACCCTCCTGAACGTGCTGGGGGGGCGGGTGTCCTGGGGCAGCCCGGTGACCGCACACCTCAGCCAGGACGCTCAGCACTTCATCAAGGCCGCCCTGCAGAGGGCCCCGGAGTGAGTGTGCCTGCCCCTCCCCACCCCCCCACCTGCTGGGCCGGGGCGGGGGGGGGGGGCAGCTGACCCCTGGCCTGACCCCTGCTTGGCATCCCCGCAGAGCCCGGCCCAGCGCGGCCCAGTGCCTGGCCCACCCCTGGTTCTTGGTGAGTAGGCTGAATCCGGCAGGCCCAGTGAACCGGGAGGGGCGCTGAGGCCGAGAGGGGTGGGTCCTGCCTGGCCACGGGGTGCACCAGGCTCTCCCCCGACGCGGCTTTCTTGCCTGGGTCCCCCAGAAGTCTGTGCCTGCAGAAGAGGCCCACTTCATCAACACAAAGCAGCTCAAGTTCCTCCTGGCCCGCAGCCGCTGGCAGGTGAGCCGGCTGCAGAGCAGGGCGGCCGCCAGGGGCACGGCACGCGGGGCCTGGGGGCAGGCGAGGGGTTGGGCCCCGCGTGCTGGTGGTGCCCCCAGGCCTGGGGGGGCAGGGGAGCGGGGGGCTGATGCCCCCTGAGCAGCCAGGATGAGGCAGGAACACAGCACCGAGCCCTGGTGTGCGGGGGTGAGGACGAGGGCTTCGAGGCCCCCATCTCCTGGGCGCCCCGCTTGGGGCACCCTGGGAGCTGGAGGCAGAGGGCCGGCTGACGCCCCGCCCCCATGCCGGCAGCGCTCCCTGATGGGCTACAAGTCCGTCCTGCTGATGCGCCCCATCCCGGGGCTGCTCCAGGGCCCGCCGGACAGCTCGTCTCTCGGAGTGGCCCGGAGCCCGCGCGGCGACACCAGCACCTCTTCCAGCGGCACCTCGTCCTCCGACACTGAGCTGGCCCCCTTTGCCCGGGCCAGGTCGCTGCCGCCCTCTCCGGTGACCCACTCCCCCCTTATGCACCCGCGGGGCTTCCTGCGCCCGTCTGCCAGCCTGCCGGAGGAGGCCGAGGCCTGCCCGCCCGCGGAGGCAGCGCCTGTGCCTGTGTCACCCCGGGGCTCAGAGCCCCCCGCGGCCCCAGGCTGTGTGCCCCGGCAGAGCATCATCCGCAGCCTGTTCTACCAGCAGGCCGGTGAGAGCCCGGCGCACGGGGCCCTGGCCACGGGCGGCAGGCAGGTCCCGGCGCGGCGGAGGCACCTGCTCAAGGGCGGCTACTTCGCGGGCCCCCCGCCCGGCCTGCGTGAGCCGCTGCTGGAGCACCGGGCGCTGGAGGAGGAGGCCGCCCGGGAGGAGCAGGCCGCCCTGATGGCGAGGGCACCCTCCTCCGAGGCTCCTCTGCGGCTGCCTGGCACCGGCGCCCCCGGAGGCCCCCGCCGCAGTCTTTGCCCGGACTTTGACTGTGCAGGCTCATCGGGCCCCTCTGCAGAGGCCTGCCGTGAGGGGCAGTGTCCTACCCCCGCCCTCTGGGGCCACCCCGCGGCCTCCGGAGGAGAGAGTGTGCCCAGAGAGGTCAAGGATGCCACGGATGTGGGGTCTTCAAAAGGACAGGGACTGTGTCCATCTACTGGTGGAGGTCCTGGCCCTGCTGAGCAAGAGGGGCTTTCCCAGGGCAGCTGTGGGGGACAGCTGGCCCCTTTCTGTCACCCCCAGCAGGGTCCTTCCCCCGGGAAGGGTTGTGACCCCCCCGCGGCTGTTGCGCCCCAAGCTGCTGGCGCGTTTCCTCCAGGGCACTCTCTGGAGGCTCTTTTGGCGACCGCGAGCCCCCTCCTCCCTGGAGAACTCCAGGCTCCCTTCTCGCCAGCTCTGGCTTGCCTCCAGTCTGGCTCTAAGAGGGGGATGGAGGCCACCCCTCCCCCTGGGAGGCCCGGTCCTCCCAGCTCTCCAGGGCCAGCCTCCCCATCTGGCCCGGAGCCTGGCCTGCCCCTGGACACCGAGGCTCTGGCCTGGGAGACAGAGGACCTGTGTGAGTCTGAGCCCAGCCCCCCTCGGCCTCGGGAGCGGGCAACCTCACGCAAGTTCTCCCTTGGGCACCGTGGGGGCTACGCGGGGGTGGCTGGCTACGGTGCCTTTGCCTTCGGTGGGGACGCGGGAGGCATGCTGGGCCAGGGGCCCCTGTGGGCCAGGATGGCCTGGGGCACCTCTCAGTCCTTGGAGGAGCAGGAGGAAACAGGGGCACAAAGCGCACACCCCCAGGCCCACGTGGCGTCCCTGCCAGAGGGCAGTGGGGCTCCCACAAGGGCCTCCCCGGAGCTGACCTTGTGCGAAGACTTCAGCAGGGGATCGCAGGTGTCGCTGGTACAAATCCAGGACCTGTCGGGGGACATGGAGGCCGCTGACACCGCGTCTCTGGATATATCAGAAGTGGAGCCAGCCTACCTCAACCTGTCGGACCTGTACGACATCAAATACCTCCCCTTCGAGTTCATGATCTTCAGGAAGGTCCCCAAGCCAGAGCTGCCACCCTCCCCAGTGCTGGAGGCCAGGGAGGCGCTGGCTGAGCTCCCAGAGGTCCCGTGGCCCTGGCAGGGCCTCCCTGCCGGCCTGGAGATCAGAGAAGAGCTGGAGGACACGGAGACCCTGCTCGGGGAGGCGGGCAGCAGCAGGAAGCGCAAGTGGTCACCCCCCTCCAGGGGCCTCCCGCGTCCCCCCTGGAGGCAGGCGCTGCTGGAGGCACCCGTGGAGCTGGGACTGCGCCAGAGGATGAGGGCATCGGTGGCCCACATCTCCCGCCTCCTGAGGGGCAGGCCCCAAGGTGACTCCCCGCCCCACCACGGAGGCTGCTGCGCTCCGCTGGGGTGCCTCCTGTGCCTTGGGGCTTCCGCACCCATGCCCGCAAACCGCAGCTCGGGCGCCCGCTGGACGCAGGCAGCCTCTGCTGTCCTGCCCCCGTGACGCCCATGCCTCAGGCACACAGGGGCTTCTGTTCCCGAGGCCCACCCCACCCCCCGCCCGTGAGCATCTGAGACCCAGTACTGGGACGCGGAGCTGCCGCAGGGGTTACAGCCCCATGGAGAGGGAGAAAACAGGGCCAGTCTCCCTGACCCCCGCCGCTCAGCGACCCCTCCCAACCCCAGACCCTGGCGAGGCCTCCTGGGCACGTGCGCCCCTTACCTGCCGGAACTGGCCCCACCCGGGACGGGTCTATGCTGATGGGCTGGGGAAGGGGTAGCCCCCACAGCAGATACAGCTTGTCCCCCTCCCCTCAAAAAATGCCCCGGGTCCAGGTTTTTCAGCCACATGGGGGTCTGGCGGGGGGTGGGGAGTAGCTCCAGGGTCCTCCTCCCATGCTGCCGATGGCCGTGCCAGGCAGCTGGCTGCCAAGTGGCGTCTGCCCCTGATACGACCTCCCTCTGCCCTGTCTCCCTGCAGGCCCAGAGAAGGAGGGGCCCCCCAGGAAGAAGGCAGGCCTAGCTTCCTTCCGGCTGTCGGGGCTGAAGAGCAGAGAACAAGGTGAACGTGGTACCCGGGGCTGGGTCCCCGCTTCTCAGGGGGCCCGGCTGTCAGTGGGGGGTGGGGGGAGCCCCTCCACAGTGCTCAGACCAACGGGGCGAGTTAAAACCCACAGTGGCTTGAGCCCAGATGTGGGGCGGTTGGCTCCCCGGCTGTCAGGACTGAGCAGTCCTGGAGGCCTTCCTGACAGAGGTGCTAGTGTTGATGAGCTGGCTGAGGATGGGCTTCTCTCCAGTATCCCCACCTTCGGCTCCACCTCTTTTCTAGCGCCATCCTTCCTGAGGGAGCTTGCGGACGAGACAGTGGTCCTGGGCCAGTCTGTGACTCTCGCCTGCCAGGTGTCGGCCCAGCCACCTGCACAGGCCACCTGGAATAAAGGTAAGGAGCTCTCCTGGTGCTGGGGAGGGGGGTGGGGCATAGGAGGACGGCGGGGGGTTGCTCGCTGAGGTCCTGGCTCTCAGCCGGCAGAGAGAAGCTGAGGCCCAGGGAGTGTGGGGGCCTGGGTGTGTCGAGCCTCCGGCCTGCTCTGCCCCGCTGCAGACGGGGCCCTCCTGGAGAGCAGCAGCCGCCTGCTCATCTCCTCCACGCTCAAGAACTTCCACCTGCTGACCATCCTGGTGGTGACCGCCGAGGACCTCGGTGTGTACACGTGCAGCGTGCGCAACGAGCTGGGCGTGGCGGCCACCACAGCTGTCCTCCGGAAGGCAGGTGGGTGGGCCTCGCCAGGCTGTCTCGGCGGGGCCGGGGCCAGGGGCCACGCAGGCCATCCCTCCTCCCTGGGGTTTGCCGTGGGGCGGGCCAGCCTAGCTCTTAGACCCCCAGCCTGAACCCCAGGGGGCGCCAGGCCTCAGGCGACCAAGCCCAGGTGCCCCTCCAGGCTGAAACATCTTTGACCGAAACCTCAGATGGGCAGGGGGCTGTGAGTGAGGGCCACTCCACGGGGCTCCCGTGCACGCGCCGCATGAGGGGGCCTGCAGTCAGGCAGGCGGACACCCCTGGGCTCCCACCAGGAGAGGCACCGGGTCCCTCTCCGGGCGGGGGCGGGGGTCGGAGCTCTGTGGGCTGCCCTGGGAGCTGATCCCAGCCCCCGTCTGCGGCCCCGCAGAGCGCCCCCTGTCCTCCCCACGCCCAGACATCGGGGCGGTGCACCCAGACGGGGTGCTGCTGGTCTGGAAGCCTGTGGAATCCTGCGGCCCTGTGACCTACATCGTGCAGTGCAGCCTGGAAGGTAGGGCTGCGCAGGCGCCCTCGGCCCCTGGGGCCCGTGGCTGGCGGGGAGAGCGCCTGGTCCCCTCTGCGCCCCTGAACGCCCAGTGGGGATGCCTGGGACCCCCTGCGCTGCTGAGCAGCCTCACTGGACGCGGGCCGGGAGGCCTGGGGCTGCCCTCACCTGCTCCATGTGGCCAGGTGGCAGCTGGAGCACCCTGGCCACGGACGTCTTTGATTGCTGCTACCTGGCCAGGAAGCTTTCGGGGGGCGGCATGTGCACCTTCCGGACCGCCTGCGTCAGCAAGGCCGGCATGGGTCCCTACAGCAGCCCCTCGGAGCGGGTCCTCCTGGGAGGGCCCGGCTACACCGGTAAGCCTCTGCAGGGCCGGGCGGGCAGGGGCGGCAGGCGCCCGGAACTGCCCTGCGGACGAGTCACGCGCACTCTCTGGGAAGGCTTGTCCTGGCTACTGTGCTGCCCCTCCCCACCCCCAAACGGTCCAAGGAATGAGAGGCCAAGTGTGGGTTTAAAGAGGGGCCCCTTCTCAGGGTGACAGGGAAGGGGTGATGGGGACCAGGTTGGGGAGCTGGGACTACGAGGGACACTGCCGTCACCGTCTTTCCTTCTCACAGCCTCTGGGCAGGAGAGCGGCCTGGCTCTGCCGGCCCACCCGCTCCCCAGCACGCAGACCTTCGCCTTCCAGACGCAGATCCGCAGGTGTGGTGCCTTCTCCCCCACCCCCCACCCCCCCGCACTGCCTGGGAACACCCTTCTCCACGGGGTTCCGTCCTGCTGCTCTGAGAAGGGGCGGCCCGAGGGTGCGAGGGGGCCTGCAGGCCAGGGCCGGAGGGGCTCTCAGGAGCCTGGCCTGTGCCTCCTCGCCAGGGGTCGCTTCAGCGTCGTGCGGCAGTGCCGGGAGAAGGCCAGCGGACGCCCACTGGCCGCCAAGATCATCCCCTACCGCCCCGAGGACAGGACGGCCGTGCTTCGCGAGTATGAGGCCCTCAAGGGCCTGCGCCACCCGCACCTGGCCCAGCTGCAGGCCGCCTACCTCAGCCCCCGGCACCTGGTCCTCATCTTGGAGCTGTGCTCTGGGCCGGAGCTGCTCCCCTGCCTGGCCCAGCGGTGAGGGGCCGCCTGGCCTGGGGGCAAGGCTCAGGGAGGGGGCGCCCCCTGGGGCCCGGGTCCTGCCCACTTCCACCAGCTGGGCCCTGTGCAGGAGCGGGCTCCGCAGAAACCGGATGGAGCTGAGCCCCTCTCCATGTGCCCTCAGGGCCTCCTACTCGGAGTCCGAGGTGAAGGACTACCTGTGGCAGATGCTGAGTGCTGCCCAGTACCTGCACGCCCAGTGCATCCTGCATCTGGACCTCAGGTCCGAGAACATGATCGTCACCGAGTACAACCTGCTCAAGGTGGTCGACTTGGGCAACGCTCAGAGCCTTGCCCAGGAGAGGGTCCTGCCCCCAGAGAGGTTCAAAGACTACGTGGAGACGACGGGTGCGTTGGGGAGAGGGGTGGCCGGGCGCAGGCCTTCCTCCGGTCCTGCCCCTGCGCTGCGCCACTCAGCCCGCACCTTGTGCTCCCCTCCCCCAGCCCCGGAGCTCCTGGAGGGCCAGGGTGCCTGCCCGCAGACAGACATCTGGGCCATCGGTGTGACGGCATTCATCATGTGAGTCCTCCGCGCGTGCAGGGGCGGGCACGGAGTCCATGCGGGTGACCTCAGGTCCCCGTGTGACCTGAGCCCCTGCGCCCCACCCACGCAGGCTGAGCGCCGAGTACCCGGTGAGCAGCGAGGGCACGCGAGACATGCAGAGAGGCCTGCGCAAAGGGCTGGTCCTGCTGAGCCGCTGCTACGCGGGGCTGTCCGGGGGCGCCGTGGCCTTCCTGCAGAGCACGCTGTGCGCATACCCCTGGTAAGGCGCCCAGTTCCCCGCCTCCCACCCGGCCGTCCTGCCCACCCCGCTCCACCCTGCGCCAGCCAGGGCCGCTGACCTGCCTCTCTCCTGCCAACCCTGTGCTGCAGGGGCCGGCCGAGCGCTTCCAGCTGCCTGCAGTGCCCATGGCTGACTGAGGAGGGCCCAGCCTGCTCCCAGCCCTCCTCGGTGACCTTCCCCACGGCGCGGCTGCGCGCCTTCGTGCGCGAGCGTGAGAAGAGACGGGCACTGCTGTACAAGAAGCACAACCTGGCGCAAGTGTGTTGAGTGCTTGGCCCTGGGGGGCGGGGGGGCGTGTGCACGGGTTGCACGGCTGGCCGGCCGCACACACGCCAGGCCTGGCCTCCGCCGGTTGTGTCCGCCAATAAAAACCAGTACTGCAGGAGGCATCTTCTGTTTCACTGTTTTGTTTTGGGCAGGAGAGTGAGGGCCCCGTGCCTTTCTGGGGTTTGGGGGGCCATCCAGTTAGCAGAGCTGCCCGTCCTTGGTTCATGGATTGAAAGAGCCTTCAGGGCAGCCTCACCGTGTATGACAAGCTCGCAAACAGAAGCCCCTTCCATCCCATGCAAACTGGCACAGCCGGTCCCTCAGCCTCTCCCTGCCTGCCACCCTCTGAGGCGTCCCCACTGGGACTCCTGTGCCTAGAGGAGCATAGATGTAATGGTGCCCATGGTCGTCTTCCTGGGCCGGCCCTCCATCAAAGCCTCTGGGAGAGGCCACTGCAGCCCTCTCTTGGCCTGGGTCAGAAGGGGCCTCGCGAGTGACTAGCCAGGCCACCCGAGGGAGTCGAGAGGTGGGCTTGGAGCTAGGGGAGGTGTCGCAGACGCTGTGGCAGGTGCTTGAGCCACAGTCGCTGTCCCCGGCCTGGCTCCTGCCAGATGTTCCTGCTGCCCACAAGGAAAGTCCTGTTGGGAAAGAGTGAGTGGTCCCGAGGCCGCATGAGCACAGCTGCCTTGTTCCAGGTCCACGGCTCCAGCGGTACTTATGAGGAAGGGTCTCTCACCAGCACCTGTGCTCCCTTTGGGGGCAGTCGCCCAAGTCCAGGGACTGTCTCTGAGCTCTCCGCTGAGGCGCCCTCCCACAGGCACCTTCCCGGACCCTGGCCGCTGCTGCGCGGCCACACAGCGAGCAGCCTCCAGCTGCAGCCGCCGCGGTGCCCCGGGCAGCTGCATCAGCGCCCACGCCTTCCTCTCCATCGTGTGCTCTCTCAGCCCCAGCGAGCCGGGCTCTGCCTGCGGGGCCCAGGTGACACTTAGCACCTTGTCTCTGGAGGATGCATTCCTTTGCTGACCTCCCCTGTGCTGCGTGCTGGGATGACTTGCCCTTGTCTAAGCCTGTAGAGGTCATGTTCTGCAGGCTGAGCCACTCCGCCTCGTGCCCGGAGAGACCATTGCTGGGGCTGCCCGGAGGCCATGCCTCCTCCAGATCCTGCAGGGGCCCTGCTCCCTGGTTCTCGGCTGGCCTGGCCTTGCTCCCTGCAGGCCCAGCTCTCCTCGTGGGCTCTGCCTCGAAACACTGGGCGAGCGCTTCTTGTGAAACTGCTGGTGACACCGCCCGGCCCTGCTTAGGACTCACCCTGCGAACACTGTGCCGCACGGGCCGTGCTGCATCGTCACTCGTTTCTCCCATGGCCCTTGTCCCTTCTCATTCAGGGCGGCCTTCCTCCCAGACTGGACTTTGCGTGATAAACCCACTCAAATCCAAATTCCCTCTGTGTGTTGTAAATATTTTATTGGTAATCTGTTTCTAACAATCAAATAAAGCGTACTGCATTTTTATGGTGCATATTTTATATGTTTCAATTAAGCTTTTATTTTCAGATCTTGGTTGGATCACAGGCAGTTGAAAGAAATAATACAGAAAGAGCCTACGTACCACTTACCCAGTTTCCCCAGGGATAATTGTTTTGTACAATGCTAGTATTGATGCACTATGACAGCCAGGATAGCGAAATTGAGACAGTGAAGCTGCAGAGCATGTTCATCATGACTCAGGTCTCTCCCTGATCTTAGCCCTCCTTTTCAAACAGCTGCACCCACTTCCTTCTCACCCTTAATTAATGCTCTTTAAGCCTGGCAACCAACAGTTTGTCTTGAATTCTTATACTTTCGCCATTTTAAGAGTGTTACAGCTCCTCCGCAGGGCCAGTGAGCCGCCTCGCTGGCCCCGCGCGGGAGCTCCCTCCAGAGGAGGGCTGTGGGGCACCCGCACCACTCGGCTTCTTGGTTTCTCCTTTCTCGCCCTCCTTCGATTCCAGCTCCGGCTCCGGCTCCGGGCTCCGGGCTCCGGGCTCCAGCTCCTGCTCCCAGGTCAGCGCCTGCCCAGGGCACTCTGTGCTGAGATTGTCTCAAAGCCACAGGGAAAAGGGTGGAAAGTTCACTGTCGCTATTGCCAGCGAGAGAGACTTATGGCTTTGTTCTTAAGCTCCCAATCTGGCTTCATACTGTGTCTCATGTGAGCTTTTATCCCTGAATCTTGGCTAAACGCCTTAAGCTTAATTGACTGGCTTCCGAAGTATTGGGCAGCTGCATTGCCCGTCTACCCCTCATCGGTACAGTAGGCGGGTACGCACTCTTACGTGGAGTGAACGTGGCGAGTACCTGGCCACTCAGCTCTGTTCACACAATCACACGGAACTATGCTGAAGTCAACAGTAGAAGAAATACCAGGAAGAGGCCATACCAACATTAAGAGATATTCCCATTATTGAAGTAAACCAAATGCTCTTTCTTAAAGCCAAAGAATTTTGGTGTAAAATTCTTTGGTGTACCTCTTTGCACACCAAACTTTGTACAACTTTGGTATAGAATTCTTTACTACAAAGAATTATAGTATTATAGACTATCTTCAAACATTTATTATAAGTTTTGGCATAATAATTTCGACCATAATTCTCTTAATACCCAGTATTAAAATATTTTGAAAAATGTAAGTTGAACTTCTCTTAGATTAAGTTTCATTAATATTGTAAATGTTCTTAAATATTAGTTGTGAATGCACATAATAAATAAAATACTTCATTTAAAAAAGAGTGCTGTATAAGTAGAGTGACCGTGTATGCGGCCTTTTGGGACTGGCTTGTTTCACTCGGCCTAATCCTCTAGCAATTCATGAATGTAGTTCCCTCTGTCATTCCTTTTTATTGGGACATAGAATCCATGGTGCACAATTTATCTGGCTGTTCACCTACCGAAGGGCATTTGGGTCGTTCCCAGTTTTTGATTATTTCAGAAAAAGTTGCTCTAACATGTATGTACAGATTTCCCTGTGGACATGCTTTCCTTGCCCCGGGGCCGACGCTCAGGGGCGCCCCTGCTGCAAATGCTGCGATTCCGTCCTCCGTCCGCATCTCCTCGCAGGCGAGGTGTCTGTTCGCATCTTTTGCCCGTTTTCTTTTTGGGTCGTTTGTTTACTGACTGTTGAGTTTTGAGAGTTCTGTATGCAGGGTCCAGCAAAAGGAACGCCTGCTTGAGTGTGGTTGGTAGGGTAATAATATGGGTGTCATAATTTATCGTTTTAATTTGAACATTTCACCTAAAATGTCATACGGTGTGCTTGAGTGTGATATTGTTATGTTACAGAATGACATGCTTACGGTTTTGTAATAAAAAAGGGGCGTTCTTTGTACTGGACCCTGTATATTCTAGACACCAGTCCTTCCTCAGATATGTAGCTTACAGATATTTTCTCCCATTTGTACCTGTTTTTTGTCCTCTAAGCAGGGTCTTTTGAAGAGCAAAAGTTTTCACTTTTAAAACCATTTTAATAACATAAAATTTACCACTTTTAAGTGTGAAGTTCCGTGTTGTTCATGATGCACACATGTTGTGCAGCCATGACCACCGACCGGCTCCAGGGCTTTTGCACCCTGCAAAACTGAAACTCTGCCTCTGTCAAACAACAGCCCCCTCCGCCCACCCAGCCTTTGGCCGCCGCCAGCGGCTTTCTGTTTCTATGACTCATACTGTATCTTTTTTTGTGGCTGGCTTATTTCACTTAGCATCATGTGCTCAAGATCCACCCATGTTGTGGCATGTGTGAGAATGCCCTTTCTCAGGCTAAATGATACTCCACTGCATGGATAGGCCACTTTTATTTACCCATTCATCTGCCAGTGGGCACTTGGATTGCTTCCACCTCAAGCAACTATTGTGAATAGTGCTGCAATAAACATGGGTGTACAAATATCTCTTTGAGGTCCTGCTTTAAATGCTTTTGGGTGTAAATCAAAATATGGGTTTTTGGGGGGATAATATGGTACTTCTATTTTTAACTTTCTGAGAAACTGCCATACTGTTTTCCATAATGGCTGCACCACTTTACATTCTAACAGAGTATAAAGGTTCCTGTTTCTCCACATCTTCATTCAATATTTATTTTCACTCTGTGTCAAGATGGCAGCATAGGTAAACACAGCTCTCCTCCTCGCACAACCATATCAAAATTATAACTAAAATACAGAACAACTGTGTTGCAACCGGTCAAGGCCTGGCAGGCCCACTCCAGACTCAGGCAGACAGAAGAAAATGCGTGGAGCTGTGGAGAGGCTTGGCACACCTCTATTCACGGGCGGGCGAGCCCTGCACACTGCAAGCTGCATGTCTATGCACCCAGTGAGAAGCCCCTACCCCTTTAAGTACTAGGAACAACAAAGCCAGCAAAAAGCCAAAAACAGCGTGACTCCACGCATGCGAGCCCACTTCATGTTATGGGAACTGTTTATTGGACCCAGACTCTCTCAAGGCTGTGAGAACACTGCTTTATCAGGCCTCTTCACAGTTGTGAGAAACTACTTCCCTTAGTGACCCAGACACCCGGGTGAGGAAGCCATATTGCCTCCACTTACCCTACAACAACCATCACTCAGAACCGTCAGGAACCAAGTTGAATGGAAGTCTGAAAACTATGGAATTAAAGAAACCCCATCCATCCAGACTGGTAAGAGGGGCGGAAATGTGGAACAGGCTGGTCCCACATCCACGTGTGGTGGATAAAAATTTGGGAGGGATTATCTCAAAAGCAAGGAATTCCAGCTCCTCACCCGGCCCCCCAGCCCAGGGTTCCAGGGCCAGGAAGGTAAGCCCCCATAACTTCTGGCTGCAAAAACCAGTGGGGATTGAGTCAGTGGAACAAACTTCCAGAGTCCCAAGCAGTTCCTCTTAAAGAACCCACACACAGACTTAATCAGACTCACTCTCTCTGAGCTCCAGCACCAGGGTGGCTGCTGAAAGGCATCAGCAGTATTCATGGAGGAATGGAAGTGTCTGGTATCAAGGTGAGAGCTGGGGGACAGCTTTCTCCCAGACAGAAAGGTGGGCCATTGTCCATTTGCTGAACTCTCCCCTCACAGAGCCACAGAGCCAGGAGGCAGGTGCCATA